GCCGAGCCGAGCCGCGGTTGCGATCGCGCTTGATCGCGCCGCGCCGCACGCGCGTTCCGTCCCGCCAGCTGCGTCCCCGCGGCGAAAATTCGCCCGTGTTTATGTTTACTCCTTTAATTACCCCCTCTTCCTCCCCCCGCGCGCTCCCCGCCCGCCCCCCCCCGTGTCCACTCGCGCCGCGTATCCCGCCTTTCGCGATTTTCTCGCCGCTTTTCGCCATGCGCCCGCTTCCTCGCGCTCGCCTCTCTCTCTCTTTCTATCCTTCCCTTTCTCTTTCGCTCGCTTTCGTTCGCGTTCTCGCTTTCGCTCTCCCTACGTTTTCCTCCCTGCCTCGCACTCTTCGACTATTAACGGAAACAAACGCGTTTCCATTTTTTTTTTCACCGCCGGATTACGTCCGTGGTAAGGTACCCGGATCGCTGTAGGAGTACAGAAAAGTGCCCGTAATGTACTCGCGATGATAATTGTGTTATATAAACTTTGTATTATCATGTGACTTTTTTTCTTGTTTTCTTAATTGCTCCGATGTGTTCGGGAATAGCAATAGATACGAGACTTGCGGCGTATTTCGGCTTAATTAGCGGAGTAATCGTCGAACGCAAACAGTAATTGTCCGAATAACGTCGTCGCGCGTAACTTGACTCCGCATTTCGAGGAACATCACAATAAAAATATAGTTTGTTAACTGTACATAAGTCAACGGCACGTCACCGAAATATAATCTAATGTAAACAAGTTAATTGCGAAAGATTATTTAATCGCCCACTTGTTGTTTTGTTCGATTTTATGCGTGTAAATTTGACAAAATTACTCCAGCGATTGAGAGTGAGCGCATCTGTCCTAAAATCAATGTATCTGTCTAGATACGTCGCTGTATTCTACCAGCCGCTCCATGCTCCCTATAAATGCCATGGCACAGAAAGTGGTACCAGGATCAGAGTCGGGATCGATGAAGCCCCTGACCGGCAGTGGACTGAGCTATGTCACGCTACAGCCACCCAGTCAGCCGCTCAGTCTGGTGCAGGATCACAGACCCTCGGTATACCAGACCCCGCCATACATCGGAAGTAACATGGAGAAGGAACCGGAGGCTGAGAAGCTGATTCCGAACGGTGTCGAGATTACGAAAACCGAAACCGAGCAAGATGTGCCTGCTGTTGTTAAGCAAAATGAGTCCAACAGGAACAACAATCTAAGTCCTGAGACTCCTGCTCAAGAACAACCGTGCGAAGTGCAATCGGAACAGGTGCTAACAACTTTAATGGAGTTTCCCCTGAATACTCGTAAGTAATTTTACACATTATTCCTTTCCCTCTCTCTTGTAAATCGAACATTTTTTTACTTGACAATTAAAGGAATGTATCTAGTAATGAATCAACACTTGAGATTTTATTGTCAAATTAATATTGTTTGTTTTGCACTGCTATTATAAAACTTATATTACAAAAGAATAAAACAAGATAAGTGCAAAACTTATAATTATATGCAATTATGTTTATTCTTATAGCGGTATGCCCCCCAGCACAAAATAAGGTTGAGGAAAAGAAGATTCCTGTAAATAATGGATCAAAGGAATCAGACGGCAAAACTGTCAATACTTCTGTACATATAAAACAATCTCCACATAAGCCAGAAGAAACACAAGTGAAGAACGAAGTTCCAAAGGCAAAACCCACAAATCAGAGTTTGAAAGTATCGAGCGATAATGCCGCTGCGACAGTAACTAGTACACATAAACCTGACGCGAAAGTCACTACCTCTCCCAAGACAACTAAACGAAAATCTAGAGAACTGAAAGATTTGAAGGCAGCATCCGCTGTAGTCACTGACGAAGCAAGTAAACCTAAGAGAAACCGGATTCAAACCCAGCCCTATCAAAGTCCATTGCCGGAGATCGCTTTACTGGTCAAAAATCTCAGCAAAACTCCTGGTGGTTCTAAAGCTCCTGACGACAAACTCATCGTATTCTATAAGTAAGCGTTCTATTTTGCACAAGTATTCCAACGATTTAATATCTATTTGTGAGTGTGAATTAATTGTTAAATATTTATTGTCAGAAACGAATTTTTGGCTGTGAGAAATGCAGAAGGAAGCTTTTATGTTTGTCAAGCGATGCAAAACATCTACAAATCGAGCAGACGCATCCGCATACGTTGGCTATCTCAAGATAAAACCAATGGTGAATTCTATTCACCTGATTTCTATGATACCATAGGTATTGTCACATTTTCATTTATACTATACACTTGTCTGTTATATTATATATGTATTTAATCTTATTATTTAATTTTCAGATTTTGATTGTATATTAACAAATCTGAACCTAAGCAAGGTCGACAAACATAAATTCTGGTTAACCAGAATAGAACTGCTGCGTACAGAAAATATCTTGAAACGGGCTATCGATGTTGAGGCTGGGGTATCTGAAAAACCTCGAGTTACAGAAGAACATCCCGATGGACGTATGTAATCGTAATATTACACACGTATTAATTAAATGTTTAATAATTTTATAGTCTATTGTCTGTATGACAGTATTGCATATGAAGTGAATAACCGTAATATATTTCTATTTTTGCAGTGGATCTGTCGCTTTATAAAGATGAGTCGCAGCTGAAGAGAAGAAAAGGCTTGCACAACGAGAAGCCGAATCGTAAAAAGTCTAAGCGTGTCGCGAGTTCTACGGATGATGACGCGGACGAGGAAGAAACAGATCGAAATCGAAAAGCATCCAAAGTGAGTCGCTCGAAGAAACGATCGGTCAAAGCATTGGCGATCGCTAAATCTGTCGCGAAAGGCAGCAGCAGAGCAGAGAGAGCGCTAAACAGAAGCACGAAATCTGGCTTGGACAACGATCTTGTTACTACTACTACTACTGTTACTGCTGCTGCTGCAGCTGCCACTACGTCTATCGTGACTACTGCTACGGCTGCTACACCAGTTGCCACCACTACTACTACTGCTGCTGCTAGTGCTCCTGCAACTGCTGCTACCACTACAACCACTACAACTACTGTCAGTCCCGCCACCAATGTTTCCGCCGTAGCGGATACCAAAAATAATGTAGAAACGAAGAAGTTGGATTTAAAGAAGAACGGCAAGCAGCAAAGTAATAATGGCACCAGAGGGGTTCCAAGAACAAAACCCGGAGGTACGAAACGTTTTGTATTATGCATAAAAAAAATCTCTGCGATTTTTTTAAATATATCTCGTTAAGAAAATAAAATTTTGCCAAAAATTTAGCCGTTTAACTAGAACTTCATAAAGCACTTTAAAATAATTTAAAGATTTATTTAATTGGCTGAAGTTTGAATTATATTTTTTATTAAAATGTATTAAACTTAAAGGTTCTGCTCAAGCCACACAGCAATCGAGTAAAATAGCAGGACGTCCGAAGCGTGTGGCCGCTACCACCGGCGTTGTTTCGACTGAGGAAGCACCAAGGAAGAAACCACGCGGTCGGGCATAAAATTAACTTAAGCGTTGCTTTTTTATGCTACAGTTACAGCCGAGTCTGTATCGTAGGCAATATGTACGTGTGGTACACCACTTAAAATTGCAATCAATTTGTTATGTAATATATACATGTACGGATCTCAAGATTCTTAAATGTATCATGTTCTGCGATAATATTATAGTCCAATGATACGGGATCAACGACTTGTGTCTCTGATTCGTCAAGTCGCATTTGAAAAAAAAGTAAAAAATAAAAATTAAGGAAAAGAGACTCAGAGATTTATGCGAGCGATATTGTGATATCATGCAAAATTTGTACATATCGTCTACGTCTCAGACTCCTTCAGGGGAAGAAAGTCACGGAATGTGTGGGAACGGTACCTTGAGTTGAGTAATAACTAATCTACAGGGTGTCACATACTAATGCACTCTTGCAATAGTCTATTTTTGATGTTGTGAGTGAACCGTACGTGATTCAGTTAATTTTAATGTACACTTTCCATTGGATATGATATACACTATGTACAAATATACATGTCTGGGAGAGGTAGGAGTTATATGTATTCTGTAAAACAGAGAGAAAGAGAGAGCGTAAGAGTAAGATACAAAGAAATGAAAAAAATAGTGTCGATAAAAAAACGAGAACAATCCCGAGTATTACCGATCCCCCGAGTTAATTCTCGGTCGATCGATCGGTAAAGGATTTCGAAGTACAATACATTTCTGTACATTATGCTGAATCCTTGCTGTTAAAAAAAAAAATAGCACGTAAAAATGGTCCAGCGCCTATATAAAGACAAGCAGAGTAAAGAAGTGCCCTGAATTGTCTCCTTGTCGAGTCAAGGATTCGCGAGAGACTCGCGAGCGGAAAGTAGCACGTTGCTTATAGTTTGTTTTTTCAATTCGCACTTGCGACGGCCCGTTGTAAAATCGCAGGGTTCGTAATTGAACAGATTGAGAGAGAGAGAGAGAGAACGAGAGCGAGAGAGTGGTGCCACATTATTACGATTTTAGTTATATAGACGTAATTTTTAGGAGAAGAGAAAGAAACAATACTTATTTAGAGCGATAAGTCTTGAATTTTAATTGTATAAATCTTGATTTATATACGTGTTAATTTTAATCTCCCTTTTTTTTCATCGAAGGTTATAGAATGACGAAGTGTACATTTAATGTCATATATTAAGACAGTTATGATTTATATATTTCGCCAAATTTATATAAATTTACATATATTTTAATATAGCGCATATTTTATATTCTGTACGTTTGTTGCGAAGAACGCAAGCTTGTGTCAGTGTATTTTTTTTTCCGTGGAGAAACCGTTAAGAACGTGTATCATTTGATTCATGTAATGTGTAATGAGACATGTATGTTTCTCTTTTTATACACTATGACAGTAGAGATACGAGGATCTTGCGAAGCAGATAGATTATTTATAATGTTGTAAGAGGTCGGCGGCTTCGAGCATTAACGACGGAGTATCCGTATACGTCGTCGACCGCGAGGATAGATTTCTTTTGATTAGGATTCCGTGTCGGGATATGTGTGTAAACATGTGTATTTTATACATCAAACCGTTAAAGTACTGTTGTTTTCTTGCTTGATTTCGCCCGGACGTAAAGCGTGTACATAAAGCGATTAGATAATCAAAATTGTGCATACGAGTGTTAACCTACCGATGGGACCTTCCTTCGTGGCGTTCCGAGTGAAATTAGGACGATCACACATTGCAATTCGCTTAGCACGCATCACACGACACCCGCTTTTCATTTATGCAATTCTCTCGATAATCGCTTATTATTTCTCGATGATCATGGGCGCTTATACGTTGAGTGCAAACACGTGACCCCCCCCCCCCCGCGGCGTCGTTTGAGAAAGGAAAGAACACTAAGAACATAGGCATATCGACCTCTGCTCGAAAAAAAAACGAAGATGATAGAATACGATTATAATTATAACTAAATGGTTAAGGTGGAATTTTTAATTCTCGAGATGGGACACGCATACACGAGTAAGATATCAATCCTGTCATACTTGGTCCATTGCACATTGTATTTGAGAAATATACGCATACAAGGCATACTGTATAAATTTAAGTAAAGAATTCTAATAACAATACACACACGCAGAACTGTTTGCTCATCTTATTATTACTCGATTTCGCTTTAGGAATGCTTGACGCGTTTTTCTTCTTTTCAAGGAACAAAAAGAGAGAAAGGAGGAAAAGTACAAGCGCCGATCGTCAGCAAAGTGCAATCAGGAAACGCATAAACTGTGAAGACGATGACGCGTCGTTCGACGCTTGCACGCATCTTCTGGAGATCGTTCTTCGTTCTTCATCCTGACCTCATTAAGTGCGACTCTAAGAGATGCGTTAACGAAATGTAATTCAACGTTGCGCGAGAAATTGTTTTTTCCCCCCGATTCAGAGAGAAAAATGAATTCATCGCCTAGCCGGGAAACTCGCCTGCCGGAATCCTCTTCTTTCTTACACATATTCGATACCTTCATCTCAAGCTCGCTCTCCGATAGCTCCTGATGGACGAAACGTGAGAGATCGCCGAGATGATTACGTCGTCGATGCTCTCGTCTGAAGATACGTCACACCGTTCGACGACCGAGTTTAAATCACGTTAATAAATGCGACCATGCCAAGGGGCTACGGAGGAGCGTTTTTTCGACTCGCGTAACGATTAAGTGTCTTAACGTTAGCTCTTATTAGATATATATATAAGTGCTTCGGATGCTGGTTTGCTAAAGTAATCAAATAAACTAACTGTACGATGTATATATATTCGTTAACATATATCGATCGTGGTATATGCGTACGATAAGACTCTAAGTGATCATATCTTTCTCGCACCGCGTCTTCTTACGTTCTCGACTTGTATGTCCTCGTGGCGGTAAATTCTCCCCCTCCTCGAGTACAACGTGTACATATTCCTGCTCTCAAACATATTCACGCGGTTTCTCGTCGTTGGATAGATCCCTTTTCCTCCCCGCTCTCGATCATGATTGTAAAAATTTTTGAATAAGCAAACACGCGTATCTTCCTTTTTTTTCCTTTAAATTTTAGCTGGAATAAGCTTGCAGCTTTACGGGCGCGTCTCACGATTGATAAATTAAAGCGTGCATTATTAAGGACTCTGTCACATGCGCGAATTGGAGGGCAAACCAGGGCAAACGTCTTGCGGCTATTCCTATCCTCAAACTACCTTCCAAGACGTCGAGATTTTACTTTCGAATTTTATCTGCGATTACAATGTGATTACAAAATGAGACATATTTATTAAAGACGCGAATATAGAACGTAACCGTCTGTTGCGAAGCGTGGCAGGATCAACGATACGCGTTGAAAAGAAAAAAGAATGGCCGTTAAAAATGTGGGAACGATATGATGACCGACAAAACGCAAATTAAATAAGTTTCTCTACTTGCACCCGAAGTTTCGCTGAATCGGCGCGATTCGCGCGTTCTTAAGTAGCGAGAATTTTTATATACCCGTAGAAAAGGAACGTCCTCCTTTTCTCTTCTCTCCCCCCCCGGGGAGGCGTTTCTTCCCTCTGATTTCGACGAAAGTTGTTTTGTCTCGTAGGATAACCGTAAGAGTAAGATAAGCATTTTACGATCGAATAGAGGGTGAGATACGTATTGTATTAACTTCACACCTACGGTTCACGCAGCTCTCTTGATAGTCTCGGTGGCGTCGGAAAATTCACGCAGACACACACACACACACACACAGGTGTTTTGTACAAAGATCCTTTGGTTATGTATGTATAATAAAGTGACGTCCAGAAATATTGCGGGTGATCGTTCTTTCGAAGCGGCAGCGAGGCGCGAATCTCATGGAGAGAGAGAGAGAGAGAGAGAGAAAAACCACAAATTAACGTCAACTTGAATATCGTCGAGTTTGACTTAGATTTCTCTTTCAGTCACTTTAGTTTCTTATCGATCAAAGGACAAGCGAATCTTTAATTAGTCCCAACGATTTTTCCACGGGATGATGCGTCGCGTCGCGCATAAGTCCACGCAAAAATAAGTATACGAGTGGCATAGTATAAAAAACGTGTTTTAATAAATATCAATAGAAAAAAAAGTTACAGAAAATATCTACAGGGGATTACAAAATGTCGATATATAAAATTACATGTCCCGCAACGTAATTATCTAGGACCCTTACATCTGTCAATGTCAACTATCTAGTCTTAAGATTAGCCTTAATAGTAATATTGATCGCTATCACTAAAGGTAATCGTAATACTCTTCATTGCGACACCCGATTGAGAAGTATTGTCGATTTTTCATAGTTCCGTTCACGCGCGTATCCCTTCGCGCGTTAGTAAATAAATAGCATGCGATTCAACGATCAAAATTCCTGGCGGCGAGGTGTAACGACGAAAACGACCAGTCCGAAAAATACCGATTGCCCAGATCCGGGCACAGTCTTCGATCGTGCGACGAGTAGAAGAAAAAGAAGAGGTTTTTGCAAAAATAAAAAAGGGACCAATATTCGCGAGTACAAAACGAGTTCTAAATTACAAGGCACTAGTAAGAACTCAATTGTCACTCTCTTTCCAAGTATCCATTGTACTTCGCGGATAATGAAAGAGCTTTATTTGTCGTAATGTAGGACTAGCAAGATATACAGGGGGTACCACCGCTAAGGCATCGTTCTTCAATGGCAGATTTCATAGCGGAAATGTTACCCTTTATCGTCCCTAATCATACAATCTTTCAATTTTTAACATCATATATCTTTCGAACTGAGCCTTGAAGTTAAAATTCTATCAAGGTTTATTCGCGAACGAGAGATTAGTTGCAGAATAACGCTTGTTACTTATCTCTTCTCTTAAGACGTAATTTCTTCTAAAACTTAATTAAACTTTTTTTAAATCGCTCTTCATTCATCAATGCTCCGATATTTCCGCCGGAAAGAACTTCGTCTGGAGTGGCCGAGAGAAATGTTCATTAGTGAAATCTAGACCCGATAGAAGTGAAACGCCCTGTATATGAGAGATTCAAGCGTTTATTTATCGAAATTGCGCGTTTGAGATTTTCTAGAATACTACGTTCGATAAAGAGAATTATAACAACTCTTCGATTATACAGGAACATTCGTAGTGAAGTCTTTACGTTTCGAACTTGTTACGACTCTAGATCGTTTCCCTTAATTATAACGCTTGTATACTGAAAAGATGCTCTTTGGGATATTTCTATGTACAACGCGATGGGTAGCCGTCGTAGTTTTATCGCGCTTGAATAAGAAAGAGCGACTGCATTCTTCTTCCTTTCGTCTAAAACTGTAATTTTGCCTCATAGCGCACGATAGCCCGTGTATCGCTTCTCACGTCTGGAGAATATCGCGAATATAGTATACATATTTTATTATACTAAACTGCGATCCTAATCGGGTGACGTTTCGTCATTGTCGTAGGGTGACATGTAGGTATATGTATTATGTATATCGTAAGCCTGAGATTTATAGTAACTATACCTCTTTGCTCAAGAAAACCTGCGCAAATAACACATGTAATTTACATCGAGCGCGCATGTCTTCCACAAAAGTTTCTTTGAGCAAATCGCAGTGCCATTTTTTACTTGCGATGTGAAAACAATCGCGTTTTGCCTTAATCCCGATGCTTATAAATTCATACCAAAAAAATTATATTAATGAGCGCCGCAAACATCTGTACGTTTGTCGATACTCGAGGAAAAACTCAGTCGCTTACATGAAAAATACATGATACAGCGTCATTATTTGTGTTCGTATTAAAAATAGATATATTCAAACGATGTAATTATGTATGAATTGGTTTGCCTTCACGAAGACAAAATGGAGATTCAATGAACAATTCATAGTACACGATTTCCTAAAATAATCGATACGATATGTATATAGGAGAGCTCGGAAATAAAACGCGCCATATCGAATCCTTATAGTACAATTTAAAAAAACCATTCGCGACGTAAAATATTAAGCCATTTTTCTAAATAACAATAGATACTAATTACGCCTCGAGAATTTCTTTCTAAAATTTACTTGATCGTATCGTGACGAGTTTCAAGTTGAAAAAAAAACTTGAAACTCGAATTTACTTCTTTCGGCGGTTGCCGATTAAACCAGGGCCTCGGCGTGATAGTGATGATAGTGATGATGTATGTGCTCGTGGACGTGCCTTCGGCTGGACGTGGCCGCCACCGCGTTCTGCGAGAATTCACGTTCGAGCCAACGCACGACTTGCGCCATTGCTCGGGCTTGATCCTGCTCCCGCGTGGCGTGCTTCAGCTGATGCTTCTTGCTCGCTCTGCCGCATTGTTGCGTATTCACAAATTGCGCGTCGTTGCGCTGCAAGTTGTTGTGATTGTTGGTAATCGTCTGATGATTAGCCGTTTGCTGGTTATTGTTGGGCACGAGGTTGACGATGTTGCGGTGAGTATTGCCGCTGCTAGGGGTGTGCTGCGGCGTGTCGTTGTAGACCGTTGTCGGAGCGATCACATTACGATTCAGTATCTGCGAATACGTCGCGTAGGTCTGAGGAGAGGAATGCGTCGCGTTGTTTCTCGGTGTCGCGTGCCGCGTTTTTCTGAGATTCGCCGACCGCGATTTGACCGGCGTTTTGGGAAACGACACGGAATGATGAGTACTCTCCCGGATTGGTTTGTGATAGTTCGCGGCCGTTTGACGAGGCTCCAGAGATGTGTGACAATCCTGATTATTATGATTCGGGTTTTCTACGTGGGGACTATGAGATGGAATGCGCGATTGTTCGTTTTGGTGCCGTTTCCTGCAGACAAAAAAGTAGATTCGATCTATAGCCAAGATTCTTTCAAGAATTTTATCTGTTTTAAACATTATATAGCCTTATGAATCTTAATAAACAAGAAAAGTGTATTGGATTAAAAGAATAGGGGTTTTAATTAAATTATAATATTGGAGAATATTAAAATATTGCTAATTTGAGGAAGAATTTTAGTTATTTATTATACATATGTGTAAGCAAAGTTAATATACGAAATTTTAATATAAACTTAATTTTGTAAACTGATCGCAATTAACTCACCGTGATGTGTGAAAACTGAGATTATTTTTTTCCATGTTGGCCTGAATAATCTCGAGCAATTGTTGCCTTTGTAGGGCGCCGCTGCGTTTCCTCTGATTCGTCGTAAGAAGCGGCGTTAATGGCGAGAACGCGGGGGAAGTGTCACTATCATCGCTCACATCACCCTCCGAGCTATTTGAATAGGGAGATGGTAAATGGGGCACCGGACCGACTCTCCTACGAAGCTCCTCCTGCTGCACTCGATTCGTTCGGGCATTCTCATCGTCGTCCTCGCTGTGGGTCTCCACTTCTTTTCGCTCGGTCTGCAATGGAAATCGAAATGACGAACAAAGTAAAACAACCGTAAGCATGATGTACCGAGAGCAACGCAATGCTCTATTAATGCTTTATTAAATAAACGCATAACTTATAAAACAACGGGAAAGGGCGCAAATATGTTTTGTTATTTGTGTCAAAAATGTTGAAGAAAGTTTGTATATGATCTACTTCCGCAAAACGAAAAAGCTCGTATTTGATTCAACGTGTAAAGACAACATCTATGTTACGTATCAAAGGGGCAATTAATAAGTTTTACTTATAAGCTCAAAAGTAGTAAAAAGCTTCGAAAGTAATTCGTAATATAATTTGACGATTACGTGAATCATCATCAAAAGTCTCGCGAGAGAAAACGCTCGCAGGAAGCGGATTTATCTCTTCGTTCTTATACCTTCCCGAGAGTCGCGATTGGCATCTCGACTGCGGCGTATCGCGCGCATGGCTCAGATGTCGGAACGGCCGGTCGCGGTTCCGAGTTCCGGCGCACATATGCATGTGCAACGTGGTTCATATACGAGGAATGTAGGTCTCACCTGACAACGATACCGCGTTACTCTTCTCCTTCTAGGAACTCTGCTCGCGCCATGCCGAGCGGTAGCGGTGGCCGTCGCTGTTGCGTGGCTGCACGGGGCGGCGTGCTTCAAATGGCAGCAGGACGACGGGTTGGGCTGGTGACCGGGCAGCGTAGCGGCCTGTGGCGTTTGCGTGGCATTTAGGCAGGTGCCGGCGGCATTGCGCGGCGCCTGGCTGCTGCTGCTGCTGGCCCGCTGATCCGGCGACACCGTCAGCTTCACCTTGATCGTCTTACTGCCGCACGGCGGTACTTGGATCGAGGCGCCTAGCGTGTCGTAAATGGTGGTCACTAAACCAGCTATGTCGTCCTTGGTGATCTTCCCGTGCCCGTCGAAGTCGTACAGAGTGAAGGAGAACTCCTGCCGCCTCCTGTCACCATCCGCGACCGACACGTCGCACTCGAATTCCTGCAACGAGAATAAGGTCGCTCGGATTAAAGAAAAAAATCTCGGGTGCGTGACTCTAATAATTATACGGATAGCAGATAGCACAACTGTAGCGTGTTGAAAAAAAAAGTCTTAATAACATGGAAATAATACGTGCGGTTAAGAAAGTATGTTACAGTCATTGTACATTTCTCTTTTATTTATATAATTTCTTGGGAATTCTCATTAAATTAACTGATAATAACTATCGATTTTCGCCAATTAATTAACATTATAAAGTGAATTATAAAGTGAAAACAAAACATGAAGGAGAAATGCAAAATAAGAAATTATCGTTACACGAATAAAATTTGTCGCGAATTAAAAATAAGTAACGAACAATGCAATCTTTATGCAAGATATCTTACTGAACAGTATTAACAAACTAACTACTACAAATTTTTACAGTATAAATTAACTAATTTGAAATTTCTAATATACGCGACACGGCATTTCGTTCCCTACCAAGATATATAAATAAAAATATTTCACCTCGAAACTAAGCTGTTTCGTTGTACCGCAAGTAGGCTGTTCATCGTTAGCGGTAGGTCCTGCAGGTACGCTCGTACTATCGGGCGCAACCTGCGGCGACTCCACGGGAGAAATTAAAATCGGTTGCGACTCCGTCGTCGGTGGTGACGAAACGTTGCAGGCCGTCGGGACGCCCGTGAGCAATTCCTCGGAATCGCTACCCTCCGTATTGGTCCCTACGACTGAACAGGTAACAATTGGAAGATTCGTTATGCGAGGATGCACAAGCAGCTGAAACTTTGTTCGACCTGCGCAACCGTATCTTTCTCCCTCTCTCTCTCGTAGCGTACAAGAGAACCAAGTCGCGTTTTTCTTTTCTATCTTAAAATCTTAAGCGGAGCAATGATTTCTCGGGATCGTTTTATTGTATATCGACGCGCAAACGCGCGATTGGGATTGGGCGCGGCGCGAGCCGGGAACGCGATCCGGGAAGCCGTTCTCCAGCTCGCCCGCTCGCTTTCCCGTCGCGCACGATCGCGATTTCTGCCCTCGGGCTGTGAGCTGCGAGAGAGGCAGAGGAGCGAATAAAAGGCGGCATTTAACACGCGCCGCGGCATCCGCGACCGGTGGCGTGTTTGGTGCACAGACGGTATTTTTACGCTTCTCCGCGCCGACAGTCGCGCGGCGCGGCGCGGCGCGGCGTTCCATCGGGGAGGAAGCCTTTCAGTGACTGGTATAACCGGGGGGAAGCAGCTGGAATTCTAACCAGAACCATCGAATCTCAATGCCGTGAGGTTTTACGCATCTTTCACCGGCGCGGGCGCGAGCGGTGAAATCCCGATTTTCACAATTTCAAAGAACGAGGATCTCGTAAAAAAAAATGGAAAAATTCCCGCGTTTGCTTTCGCGATCGATATCAAATATGATTTCCAACAGACAGGAACTAACAACGTGGTACGACAATTTTCAAAGTTTTCTTTTTTTCCTCGAAAACGGAGCCTCGCGTACGGAATTTTAATCTATATTTCTTGCTTTTCGTGAGCTCTTTTCTGTTGTCTTCCGACGATACTTTGAATTTGTAGAACAGATTTAAAGTTAAACATCTAATTGCAAGCGCGAGAAATTGCAGAAGTAAAAACTATATTTTTCGATTCTTGATATCGCATTACGAGTACGATTCTAAGCAGATTCCAGACTACACCTGGATCGAATTTTACTATGTCGTATTGTATACTATGCTCGCTATCCATTTTCATCGAACTTGTAATGCAGGATCATTGTATAAGGAACGCAACGTCAGCTCTAGGGTGAAAGGGACGATGTCAAGCCGCATCTCGTTCCGCGTGTCCGGCATCTCGGCTTGAATAGCATTTCGGCTTTTATGTCCTGAATCGCGAGCTTCGGTTTTATCGTCAACCATTGTGTAATGGGCCGTAAACTCGTCCCACCTAACGGGCACAAAGCGCGGATGTGCGATAGACGTGGCTGTTAAACTCGGACTCGACAGAGATACCTACTCGACAACTCGACGGTCGACGCGTACGCGGTTTCGCGTTTTACGTATGTATATGCGTAAGAGGTGCGCAAATTCACCTCCGACATTCGATACCCGCTACCATCACGCGCGAAAAATTCACGAATATTCGTGCGAGTTGCGGCTTGACGAGCGATCGTTAATCTGTCTTTTCAAATGATGCCTGTATGTATAATACGGAAAAAGAGATGCGTTACAATCTAAATCTTAATAATTATATCAGAACGCAATTGCTGTATTGAGACTCGTGGGCCGTTCCGTACATTTCAATCTTTGAAGATGCTTTCAGACTTTCACGTTATCGTTACAAACAAATCTCATAAAGCTAAATATAATAGAAATAATAATTATTAATATATATTAAAAATATAAATTATTGAATAAAGTTTGTAAGACATTTATCTTCATATATGTATTATATTATATAATCATTAAAAAAAGGCGTTAATTGTAACTTAAACAATTTTTTTATCTGGTAATTGAGATTCATGGAAATCGTGACGGGGAATTAGAGAACCGTGGATGAGAAGGAGCCTCGAGTAATTTTGTTGTCGCTGAACGCACGCACCGCACGTTCCGCGCTATTTTCAACGACGCGTTACGGAGACAAGCGTAAGGTAAATGTACCAGTGGTCGCACACTTAAGCCACAATTCAGATTGTGATACAAATTTAGCCCATTTAAACGCATGCTTGGTACAAATGACTTGAACCATCTTGAAGCTTAGGGTTTCTAGTTTTTAAAACACATGCAATGTTTATTTTAATATTCAGTCATTTATTATTTATGCCGCGAAAATGATAAAAAGGTCAAATGTACCAGTGTCCGCACAGCCTTTACTCGGTATGTCCCACCCAGTGTCCGCACAATACGATATTTAGGCTGCGGTTCACTTGATGCTACAAATGCTTCGAAGCATTCCTCCTTCAATGAAGAAAGAAAGAGAAGAAAAACGCTTCAAAGCATTTGTGGCGTCAAGTGGACCGCAGCCTTAAACCAAAATATATTCAGCCGTAACATAACCTCTCCATGTAAACAGCAAACAATTTTTCTGATACTGGTTGCACAGATTCAGCATGCACATTAGATTTATTGCAGATATATTATCAACAATGAGTACTTACTTATCAATCGGTTTTCCACACGATATTTTGTTTTCTTTTAATCGAAACACCAGAATTAATTCCGTAGTAACAACTTTGCATCGATCGAGAAACAGCGTGCTACGCGATGTGCGGTTACTGGGACTAGCGAACTTCGCAGGGTTGTACCAGTATCCGAACAGCCGTGACGTGCGAGACCGAATAAACAATTTAAAATAAATGGTAATCCGTGCAGAATCATACTTCAAATTTGTTTGTTATTACAATAACATATTGTAGATCCCTACACAATTTTTAAATTTGCAATATTCTTCACGAAATGCTTAATAAATTGAAAACATTAAAGTCGTGTGCGGCGACTGGGACGTGTGCGGCCACTGGTACGTTTACCTTATAGGTATAGACTATAGACACACAGGCCGAAAGCTAAGAAAAGTATGATGTAAGACCACGTGGTATCCGCCTCGATAACATCTTGGCATTATCCACCGCTGACGACGGTCATTCTTTTGCGGCAGCATGATTGATCTTTCAAACGCCACCGCTGCGCTAATCATATTCTTTTTCTCTCTACACTGCTTTTCCGTTGAACCTTTCCCCCTCTCTCCCGCCCCAACCATCGCTCTTTAACCCCGCTTGCCTGGTTTTTCTCAGGTATATCCGAAAGTCGTTTTGACCTGAGGGAAATTTGCTTAAAACCTTAACAAGAGATATACAATGGAATGCAAATGGGAAACAAGCATATCTTCGACAAGACTACCTTACTAAAAAGGAGTCGGGACTAAGCCGTAACTAAAAATTTAATTTCGAAGGCTTTCTTTTTTTTACGTTTCTATCTGCTTTCTAGGAATGTACCCTGATAAGAAAATGGGTTGAAGAGTAGTTCACTTATAAATGACAGTTTTCTTTCGGGTTATCTCGACAGGTATATATACGTATTTCAATCCCGGGCATACCTAATCTTAAAAGGAAACTTATCGTAACAAAATCAATCTCGTTGGCAGGCGAAACAAATTGAAACAACCAAAATTTCAATGGTATTAAAGTTAAACGTTGATTCAGGGATTTATATGTTCCGCGAATCCGTTGTGTACAGAATTCTTTAAGACGGTTTTATCGAGTTTTGCGACAAACGTTTGCGTGTGATAATCATTCTCGTTCTTCACAGTTCACAGTTAAATCGCGTTATCATTGTATTTAGGAAACATTTCGTAAACACGATATACAGCATATTGTAGTTACAGCAGGCAGATATAATTATACAAATCATTTGAAACAAATACCACATGAGCTTCTCGAACAGATTATCAAGCTAATAAATTATAATTGTTCGTAACAATTAGGGAGAGTTTAATTAAATATTATTTCACCGTCACATGAGAGAAACCGTGTGTAACTACGTAGTTTTTAAATGTCTGAAATAAAGTCAACAAGATGTGTGTATCATGTGTACGCGGTCTCACATGTTTATTGTTTATATTAGCTGTAATCAGAGCTCGTTAAAATTAAAAGTTCATCCGAAAACTGTTAATAAGAGAAATTAGCAGTAACTTGAATTAGCATTGTGCGTTTCTTTCGCCTTTTTCAGGCCCGAGAGTCTCAATATCGCAGCATGCGTTCCCCGAAAAGGAAGGAACGATCATTACCAGAAAAGGGTCTGTAGCCAGCGAGGAACCTTGCTCGCCACCACTTTACCAATCCGGTAGCCATGGGACCTTCATGCGTGCATGCGTACGTGCGTGCGTGCGTACGAGCGTGCGTGTGTGCGGGCGACGACGATCGCCGTGATCCCTCTACACTTGGGCTCCCCGCTCTCGGGATCGGCGGCACACTTTGTTCCTCCTCCGTAACTACCGACACGCCGCGGCCGCCCTGGATGCATACGCGGGTCGCGGTATTACGTGCCGCGCCGTGCCCTCTCCCTCGGTACTTCCGGTTAGGCGCACCTCTCCGCACCCCGCGCTCGATCTGTCATCCGGCAGCGGCTCGTGAACCATACGAGACGAGAGGCACAAACGCGCACTCGGCTCGACTTAACGTACGGCCCGTCAAAATTTTTCAAACGGATAGGCGTAGGGCCGTTGCCGTCACCGTCGCAGACGCACACTGTACGCACGTGTTCGTCGCGGAGCGTGCCTCACGGCAGCGGGCAGTCGGCACTCACTCGGAAACGTCGCGCAGCACTGCCGGGAGTGCCGGGAAGACGATGATGCGGTTTTGCCGCTCGCGCATCGAGGCGAAACGAAGCGCGGACACGAGGCACGGAAAAAAACCTCCTCTCCTCCACCACCACCTCCTCCACCTCCTCTTTCTCCGCGCAAGCAGGTAGAAACCCGCCCGTCACCGCGGTTCGGACACGACTACGGGCGCTCGTCCTCGCCTAAAAGCACGTTCCCCGTAATTCCCCTACCTACCCGCGCGCCATACCGCCATACCACCACTACCATCGTCACTGTCGACACGGCACCATCGTCGCAGCAGCCACCATCATACCAGCCAGCCAGCCAGCCAGCCAGGCAGGCAGGCAAGCTGAACAGGCAGGCGGGCGGCCTGGCAGCGTGGCGCAGCCCGTATTCCTCGCTTCGTCGTCGGCCTGGCTTGGTCGGCCAGTGCCGAGCCGAGGATACGCGGACCCCCGAAGGTAGGAGACGCGCGGCGCGGAGCGGCACGGCGGCTCTTCAACCTCTACCTACTCAGCCTACTCTTCTCTTCTTCTCTCTGTTCTCTTATTTTCTCTTTCTCCTTTGCATACCCGTTCGCCAGAGAGCCAGCGTTCAGCGCTCTGCCGTCTTCCTGCAAGAATCTCGCGGTGTGAAGTGTGAAGCCCCGTTTACACGACCCAGAACTATAACAGTACTCTGTCCACATAATTGCAGACGCACGCCGCATCCGTGATGAATTCCTTTTAATATATATATATTCGTGCGCTCCTGTATAAAAAATATCCTTCTTCCTCTCATTTCCACGCAACTTTCCCAAAAACCACATATGCAACGAGATAACAGCTAATAAATTGAGACTTGAACTCATTGGAGTAATCTCTAGCTTTAATTCGCCAATTATAAAAACTTTCTCTGTAAAGATATTTCCTTGTAAGAGTACAACGTAATTCAATTAATTCGATTGATTCGCTTTCTCTCGATCGTTTTCATCGATCATTTATAAACAGCGTGGGACAGGCTTAACGACGAGGAAGGACCCAGCTTCGCGGTTACTCCGAGTTTCGAGATGCGAGAAGAGACGACGCCGACGGCGATCCGACGCTCGGTGCCGTCAATGTCGGAGGCTAACGCGAATTTCGTTGCCGATCGTCACGATCGCTGAGCGACAATCGATTTCCGTTATCTTCCGGCACGTCAAATCAAACCTGCCTTCCGAAAACCGACCTCGTTGCGTTCGTTGAACTCGTCGATTTATCGCGCGTTCGACGTCGCGACGGACCGATCTTTGACTATCTTCGAAAATTACTGGAGGCTGGAGAAACGAACGGACGCTTTTGTTACGCGATGATTCTGACGCGGAATGTATACCTTGCGTTTCTTCCGCGCGTCGTAATTGACGTTGACGATTTTCCAAACCTCATCTTTGCAGATCGTGAGACTTGGAACGTCATGTACCAATTTTTTGCCGATTGCATAAAGTAATTATCAGATCTAATTGCTATTCGAGAGGTTACAATATCTGTATTGTACGATTTGTCACATATAAATTGTATCATAATGATTAATCACTGATGTAACGATGATTAATCAACATTGTGTCAATATTTATCAATCGCGACAATAAATATATTAATATCGGAAACAAAGTTCTTCCATGTCCTTAATCCTCGACGCGTAAAAAAGAATTGTATATAAATATACTTTATAAACTACCAACAGGTATTCTCTTTAAGTTTTATTTATTAATTTGATGCTTTTGTCAGCTTTTCCACCGACTACAATGATCGATAAAGAAAAATCAAGTTAGACGTACTTCTCTCGTAGCGCCATGACGCTATAAAATATGACGCTATTTATCTCGAAAAATTGTGACCTGAATTATAGTAATCACGCGTTAGAGTAATCGCCCGAATTTAACGGCGCGGCGGCGGTACTTGAGAGAATCTATAACCAAAAGCTTAAATTCGTTATTTTGCCATCGTCCCGCGCGGAATATTCGCGCGGTAAATAAATGATTCCTCCTCCCGCGTGTGTAAAATTACGCACGCGGAAACTTAATCGCGCGGATTGTTATTAAAAAGAAAGAGAAAGAGGAAACCCTACACTTCCGGCCTATTTCCGCCGTAAGCCGTACGAATCGATACCCTCGTCATTGAGATCACTTCGGTGTTTACGTCGGCGACACACACGCGCGTCATCGTTCACAAACGCGCGGTCGTGTTGTTTCGACGCTTCAATGAATCACGAGTCAGAGACGGGGGAGAGACGAGACACGGCGACGGGGGTAGAGAGAGAGAGAGAGAGAGAGAGAAAAAGGGAGAGGGTGAAAAGGGGAGAAGGGGGAGTGGAGGGTGACAGGCAAATTAGAGAAATGCGCGCTCCGATTTCGCGTTTCTTCTTTTCGTCGGAAGAGACACATTCTTTATTTACATTGCTTCACCGAAACCGCTCTCGCGGCCGAGAGTGCTGCGCAATACCACTCGGAAAGTCCGTCCGTGTCAAATCGGAGATATTCTTTTTGGAGACTGTACCCGCACGCTATTATCTCCTAGCGGTGTTTCAGAAGAAACATAGGCGTCGCCGCGCGGAAGGAGTCTCGCGGGGCTTGAGTCGCTTGGGTGTTTCGGGATACCTTCCATCTCTCGTTCATCCTTCAGCAACCTTTTTCTTCCCCCCCCCCCCCCCGTAGACGTCCTACTAACGTGCCGTGCGCTACTGTTAGCAGCACGCTCGATCGAAATAAAAAGAGAAGAGAAACAATTAACTTGGACAAAAACACGACAGGCCCCCTTTGTATGCAACGTCCCGCGCTGACTGCGTAAGCGCGAAATTAAATATTATACGTCGCGAGATACATATATACTGACACCTCTATGCTTTTACATAGTCCCTCGTCAGTCCCTTCTCACGTTCTACGGGGTAATATGATTTCAAAAAATAAAACACTAAATAAATCTTTAATCTCAAAAACCGTACCTATACCTTTTATTAATCCATCTATCCTTGAATTCTCGCGTAACGAATAATAAAGATTGAGGAAATCAAATTATACGTTGTGGCACTTATTTCGTTTTTAATAATTTTCAAAAGTAGGAATACGCATTTTTTTTTAAGAAGATTAATTTCACTAAGAGGTAATTTCTTCGATTAATACCGGTGTATTGCCCGAACTCTCAAAAAAAGAAATATTAAAATATTACGATGTTAATGACGATTTACAGATTTTTCTATTTCAAGAATTTACCCAGTGGCAACGATTAGTAATGCATGTGTGTGTGTGTATACGTTTTTTAAATTTTTTAAATTTATATTTATTAGACGCTGTTTTCTTCATTAAAATCAAATCTTATTCCGTTTATTTTAGTAACACGCATTTAATCTCGATTTGAGATATTAAAAATGTGTTTTCAAATGTGTTCTTCTCTCTCTCCTTCCCCTTTTGTATGCAGTAAAAACTGATGATATTGAGAAGAATATCCGCGAAGTTGTATCTTAAAACGAATCGTACAGTTTCGACGTAACAGCAGAATCGAGTAACGACAGAATCCCTGTTGCGGATGCAACACAAATTCTCCGAGAAAGAGAAAGAAGGAAGAAAAAGAGAGAGAACCAAATAAATACGGCGCAATTCCACCGTTCGGAATTTTCTATTTCCTAGGACGAGTCCCCGGACGGTGACGCCACTGAACGACCGGCCGGTCGGTCGGTCGGCGGACGGTCGCGGTCGGCCCGAAGCATCCCTCTCACACTCCCTATACAGAAAGGCTCTCTACCCGCCATGCCGTGCCGTGCTGTGCCGTGCCGCGTTGCGGTACGGTTTGCCGTGCCATCCTCAGCCGAGTAGCGTGGCTAGTTGTTTCTTTTCTTTATTCCTTTGTCGGAAAGTCGGCGGCAAGTCTCGTTTTTAAGAGGCGGCAGAGAGGGCCGGGTGAACGGCGGAGCGGAGCGCGGCGAGGGCAGGACGAGAGGCAAAAGGGAAACGGCGCGGCAACCAGCCAGCGGGGGTTGCGAGGGGGATCGGAGGGAGCCAGGATGGTGGCTCGGTGCGGCCTGCCTGGGTAGAAGCAAGAAGGGGACCAAGGGGGAAGAGGAGCCCCGCGCACGAACGCGCGCTCTTCGTCGGTGAGGGGAAATAAAACGCGCGGCTCAAAAACGCGGGTACAGACTAATCTCGAAATAACGCCGGCAGCGGGCACAAACTCTCTCCCTTTCTCTCCCTTTCCCTCTCCCCTCCCTCCCTCTCTCTCTCTCTCTTTCTCTATCTGTCCGCGGGTGTTGAATTCGAGTCATCTATTAATAATAAACTATTTCCAGATGCGTCTTGTGCCACCATCAGGAACTCAATCGCTGCTCCCTTTCTCCCTTTCTCTCCAGCTTCGCCCAAGCGCTTTGATCTCGCCAGTGATCTCACCTGTGCGTCAGATCGAGCGCCAAAGAAGAACCGAAACCGATTATAACTCGGATTTGCGTTCGATCCCATATTAGTCGCATCAATCAGCGTATTTCTAATCTCTAATCCCTTGGCGAACGAATATAAGTCGAGCTTATTTGTCTCGGACGTATCGGAAATTGAACGCGACGATGTTATTACGTCAATTTCAATTATCCGGCCGCAAAAGGAGGAGAGATAGATAACTGGACGGCGCGTATTCGCGATGTCAGGGTCGCTAATTAGATCCGCGGGAAGATGAAGCTTGTCACGCGGATCGGAGATCGGGATGTCGATCGAATCGACCGAATCGAGCGTCACGCGCGCGATCGCGTCGATTAGACGGTAAGGCGTCAAAAGGGCGAGGTAAATATTTATCGCGAAGGGGACGATTTGAGGAGAGGGACGAAAAGAGGGCCGCGAGATGCACAGGGGCCCCCGAGCCCCGAGACGCGCTGGACAGGATACGGAGAAGGCCTATAATGCCTATAATACAGTTTTGCCGCGAGCGAGCGCGGAGAGAGAGCGGACTGCGCGGAGAGCGACTCGTCGCTCACCGCTCGCCGCTCGCCGGCCAACCGGCGCGGCGCGGCGTCGGTCGGTTTTGCTTGTTGGGCTCTCTCGGGCCTCGGCGAAGGTTCGCCGGATGATACCGGGTGGGAAAAGGGAAGAGAGAGAACGCGCGAAGGGTAGGGGACGGAGAGGTCGGAGCGGAGGAACGAACGGACGAACAGACGGACGGACGGTGGAGCCTTGGTCGTGTTACGGCGCGGGGGAAAGGAGGAAGCGGCCGCGGCCGCGGTGCGTTTGATCTCGGCCGCGGGCGCCGACAAAGCGTTCGTCCACTCTCCTACAACGGCGGACCGTCCCTTGGGTGCGCGCGCGAGAGCGGCATCCATGTGTTGGCCGAGAAGGAGAGAGGCGGACAGAGAGGGAGGCTGAACGGAGCGAGCAAGTGAGAGCGAGAAAGACGCGAAGCGGAAAGGAGGGAGAAAGAGCGAGCGGGACGGCAAAGGACCGCGCGAAGAACGAGAAGGACGGAACGATCGGAGTGGCTGAGCTGGAAGAGAGAGAGAGAACGATGAAAAGGAGGAAGATGGAAAGGAAGGGGGGAAGGGGGCATGAGGGATCCGTTCCACGATTCATCGTGCTGTTGCCGCTGTTGCGCTCGCTCTAGCATGGCGCTCCGCCACGCCACTCCCTCGTGCCGGTGGTACCCACACATAATATTCCACGCATACACGCGCGTATACGCGCGCGCATCATCGGGTTTGCTATTAATAAATAATGCTCGCCGTAGTCCGCATTACAACTAAGATTCCTTCCCACACCATCGTCGCGGTTGTTGTCGTCGCGAGGATGTATTCTCGATTTCGAACACTCGACCGCTCGTGAACTCCGCCTTCTCTCCTTCTGTCCCCGGCCGACAACGACGCGACGGACATGCGGTCTGTCACATCGCGGAGGGACGCATTGATGTTCACGGCCTCTCTCTCTCCCTCTCCCCCCCCCCCCCTCCCCGTGTGTGTCGGATCTATACATGCGCGCGCGTTTCGTGGGATCGCCACGATGGAGAAACGCGTCAATTATTTCACATCGAGAAAAAGTTGCACCGGAGAAAAGAAGAGACGGGGAGAGAAAGAGAGGGACGAGCTCCCGGGACCAGCGATGATCGTCCGTTGCCCGACGAGAATTCCCTTCTCTCGACAATATTCCTGAATCCATAATAAGATATTGATTTGTCTTTAATAATATAAAAACGACTGTACATTAAATGGTAATGCGATTTTAATGTATTTGCGTACACGTTAAAATCGCATTAGTGTTCTCTGTTCTCTACCCATTTTCTCACATTTAATATCGAAAAAAATCTTCACTTGAAATCTCACAGAGGCAAACTGGTGATTAAAATTTAAATAATAAAATAAGCGATACGTAATTATCAAATCTAACTGATTGCTAAAATGCTGCTTTATTAATATACTGGAACATTTAATACTAATTGATGATCCTTGTCCGTTTAATTACTAGATCGGGCATCGTGCAATTACACGCGCTTTAATTTGTGGGCGCAAAAATAACCGAATTACAAAATCCTCGACGATCGATAACCCGGCGATAGCCGTTCGAATAACGTGTGACACATAAATGATAAGGGGAGGCCTTTGAAGTCCCCGGTTTCCGCGCCCAATAAACCGACAAAAGCAGCCGCCGCGCATTATAAATTACGGCGTTCATTAGGAAGGCTGCAATAGTTGCGCGCGGGTAATAAGAGAGGCATTAAAGTCCGAGAGCCCCCTGTATATATGTATATATACATATGTATTTCTACGTGGCGCGTATCGGAATGAAAAGGAAAAAAAAAGAAGAAAAAAGAGAAAAAAAGAAAGAAGTGAAAAGTTGGAGAAACGTCGAATTAACGCGAATGATTCAAGCGCGGCTTCCTCGAACTCGAAAGTAATAATCGGCGATAGAGAGAGAACCCGCGATAGCGCGGCGAAAAGTCCAAGAGGCCGTTTCTTACGGCGACTGGCGACACAGCGAGGCATATCGTGGTGCCTCGACCGACCACACTCCTCGACGAGAAGTGTTTTCGTTCATTGAGGACCTTGTGTTCGTTTTACTCCGGTCGCGGAACACGACCGTGGTCGATTGGACCGTTGCCCGTTGTAGTCGTTGTAGATTGTAGAAGAGAAAAAATAGAACGCCGCTCCGCGCCGCGCCGCGCCAGCGAAAAAAAAGCGACCGATATTCGTGGAGGATTTTTCTGAAAGCGATCGCGATAAAAGCGCGAACGGAATAATTGAGCGCTTCAATGCGGAGACGGGATGTCGCCGTGAGATGCGAGCTGATCTATCAATCTTTGGCACGTATGTTAATCGGAGTAAAATATATATGGTTATAGATAGATAAACAAAAATCTCTGAAGGTTTTGACATTTTTCGAAATGTTAAGTCATTTGTTTAGAATTAGGGTTCATAAATGTATCTTGGATTTCAGGAAAACGATTTTATAACATTGGAGCAATTTGATCTTTGAGACCCCGAGATTTGCTGAACGCTCAAGCAACAAAAATGCGGTCCGTATATGCTTGAGAGCACGTTTCGTTCTGGTAGTTCCATCTGGTAGTTGTAATCGTTAGTCGATGTTACTAAAGAACGCCGCGCCGCGCGCCGGCATACAGTCAATAATAATGAGTCAATAATAATTAATTAATAATTTTTTGTTGAGCACGTGTTAAAAAAATAATAAACTCGAAAATAAATTGCAAGAGATCCATTTCTGCTTTTATGTAACTGGATAATATCCGTAACTTCATTCACTTCTGCTACTGCCTGTTTTTCATACATGAAAAACAAAAATTGAGATAAACGCACAATCCTTATTATACAAATTTTATCAAATTACAAGTAAAGATAGTTTTTTTTATTTATAAAACAATCGCTAAACAAATTATTAACTTAAAATCCGTGTAGAAAAATTTGTGATTAGTTAGCTCGATAAATTTATTAAAAATATTTGATAAATTATTCCAAATCAATTTTCGCTAAACGGTAAGAAACTAACTTCGATTTTAGAGAAGGAACCTATTTATCTAAACTTTAATCGAATCGATTATACGCCGATCACATCAAAAGTCAGCTAAAATGTTTTAAGAGGACCAACGCTGATGTCCTCATTCAGGAAACTATCAGACGCGACATAGACTTTGCAAGGACATTGAATAGATTTTTCTTAAGTATTACTGGCGAGGAAAACGTCAATCGTCACTTTCGTTGAACTCGCAAACGCCACGGTTGCCGGTGCGAGGCGAGGAAACCGTTTGTTTCATTAGATCTGGAAAAAAAGCGCGGCGTACCAGCGCGACATTCATTGACCTTTCATACACGCGCGATGGCAGCGTGGTGATGAACCGTGACATAAATTACAATAATTCCGCGTCGGCCGTCGGCTCACGACTCGCGGCATCCTGTAATTCGATGCTTAATGATAGCGCGAGCCGCGTCGAGGCGATTCGCGTAATTTTGCGATACCGGTTCCTCAAAACACCAAACCGGTATTACGACGATGAATCGCTGTGAGAAAGAGAGGGAAAGAAAGAGGATCCTAATAATCGGTTTTAATAGCGCGGAGAATTGTTTCTTGTATATATCACACATATAAATCGCGAATGCGTAGCAGCGTAGTTGCCGACGTCATTCATGGATCAAAATCCCCCGTTTCACGTATAGTATAGTACGTACAGTTGATTGTGTTAATTGAATTCAGTCGGTCACCGGATGAGCAGAGAGGATGAGGTTGCGTGTTATTAAATCGCTATATAAGGAAACGACGCCGTAATATCGGCTCATTAGCCAAGAGCGGTTTTTTCCCCGTTAATCCGTGGCTTTCCGGGTGTTCCTTCGCCGAGCCTGGTGTTAATCCTGTTTGTAAGTGAACCGAAACTGCGATCGATCCACGGATTTAGCAGACCGTTTTACCGTAATTAAATTGTCTAATTAAAAATATTGCATATTTTTTTTTACGCGACTCGACGAAAGCTCAACAATGTCTAAAGTTTCGAAAATTTATTAAGTACGATAGAAAATGAAGATACTGTTGGTCGCCGTTGCGTTGCTCGTAGCCATCGAGGGGTGGACTGAAGCTAAACCAGGCTGGGCGGCTTATCCTGGCTTCCAAAATACAAGAGGAAACTTTAATGGCCGTGGTCCACCTTGGGCACAACCACAATCGATGGAAAATCAGAACAATAGATTCACGATCAATTCCGACGTCGAGTGGATATGCCAAAATCCAAGGACGAACGACATAGTAATATGCACTTATAATAATCACGAGCATTCTCAAATCCTTAAACGCAATGTTTCCGCGACGAATCAACTCTTTATGTATTAAAAAAAAACTTGTCAAGTAATTGTGATCATCTACAATGTTTTCGTAGACTTAGAAAAAATTTTCTCATACAAACTTTGATCGGAAAAAAATTAGAGAGCGAAAAGATGGTCGATTGAATTTACATGGCATATATCCAGTTCGGTGGACTTTGATAGATATTTAACGGTATAATAGAGATTGATTTTCGAAGTACTTTAGAATTATTAAAAAAAAAATCCGATATATTGATATATTCATATGGCATTTTACCATAGTAGAATGTAAATCCTATTTAATATGTTTAAAGAACACATTTCACATTTCGTAGATGATTATTGCCCCCGACGACACACGAAATACGCCGCAACCGCCGCAACAGAATCCCGATAGGAGACCGTGGCAATGGCATAACGTTCCACCGGGACACCAACATCATCCACACGGGAATCATTGGACTCACGATCACGCTCACAATCAGCCAATCATCATCATCCAAGAAACTCCGAACACCGATGATAAGACTCAAACGCCACTACCATTTCCAACAACAACGGAAATTCCTAATAATAATGACAAACAAACGCAACCGCCTTATAACGGTGGAGAAGGATCTATCGACATTAGAGTTGGAGCAGAATAATTAAGCAGAGCAATGTGTATTTTTATACTTAATTAAGTCAGTTTAATTAAACAATATATGATTATTTAACTTGTCATTTTGATTTTTCTACAGACAAATATTTTATATAATATGCTATCAACATACTATATGTATAATTTTATATAATTGGTCGAGGTTTCTTCATTAAATGTTAATGGCTAAATAATTGATAAATTGTTAATATTATAAAATTATAAAAATATTAGAAAATTATTAATATTATAAAAATACGACAAAAAGATTAGTACGTAATTAGCCTTAATATATAAGAAGGAATATATATCTTCAATATTATGTATATGTAGCCACATATATTGTAATTCTCAGAATTTTTAAATAAAGATTATAGCGCAAATGAGTCACATAAGATTGTACTCTTTTTAAACATGACTATACTGGTCTACTGCTCACCTTGAGTGACTTTGGCTGCGTTTAGCGGAAGAAGCGGCTCAGTTAGCTCGGTAAACGCTCAGTAATTCTTTATTACTAAATTGTAAGTATTGGTTTCGACGCTTACAAGCAGCGAAAAGGAATTGAAGGCGAGAATCAAGAACGAATCGTGTATTAAAGATCCGTAGCCCTTGAACGCGGCCGTAGGGAGCGCTCGTGTCCAGCACGGAAATCTAGAGACCGTAATTACCGGTTACTGGTATGTACCCTAGTGGCAACACTGGCAACCCTGAGCGGTTGCATGGCAGTTTGCAGTTTGCAGTACTGGATGCATCTTCTGTTGGAGGTTGGAGTCATGAGTTATTGGTAGTTTGACTACTGGATACAGTGGATACTGGAGTGCAGTGCGGAGCAGTGTTCGTCTACCTACAGTACCTACACGCGAAAGCAAAAATATGGCAAGTTCGTCACGGTAAGCTTCGCGAAAAATAAATCTCACTTTCGGCCGTCGATCATCGAAGACGATAACAGTCGTCAGTCGTCACGGGACTCACGAGTCACACTTGAGATCGATATCGCGGCTGAAGGTTAAGATTGCGTACAGCTGTACGATATTTTATTTACGGTACGAGGCACGCTTCTCACAGAAGTCAACGTAAGAATAAATAATCGCGACAAGGCCGAGCTGCGATACAAACTTTAATACTCAAATTGAAATTTAATTTGCACGATCGTAAAGCTACGTTACACTTTGACATATTAAACGTTCGCGACTTGGGTCTATATTTATAGTCCGTTCTTATTTCAAGACCGCGTCTTAAGTAACATCTTGAAATGTTAATACGACTTTGGGATTGATTTGTAACATGTTAAGATTGTACTTAAGACGAAAGTCCGACTACGAATACCGCTCTTGGAGATAAAACTAGGACGAAGAACTTATTTATCAATTGGCACATTGATAGAAACATGCGATAGATTTATTTGTATAAATTTGTATAAATGATCTATTTAGATATGTCAAAAATACGAGATATTCGCAAACGAGGAACGTTTATTCCTGAAATCCTTTTTTTACAGGAATTCTACAAACAAGGTTTGTTGTTACGCACATCCAGATGCTCCACTTATAGAAGATTATAGGGCAGGGGATCAGATTTGCTCGGAATGTGGATTGGTTGTGGGAGATAGGTAAAAGAGCCGTAGATACAAGCGTAAAGCTGGCTGGGATAAATTTGACATTTATATGTTTCTTGTATTACAGAGTGATAGACGTAGGTTCAGAATGGAGGACATTTAGCAATGAGAAATCGGGAATAGATCCATCGCGCGTGGGCGGTCCAGAGAATCCACTTCTCAACGGTGCAGACTTGTCCACGATGATTGGACCGGGAACGGGCGCTGCGTCTTTCGATGGCTTCGGTACCGCCAAGTATCAAAATCGACGTACAGTTAGTATTCAGTTTCTTTTTCTTATTATTTTACAGGACAAAAGTTGCCAAATGGAGATTATATTCCTTTCAGATGAGCAGTTCTGACAGAGCTCTGCTCAATGCGTTTCGCGAGATCAATAATATGGCAGATCGTATCAATTTACCGAAAACTATTGTGGACAGAGCCAACACATTGTTCAAGCAAGTGCACGATGGCAAAAACCTGAAGGGACGCTCAAACGACGCGATTGCTTCCGCGTGTTTGTACATTGCTTGTCGGCAGGAAGGTGTGCCGCGGACATTCAAGGAAATTTGCGCAGTCAGCAAGATAAGCAAGAAAGAAATCGGCCGATGCTTCAAGTTGATTCTCAAAGCTCTCGAAACTAGCGTGGATCTCATCACCACGGGTGACTTTATGTCCAGATTCTGTTCCAATCTCGGCCTTCCCAACATGGTACAGAGAGCCGCTACGCATATCGCTAGGAAAGCAGTGGAGATTGACATTGTACCTGGGAGATCGCCCATCTCTGTTGCAGCTGCGGCAATTTATATGGCTTCACAGGTACGTGGAACTATAGTGCGACACTGCATTTTGCAATTAAGCGGGCACTACTTTATTTTCATGCATTTTTATTCTACACAGGCATCGGATGACAAGAGATCGCAGAAAGAAATCGGCGATATCGCCGGTGTTGCGGATGTTACAATCCGACAGTCGTATAAATTGATGTATCCGCATGCGACTAAGCTTTTCCCGGAAGATTTCAGATTTGCCACGCCCATTGATCAGTTACCACAGATGTAAACGAAATACATTTGAACGTTCTAAAGGAATACTTATTTTCCATCACAAGCGCAACCGATTGTGTGTCACTTAATAATTTTTTTTAACAGGGTACATTCCTAAATAATTTATACAATTCACTATTCTTTATTTTATCACAGATAGTATTAATATTTTTTTTTTTTCTCTTCAATTTTATTCAGACTATGTTTTTCAAAGACGCATTGGTGCTTAGATGGAATATATTTAACGTTCAGATTCTGCTTTATCTTACATATTCTGCGGTATGAAACGTGTCTCGTGTAATCTATACTTCTTTTACTTTGGCTTTCTGCACGTTTCTTCTATTTATAAATGTATAATATAGCACGAAAAGAAGTCCATTCATTACTGCGCTGTTATAGTAGATAAAACAACTATTTTTCCATCTGCACTATTAGAAAATAAATTCTCATAAGGTGGCCTCACATTATGTGAAATACATGCGTAAGATATGCATATATGTATAAGTAGATAGTTGATATAATAATTATTGATATATTATTAATCCTAGTTATATATTAATTATATAATTATTATACAATTTTCTATAAATTGTACTACAATTTTTTATGTATATATAATTGATATATACACGTAATTATATAATTAATATTTTTAAGGTATATATTAACATACAAGTTTAAAATAGACGTCTTAAGAGATATATACAAGATGGAACAGAACAGGAAATTATGTATATATGTGTACTTCTGCGTGATAATATGTTAAATTCTGTTTTCGACAAAGACCTTATATTCTCTTGATAGGATTGGCCATTAATTTTCTTTTGACATATACACTTTTGACATATATGAAATTTGTTTTTACATATACGCTTTTGACATATATAAAATTTCTTTTCGCATATGCAATAACCCGTTTTATTGCAACTGAGAACTGAGGTATTGTACAATAAGGATATTGTATAAAATTTATTCTGTGATAATTAAAAAGTGAAAAGAAAATAACATTACCGCAAGTGTCTGTAATTTGACAATTTATGTCCAATGCGTACGACATTTTTAAACATATAAAAATGCACCAGCTGATTATACGCCGCATTACGTGTTAATCCCCCATGTTCTTAAGACAGTAATAAAATTCGTAATTGTCCATTGGCTTCCAAGATATTTATTATTTTCTACCTACCTATAAGCGATTTCAATAAAATCATTTCTGGCAAGTGGCATCTCTATTACTCCTGCAACGTGCATTTCGTTCTGACTGACGGAGGTCTTTATTATGGAAATGCTTTGCAATGTATTTTGCAAATGTATTCCAAGTACCGATAGTAACGCAAGTACGCATAACGCGTCTCCTTGACACACGAACTGTATTAGCTGCGGAAAGCCAGAGGTGTGTATGTAAAGTGCATCTGAAAAAAAATAGGTCTTCACTTTTCGTGCTTTGTTTGTCTCCTCTTTTTTTTCCTCTTAATAAGAACCTGAACCTGAACGTACAATTTGATTTTGAAGCACGACTGAAGTAACAGATTTACGGGCGATTTCCTCTACTGAGATTTCGCTCGGGGAAATCCATTCCGGTTATTAGAAAAATTATTATAAAAATTCTTTTGCGCGCTCTGTCCTCCACTCTGACTCTCACGTAGTCACGTGTGGTCACGTGTCAAGTGTCAAGTGGCTAACGTGGTAAAGGGCGGGCGGCGTGAGGGGAGAATTTCAGTTTAGAAGAAAACAGCTGACTTGGAGTGGAGACAAACTTAGGATAGAGAAACTGTGTTTCGTATATAGTGAATTATATAATATATAATTGAATTATGAATTATATGAATTATATATTATATACTATACAGTTCACTGCTCGTATACAATAACTTAACCTGACACGACGTGTTAAGTTGTAATGCAAAATCGTCTCATCTTTATATTCGAAACACATTAGAAAATCTTGCAATTTAAGGGGACCGGTAGGATTTTTCGTCGTACTTTTCTCATTTATATGCGTACATTTATGTCGACAAGAGAAAAGAGAGTTAAAATTGAGTAGGGTTAACCTTAATCTCAGAATACAGATTGCTTTTATTTTGTAGCTACTTACAATTGTAAGATGAATATGACGCCTCCTGTCAAACCACCGCGAGGGATTAAGCCGACGAAAGAAACGGTAAGTAAATCTTATAGTTGTGTTAAAAAGTTCCCTTAATTTGAATTCCATTGGAACGAGGCATTGTCGAATGAATTGTCACGTGTCTCGTATGCCTTTCATAGAGCGGTTTGCTGATCTCGGTGATACGCGCTTTATCAGCAAGCGAAACGAACGAGCAACGCGAGATTGAGAAAGCCAAGTTGGAAAAGGAGTACAAACGAAGCGATCAACGACTGGAGGAATTGGTTTCGTCGCACGATCAGGATCTCATGGAAGTTATGCAAGTAAATATGGACATGCATCATGCATATTTGAATTGAGCAAGAACTCGGATATTTATTGTTGCGAGCTTTGTATCCTATCCACGTATTATTTTATAGATATTCAGTGCGCTGTCTGAGAAAGTTACGTCGTCACGAGAGAAGATTCATGCGGTGAAGGAGAATCTGAATGCCTGCAAACAATTGCTGAGATGTAAGCGAGAGGAGTTACTGAATTTGTGGCTGGAAGGAATAGAACACAAACAAGTTTTACATCTTCTAAAAGATGTGTAAGATGTATTCGTACATATATTTCAGATTTTAAAAATAATGCTTCTCTTTTCAAGGCTCGATTAAATATAAACCTAAATTAATTTTAGATCGTCAGATTCCTGTGGACGTATGATATCCTTAACAGAGCCTGAGTTATTACCATTATCCAATACGTCGCACGATACTTCAACAGATCAGTAGTCAAAAATCTCTCATCTCATTTTGTATATAAAAATATCTACGGTATTATATAAGATAATAAATAGAAATTATAAATTTGTAGTTTCAGAGTTTGTAACATTAAATAAATTAGAATTATAATCAAGTTATGTGATAGTCTCTAAGTTAAACTGTACAATAAGTTTCTATGTTGTGTAAATAAAAATTCAAGAAATTTTCATCTACATTATCATCGTTTCATAATTAAAAAAAATTACAATTTACATGTGCTCCCATTATCCAACAGCAATATAATATGTTTCAGATTTAAGATTTTCGTGGCTGGAGTTCCATATAAATCTAAAATTCTACAAGTTTTCATAATAAATCGTAATTTTTGAAATTTTAAGTAATGTTACTTTTTATATGACTATATATTTAAAAAAGGTAATTTTGTATCAGAGCATATTTTATTATATTTTTCATAAAAATTACAAAATATACATGTAACCAACAGCCATAATGCATGAGTATTCATGAAATAATGGACGCGTTCAGCAGGGCTGCGTTCGAGAACCACGCTCCACCATGGATACGACTCCGCAAGCCGCAAGTAAATCCACAGTGGGTGCAACTTCACATAAGTTTGAAGTTTGAAGTATCAATGCCATGGAAAGGTGGCGCTCTGGCGCTCTGGCGCTTCTGCTACTTCCGTAATTCCGTGTCAGCACTGTCAGCAGTGTCAGCTGATGACATATGCCACGAATGTCCGAAGGGCGATCGCGGATATATTGTATGATTCCGACCGAATTCCGACCATTCCGATTTCTTCCGTGCTCATGAGCGGTGTACATACCCGGTTCAACACGCGGCTCCTTTCGATAAGCCGTTTTTTAATTATTTTATTTTCTTTACACGCGCGCGTCCGGTGTTTACTGCTCATCATTTTAGACGAAAATACGCGTGATTAATATAGACGCGATATTCAACAAGTTTAATTAATTTAGTCAAAATGAGCAGCCAAAAGACAGTACCGAACGGTGTAAAATTCCTCATTGGTGGGACTTCTGGGTTTGTGTCCTTTTTTTTACATTTATTTTAGACATGTGACATCTGTGAATGTATAGTCTTGAGACGACAATCTTAGATGACAAGTGTACATTGTTTTCTAATAATTATCAGAGGATTTCGCAATCACTAAAAGTTGAGGTTCGAAGGTCGAAATTAAATCTTATCAGAATCACTTGTTGTAAATTACATAACTGACGCTACTATTTCAGTAACTAGAAGCAGAGGAAAAAAAATAAATTTTAATTTTTCAGGATGATGCAATATGTATATGTATATCTATATACCTTATTCGCATACTATAAATAGAGTTGTAACCCTGGATAAACTAATATAGCTCTTCTTATATCGATAGCGCCATAAAAAATTTATTTTCTAATTTTTAATAATTTACACATACAATATAATATTTATATATTTTTAAAATAAATTGATTGACTTTATTTAAATCTTAAAAAATAAAAAATGTAATTTTATTTTTTGCTTACATTTACACACAGAAAATGAAATTTTATCAAAATATATTTATATTCTGATTGATATATGTTATCATGAAATTTAATTGTGTATATTAGAGAGTATATTTTCTCCCAGGAGATAGTATATAAAGGATATAATATGTGTGTTTAATTACAGCATGGCAGCAACATGTTTTGTACAACCATTGGATTTAATAAAGAATCGTATGCAGTTAAGCGGCACAAAAACGTCGACGTTAAGCGTTACCTCGGGCATTCTGAAAAATGAAGGTGTTTTGGCATTATACTCCGGCTTATCCGCTGGTTTAATGCGACAGGCCACTTATACTACTACTAGGCTTGGTATATATACTTGGCTTATGGAAGTTTCTTCGTAAGTTAACTTTATGTGTGGTCCAGATTAATTAAATTATTCTTATAAAAAAAAAGTGAATATCAAAGTGAATTTTAAAAATATCCTTGTCTTATTTAGAAAAGACAACGAGCAGCCAAGTTTTGTTGTAAAAGCACTACTTGGTATGGTAGCTGGGTGTGTCGGAGCATTTGTAGGTACACCAGCGGAAGTAGCTTTAATTAGGATGACTGCGGATGGAAGATCACCTATCGGTAAATTTGTATTTTTTTTCCACGTGATAGAGATTATTACTTTAGTGTACATTATCAGTTTAGTATACATATCCATGTACATAGTGTGGAATTTAAACATTTTATATGCTTTAAATACAGCTGAGAGGCGTAATTACAAAAATGTATTTGATGCGTTATTCCGTATAATTAGAGAGGAAGGTCTCTTTACGTTATGGCGTGGCGCCATTCCCACTATGGGACGAGCTATGGTTGTAAACGCAGCACAGTTGGCATCGTACTCTCAGGCCAAACAAACATTGCTAGACACAGGTTTGTAGAAAGATTTGTATCGTTCTTAGACTGTACAATTATACGTATAAATATTGTTATTTACATTTGTTGTATTTTTTTCTTTTAAAATAGGATATTTTGAGGAAAATATTTTATTACACTTTGCAAGCTCTATGATTTCTGGTTTAGTCACTACTGCTGCCTCCATGCCTGTAGATATAGCTAAAACAAGGTATTATACGATAAATTTAGTTTTATTTAAAATTCAATTAACATTTTTAATTTAGGATTCAGATTACTATAACGATTCTCCTTTCAGAATCCAAAACATGAAAACGATAAACGGCAAACCAGAGTTTACAGGCGCAATTGATGTTCTGACCAAGGTTGTGAGAAACGAAGGATTGTTTGCATTGTGGAAAGGATTCTTCCCATACTATGCACGTCTAGGGCCTCATACAGTCCTGACATTCATTTTCCTCGAACAAATGACCGCTGCTTATAAAACACACTTGGCATAGTTGTAACTGTGTGCGCTTGCGGAGAGTTGTTATTAATGGTTTAAATTAAGATTCAGACAGAGTCTTTGTTTTCTCTTTGCTTTATCATGTCATTGTGTCTTCAGAAACATTATTTTTGTAATAAACTCATTTTGTAATATATATTTACTGTTAGATATTACGCACATAATTTGCAATATCATTTTATATAAAACGTATATAAAATTCACAATTTATAATAAAGATTATTTAGAGCAGCTTTTATGAAATTAATCACGTATAAAATTTTTAATTTTTCTGAAAATTTATCCTCATTTTCTAATTGAAGAACGATACAAAGATAAATTTCCATTTCAATGTAAGTATAGTTTATGCATTTTTAATTTCCTGCCATACAATTTAATATATGTGCAATATAAAGATATATTAAGATTATATTTTGCTATTATTTTGTAGAGAGAGAAAGATATATATTCCATGAATATGTGTACACGCGAACGCAGAGCTCGTCTGGTACGAACTCTAGTCTTATATGTATAGGTATGCCGCTTAGTTCAGCTTTTTGATCATTGTTATTCCCAATGTTATTTAGTATAAGATTTGTCTTATAAGTATCACTTTAGATTAATACATCTTGTATAATGAGGTGCCATTATTGTTACTAGGTATGAAAGTTGAACAGGTGTATCGAAGTAATGTGTTAAAATGTATTAAAATATTAATACAAAAAAATGTGTTAATATTGTACATTTATTGAAATAACAAAGATTTAGTAATAAAAACCTATTTTGAGTGCCAGTGTCATCTACTACATTTTATTTACACGTGAGGATATAACAGACGTTGAAAAATATTTTATCAACAAATCTATAAGAATAAAAAAGACAATAATAATTATTACTATACAATTAAAGAATTATTAATAATATCATTGTCAATAGTAATAAGACAACTCTAAAATTACGTTTTTTACATAATTATGTTATACTTTTCAACGTTTCCGCACGTGTATTATATTACGTTGTAAATTTTTGCAACAAAAATTGTTGGCAAAACGAAATATATGGTCAGATCGTCACATGCAACAAGTGTCATGAAATCGAGAATGGAGCTCAGGGACGTTCCGATTAAACTTAATTCGCATATAGAACACGGTGCGAGCGTGACGGATGTCCAAATATTGATTTTGTACATTGAAAAACGCCCCGGGGATAATCTTTATATAAATCTCTCGTCGTGGGAGCCGGAGCCGCGCGAGGCAGATGACGGAAAATAAAAATGTGCCTTGGACCTTGGACACGCAGACACTTTTGGCGGCAAAAAATAGACTCGCTCATTTATTGTTCATGCCGCACAAATATTCAAGTGCAATCCACTGGTTACTGTTATGTAAGCCACAAATAGATATTCAACGTGATACAATAAAATACGGTCAATTTAAATCTTGAAGTGGACTTATGCGATGCTGTTTTCTATATTTGAGGTTACAAATGCTATGTCAACGTGATGTCGATATTTACATGTTTACGTCAATCAAATAATTAGAGCTAAAAATATGAAATTAAGTGTCAAATTGTTATATATTAATCTTGCCCGGCAGGAAAAAAAATGTAACATGCTAATTAAAGTTTTAAGAAATTAAATTCTGAGGAAATTATAATTTTACACAATTAAATCATTCTTTATTAATTCTTCTTGTTCCAGGATGCATCTATTGCATGATAATTATCAATTGCGAAATTTCCACTTGGCCAAATTAATATAATTATGTCAAAGAAAAAAAAAGATCGGGCTTGGGCAGACAATGGCTTTGAAGAGTGGGTGAGTATATAATTAATATTTATTATCATCTTCATCTATTTACTTTTTGCATCATTTTTTAATATCTTGTCAGGGTGGTTATATGCCTGCGAAGAAAGCCAAGCTGGAGGAACAGTTCCGTGACACAGCCAGCAAAGAATTTAAAGAATCATCGAAACTGTTTGAAGGGATTGCGATATTTGTTAACGGTTATACAGATCCAACGTCGGATGAGCTCAGACGTCTAATGATGATGCATGGAGGAATATATCATCATTATATGCGTCCTAAAATCACGACTCACATTATAGCGTCTAATCTGCCGTATTCCAAGATAATGTTATACAGAAAGAGCCAAAATCCAATTCCCATTTGTAAACCGCAGTGGATCGTCGATAGCATAGCAGCCGGAAAGATACTGAATTTCCAGAATTATTTACTTTATTCTAATAACACCAGTGTGCAACCTCAGTTGGCGTATAAATTAAATAAGGATAAAGATAATGCTAGCTCAGTCACGCATAATGAACAGGATATTGAGAAGCCTGAAGCTTCAGCGAGTACCGACATAAATAAGGGAAATTCATCGAAACACGATGCCTTTAATAATGCATTGAAGCAAGACGCAAGTCACTTTGGTCAATCTTCGAATACAAAACCAAGCGCGCGATGTACAAAAGATGCTGAATTTCTGTCGACGTTTTACAGTAACTCGAGATTGCATTATATTTCTACCATGGGAACTATGTTTAAGGATTACGTGAATGAGTTGAGGGACAAAAGTGACGTAGCATTTCCCGGCCTTGAGCGTTTAATAAGATTAAACAGTATCAAGAAGGCCACAACGTCGGCTAATTGCGAATCAGATTCTGAAGATGAGACAATTTGTTTTACAGATAAAATTACAAGTAAATCAAACCACAAGCAAGAACCTGTTGTAATGCACATTGATATGGACTGCTTTTTCGTATCCGTGGGGATCAGAAATAGACCGGAATTGCAAGGCGTACCGGTAGCGGTAACGCACGCAAAAGGCAACACGTTTTCGGCGAATCACGATGGCAAGGAGGAGTTTGGATCGATGTCAGAAGTAGCTTCGTGCTCGTACGCTGCGAGAAAGGCTGGCGTGAAGAATGGCATGTTTCTGGGAGAGGCGTTAAAACTGTGTCCAGATTTAAAGACAATTCAGTACGATTTCGAGGGTTACAAGGAAGTTTCGTACGTATTGTACGACACTGTGGCATCCTACACTTTAGATATCGAAGCAGTAAGCTGCGACGAAATGTATGTTGATTGCACGAAAATTCTTGAGGCATCTGGACTCTCGCCGTTGGACTTTGCTACTATAATTAGGAACGAGATTAAGCAGAAAACAGATTGCCCGGTATCGACAGGATTCGGTAATAATAAGTTGCAGGCGAGATTGGCAACGCGAAAAGCTAAACCCGATAATCAATTCTATCTCAGCGCTCAAAATGCAGAGACATATATTCAAACTTTTAATATAAGAGATTTACCAGGTACATTTGAGTGAGCAATATTATTTATATTATTTTGCAAAAACAAAATATTTAAAGAAACACCTTTGTTAAGCAAATATATTGGATTTGTATTCTATAATAAGTAGAAATACTTAGATTTGATTCTTTTTCTCATTTAATCATTTTATTACCTTTATTAGGATTAATTTAATTCTCCTATTTTTTCGTCTGTCTTTAGGAGTTGGCGGAACAACAACATACAAGTTACATAAAATGAATGTGCATACATGCGAAGATTTGCAGAAGATATCGTTGGGGGTTTTACAAAAAGAATTCGGCAAAAAGACGGGAGAACAGTTGTACAAGATGTGCCGTGGGTTAGACGACACAAAGCTGAATCTGGAATATGTTAGAAAATCTGTATCGGCTGAAGTTAATTATGGCATAAGATTCCAGAATAATGGCGATGCTGTCGATTTTTTGAGCGAATTATCTGTAGAGGTGTGCAATCGATTGACAGCGGCTCGTGCAAAGGGTAGATGCATCACGCTGAAATTAATGGTCAGAGCTGAGGAGGCACCGAAGGAAACCCTGAAGTTCATGGGTCACGGTCTTTGCAATTATATAACGAAATCGAAAAATCTTATAGCGGCTGTTGACGACATCAATATCATTAGAAAGTGAGTTTACTATTAATCAGTTAATCTTGTACATTTTATGCTTTCTTGAAATATATTTCGTGAAATTAAGTACATGTTTTACGTGATCTAGGGAAGTTATAAATATTTGGAATCAGCTGCATTTAATACCTGAAGATATGAGAGGAATAGGAATACAAATATCCAGGCTAGAAATATGCAGGGCTAAGCAAGCTAAAAGCAGCTTGATCAATTTCTTTAATAAAACGAAAAAATTACAACAAACGTGTGAGGAATTGTTGGGAGATGACAAAGAAGATCATGGCGTCTCGAATTTTAATAAGAAATCTAAACCGGATTGTTCTGAAGTGCCTTTAACTACAGAATCAGTAGCAACGAGAAAAATTTGTGATACAGAAATGAGTAATTTGCCGCCGAAAACGGTCAAAGCCTCTGAATCGACCGGTGTAACAATTCCAGTCGATGTTCAAGTCGAATCGTCGACATTTGCAGCTGAATCAAAAAATAAAAAGTTACACAATCCTAAGGTAAATGAAAATATTATAAAAGGAAAGGATTTACTTGGAAAATCCAATAAGAAAACAATCCAGAGGCAAACGTCTCAAGAGAATTTCTTTAGACAAGTGAAACCAAATAGCGGAAGGTCATCAAAATATGAGATACCGCGAATACAGGATATCGATATGTCCGTATTAATCGAATTACCTGCAGATATGAGAAACGAGATAATTGACGAATACAAAAAAAACAAACAATCTCAAGCTGCAGCAAATACCACCAGTACGGTTGATCCGGTAAATCAAGTTGAGCGTGACGAGGAAAGTTCAAATGTACATAATTGTTCGCAAGTTGATCCGATCGTTTTATCAGCTTTAATGAAAAGCGATTTGCATCCCGATGTACAACGCGATGTGCAGATATATTGTGATATGAAAAGAGAAGCGAATAGAGTGAATTTCAAAGAAACAAGTGAAAAGAGCGATAGTGAGAGATTACAAGAAGCGGGTGCTTCTTCAAAGATCGGTGATAATAAAGAGAACGCAATAGTTATTGTAAATAGCACTTGTATAAATGAAGCCGAATCACAAGAGAACGCAATGCATGGGGGAGACCAATTGTATGAAAAGGACAATACTGTCGGAGCTAAATCAACCTCGTGTCAAGTCAATCATGTTGAGATTTCACACAATAATGTTACGGTGGATAAAGCCGATACCTTTATTTTACAGAATTTAAGTATTTTACATAACAATGAGAACGTAGATAAACATCAGGAAATGTTAATTAATCTTGTGAATCATCTCTTCACCCTTCCATTACAACAGGTACCACATAATTATTTCATTAAGACAAATTATTAAATAGGAACTGAGTTCTAGCTTTCTTCTATTTTTTGAGATCTAGTGCAAGTAACCGCAATTCCAATCAATATTAAACATTTGTATAAAATTATTTCGTAACAAGTAATACGAATTGTTTACCTGTTATTGCCGTAATATTGACGTATCAGATGATACAGATGCATCAGAGATATCTATTTTTTTCCTATCTATTTTTTTCCTGTATATTTACCAGATTTTGCATTTTACAAAAGATGGTGAATTCTACACTTAAAAATGTTTTTTTTTTTATCTGTGAATATTTAATGCATTGGTGTTCAGATCCCTCGATCTGTATAGAATTAGCAGTTGTAAAATATATTTAGTATGTAAATGTCATGAACGTGACAATTATGCCGAATATTAAATGGTAACTGTGACATTGGCACAGTAACGAGTAAAATTATGGAAGATTCAAGTCTAACAAAAAAGTGTCAGTAATATCCCATGACAATCATTAGCTTATCACAGTACGTTACGCGGTGCAATTTTATTTCGGTATTTTCAGTTTTAGATTTACCCTTATTGTACATTCGGAAATGACAACTTTGAAAACTTAATTCTAGTTTAGAAACACAAACATGACTATGGATTATTACTTTATATGTGAATATCGAAATAAATACTAATAAAAAACATTCAACTCTCGTATTATATTAAATAATTAAAGAGAACGACAAAAAAAAAACGGAAATTTGAATATTTAGCAGATTTTTGAAAACTTTCTATTGCCACCAATATTCATGCATACAGTGCAAGATTTTATCCAATCTTGATCATAAAATCAAACAAAATCCTCTTCTTCGGTAAATATAGTTTTGAATGAAGAATCGTGTCACCTTTTCCTCTTTTCGCTTATCCTTTTCCTTTATATAATTTTATCAAGTAATATATTCGGATAACTGTTTGAAAAATTACGTATATTATGTAAAGATGATATTTTTTTGGTTCCAACCGAACTAAATGTAATATTTTCATAGGTAAAACTGCAAATACAAACATGGGTTACTAAATCTAATGTTGTGAATGAAGTAGACTTTTTGTCACTAGCGACGTTTCTTAGCATGCTTCCAGAAAAGAAACGCATCGAAGATTTACATATCTTGTTGAAAACCATGTATAGGTAATCTATCTTTGAAGTATTTCTGTTATTATAATAGACGTTTTTTTCATTTCGTAACAAATGGATAATAAATAATACAACGCTGTAAATTTTAAGGAACAGATATCGCTTTACTCGGTCATGATCGATAAATAAAAATATTCGGCATATGATACATTAAACGTACTTATATGTCTATCTGTTTTTTTAGATGTACAATGAAAACTGGGAACTGCATTTGGCATAGAACATATAGAAGAACCGTGAAACATGTTCAACGTTACATGCAGATCGAGTACAACAACAATCTAATGGTACCGCTGATCAGATGTAATGATCCGAGATGTAATAACGATAATTGAATTCTCGTAAATTTAATAAATTAAATTTCTACTAATGAGTGTGTAATATAAGAAATCTATTTACACGCAAATGTGATATCTTTAATTTCAATCGAACGCGAATGCCGTTCTTTGTCTAGAGAAGCCAATAATACACGACTCGTTTAATGTATGCCTTTGGAAAAGTTTTGCTCGGTCTTGTATAAATTAGTAAGAAGTCATCAACCTCGAATTCGTGTATTTCTTTCGTAATATTTATATATATATTTATATATTTATATACTTTTTAAATATATTTTTTCGCTTTGTAATCGTTACGCGCGCAGGGATGGTGAAAAAATAGAAAGGAGCCAGATGAGCGTTTACTACTCCCATTCGGTTGTTCCCGGTGGTTTAGACGTTAGGTCATATAAAACGCGTGAGATTCCGGGCACCGTGGATATTTCAGTTACCATCTTTTTCACCACCTATGACACATTGAAATAAATTATACAATTATTCTCATGTTAAACAGTTGAGTACATACGTGTGTGTGTGTATATATAGACATGAAAAGCTATATGAACTTACATGTATTGGCAAATCTTTGCCAGGAATGGCGGGGATGCCAGTCATGAAATCGTTAGTGCAAAACGGCCTAAGAACAACGGAACGTTGACATGATAACGTTCGACATGCTGTGTCGCGGTCAAAGTGTATCGGTATTAGAACAACGGGCATCTGGCTAATGGCTCCCATACAGCCGTTAGAAGCCAACACCTGATTAGCTAAGTGGTCCGCCTGTCGTAAAGTCGCTATCACATTCGAGGTGAGATACGTAGGCGTGATATCCTGGATTGGATGATGAAGCTGCGGCCCAAAAATGTAGCACACACGGTTCACATTGTGACACACGCGTGGAATTAGTTTTGCAAGAAACAACATGTCCTCCCATTCCACACCTTCGGATACAGTCTCCTCGCACGACAAACCTACTACGTAGCTATAACTTCTTCGATCACCCTATAGAGACCAAAAAGATGTTTTAACATCTGGCAAAAATTAGAAATTGAATACTTCGATATTGATGATTTTCAAATACCTGAACCCCAACGCTACGAATAGGCAAGAGAGTTGCCGCGATATGACGATGACTCGAAACTCTACGAAGTTGCTGACGCTCGGCTTCGTTTGTCGCGCCTTCCACGCGATTTAACAACGCGTGTTTCTTCTGAAGCATCTGCTCATACTCGGCCATTATTTTTACTATGACCTGGAAAGTACAAATTACAATTCACGTCAACGGTCTGTTGAAGAAACAATTGTATCAATATTTCAGTACTTTTTATTTTGCATCTGTAATACCTGTGTTTCGGAGAAATCTTTCTCTATATAAGGCTCATCCGCGCAAAGGATTCGTACTGCAAGTCCAGGTCCTGGGAATGGGTGACGCGCAACGAGCGCCGCCGGCAATCCGAGATCACATCCCAACTGTCTTACCTCGTCCTTATGGAAATCTTTCAACGGTTCGACTACATATCCTTGCGCTCGTAGTACTCGCACAAGTTCGCTGTCGTTATGGTGCGTCTTTATGGCATCCGCTTTACCTGAATAGATAAAAAAAAAAAAAAAGATTCGCATTTTTTGCGACACGAGGACGTAGGAATTCATTGAGAATTCTAGAAATAGAAATTTACCACTGACTAAGGCGCTTGCACTTTCTATTAAATCAGGCCTGAGAGTGCCTTGTCCAAGAAAAATGTCCTCTGGCTTCAATCCCATTTCTGCCATCGCTTCATTCGCGACTCTTACAAAAACATCGCCTATAATCTTTCGTTTCTCCTCTGGATTTGTAGTCTCACATAACATCTTGGTTAACCTGGTTCTCGGGCTACTCGCTGTACCGCACATCCCTTTATTATTCGTAACATTAGCGTTCATTACAGGCGCGACATTGTCCAATGGGACAGTCGTCGTTCCCTGCATGAAATAGCGAGCAGCGTTCACTACTCTTAACGTAACACACAATTGGGCTAGACTTTGTTCCACGAATTGCGTTTCTCCTTTACGCATGAAGCCGTTATTAATATGTAGGGCTATAACTTGCTCCTTACTTAAAGCTTTTTGTAATAAAGCTGCGCACACTGTCGAGTCCACACCACCGCTCACTAATAACTGTAACAAAAAAAATCAGATAAATTTAAATGGCATCTCTCTTGTTACATGTTTAAGATAAAAATTATTGCATATTTAATATTATTTCAAAAGCTTAACTTATATATCTTGAATTAGAGTATTAATTACGTACCAAAACCTTTTTGTCGCCTACAGTATTTCTGATGTACTGGATACACTGTGCCTCCCGATCGCGGAGCGTATAATTACCCGTAAGGCCAGCGATACCAAATAAAAAGTTATGTAACATCGATTTTCCGTTAGGCGTTAAATCCACTTCCGGGTGAAACTGCACACCGTACAAATTCATCTTATCGCTCGCTATACCTGCTATAAAGCTTGACGATCTGGCAGTAGTACGAAAGCAGTCAGCCACCCTGTCTATGCTATCGCCATGGCTTAATAGTACCATTTGCTCCTTGTCCAAGCCCCTAATAAACAATATATCACTTATTACATCATGTTAAACAATGTTTTTCACGAGATTCTTATAGTTCAGACAAATAAGCATTATTTAATTTAATCATTTAACACTTTATAACATGATTGAAATTTACATACTTAAATAACAGGCACTTGGTATCAACTTCAATGGGAAACTGGCCATCTTCTCGACTCTCCCTTCGAGTTACACTACCGCCGAATTCCTTATTCATCATCTGCATCCCGTAACAAATACCTAATACAGGAATTCCTATTCGAAAGATATCGGCATCGTATCTAGGTGCATCTTCCGCATATACTGAACTAGGACCACCAGAAATTATAATAGCCCTGAAAAGATAATCAAATTAATAATCCATATTTGTACAATATTGCATGCGTGCAAAATTGTGATAACTAGTTAATTGATATTAAACACGTATGTCTTACTTGTATCCTTTCTCCTGAAGAGTAAATGCAGGTGTATCGAGTGCCAGAATTTCACTATGAACATTTAATTCACGAATCTTCCGGTCTATTACTTTCCCATATTGAGCACCTGCATCTAAAATAGCTACTCTCTCGTCAACAATGTCCATGGCTACTTCATCGGCACCATTATTTCTCTCAGCGCGAAACAGCAACCCATCGGCACTTTTTTCCATTTCAATTTACGTTTGTTAATGTTAATATGTTACTATATTACTAAATCTGCAATGATTTGGAAAGAGAATAACAGCATTGCATACCAAAGAATGGCTATAAATTATAATAAAATTATAATTTAACATTTTATTATGGGACAAAAAGATATGATAAATCTATGTATTATTCAATTTTACTTCCAAGAAATACAATCCTCATACTGATTAATTATATTAAATATATAACAGGCTAGTTTTCTTTATTCATTCTTTAATCATTACACTAGTAGTCTTTATGATTATGTAACTAAACTTGCTCAATATTGTTTTCGCTTAGTATCTCAGAGATGTTGATAATAAAGTCCAAGTACGTTAATGTTGAAAAAAATGAGCAACAAAACTAAACGAGATAATTAAATTGGTATATATATATATATATCCTAGCATAGATTCTAGATACAAGCAAAAGTTGTTTCATATGTATTTTAAACTGTATTCCGTAATTCTCTTTAATTGCTATTAATTATAATCAATACTTGATTATAGTAAAGGCTTTGCGCTTAAAACATGAGCAAAGAAAAAATATTGGTAACTTTTTTATATTGAAGCATATTATAATTTCTCAATAATCTTTCAATATTTTTTATATCAGCAAATAGACTTTTTTTAACTATCTTAAGAGATTAATTATATTTTCTAAAACCAATTTTTTTGTAAGTGTTAATATTTATTGCATATATATATATATATATATATATATATATATATATATGCATATACATATATGAATTAGACACATATTTTTTGCATGTGTGTTAATAGAATAAATCAAATGCATGCATAATAAAATAAAAATTTTGATGCAACAGAGGAGCTCGAGTTCAAGTGAAATTGAAAAATTGTACAAGTATAATTATACTTAATTGCAATTACGACTTTACGAATATTCGTGCACTAAAAATTTCTCATTCCAGATTGTATTTTACATAACAAATATCGATTTCGAAGGATACTTTTTGATACCCATACTTTCTTGTTAATTATACAAAAAGTGACAAAAGGTGCAGGTGATAAGAACGTTAGTACCTCACATGTTAAATGGATATCTGGACGTGAGCTACTATACGTATACAGTTGTCGTTCGCCAGCTGGACGATTCGCTCGACACACCCTATACACGTGCCCGCGGGATTGACGGAACCGCGATCACGAATTTCGGCGGCGCCCCGCGTAGCCGCCAGTTGGTTATTTAACGAAAAACAAATCTCACCGGGCGTACCGCGAGGTGCGCCTCGGCGGTACGTTCGCGCGGCGAATCCGCAGACTATAGGTTATCTCGAGCGTCGCCGTCCGTTCGGGAGACTGTCGTTCGGCTTACCGGATCGTTCAACGAGAGGAACGGGAGGCACCGCTCACGAGGATCGCCGAATAAAGTAAAACTAATCGCAGAAGAACAGAATGGACAGACATCAGACGAGGCGGCCATTCGATCGCCACAATGCAGCGCGATCGTTGACTGCTGCTTTCAAGTAGCGGTCGCGCGGGCGCGCCAACCCTCGCGCCGCGAAATCCCCAGAACCGCCGCGTGAGGCCACGAATTCCTGTAATATTAATTACATATAAATGTCATGTATAATTAATATATATTATCAAATTTATCATATATTATATATAATAATAGGAAGTATTACACATTTTTGTTATATATTATTTATATTACAATCAAATCGCACCTTAGGCCTGAACGCGATGGTTTCGTTATGTATGTACATACATGTATTAACATATATATATATATATATATATATATATATATATATATGTGTGTGTGTGTGTGTGTGTGCATATGTATATAAATGAATAATCGGAATCTCTTTCCTTCTCTTCTTCTTTGGACACAACTACATTTAGCGCCAAATGCGGCGAGAGTAGGGTATTTGGTTGCAAGTCACCAATGTGGTTTGGAATGCTCACTTCACGCGTATATACAGCAAAATATCAACGGTGAAATACTACCTCGTGAATCGTGGGCATCGATGATAGGACGAAGATATTTTTCTCTTTTGCTTACATAAATATCTGGATAATTTAATTATAAGATTTACACTAAAAGTAAAATGAATTTCAGTGAAGAAAAGTATAAATGGGGATCATAATTTTGCGATTCATTCCTTGATAAATAAGAGTTTGATTGCGATTTTTTGCGCTGAGATGTAATTTGAAAAATTCAAAAATTTTAATAAATGTTGAAAAATCAATTTCAAACTTAATGAGGAGTTTGATAGGTCGTTTTATAAAACTACTCGAGATAATGATGGTAATAATAATTACATGCAGTCCCCTAACGAAAGACAACCCGTTATACTGATCATTATGTACGACAGATTTATATTATAGTAATTAGTTTCGTTAGGACACACACACATATAGTTGTATCATAATCTGATCTACGTACATTTTATATTTAATCATAATTAATTTATATAATAAACATTAGTTGTAAAATAAGTTAACACACATTGAGATTACGATGTATGAAATAGGAATTTATAAATTTCTATTTTTATGATCCTTTTTATAAGACGTAATAATTTAATATAATGTAAAATATATTAATTCTGGCAAAATTTTCTGAAAAGTTCACAGTTCCGTTAAGATATTAAAGAATTAAAGTAAAAAAAAATTGACTCATATTTCTAAAAATTCTCTTCCTACAGTTTTAACATTATTAAAAATTTTTAGTTAGATGGGTAAATTAATGCCATTAGCAGAATTTCCGTTGATTGGTTACATTGTTTTCATTAATGAGCATCGCATATTATTTGTTCCTATTTGGCCTATCATAGATCATATCTCAAAACTTGACATAGCTGAACAATCAGTAATTTTCTGGTTACTAATTAGTAATTACATCGTTCGTTAAATAAAACCGCTTGTGACTCGGACAATAATTATGTAAAAAATACGCGCGGCATTATTCCCGAATACTGATTCAGCGCAAGAGCGAAAGGTACGATTACGAGTGGCATTATACGTGAGTCATCGGGGTAAAATGTATACAGTACTTGCGTGGCTTAAAACCGACAATTTTAATTGCTGCTTGTTAAGGATTCTCGGTTTCCGAGAGATGGCTAAATCAACATCGGATTCGCAAGCCGCCCCTCTAATGATCATCTTACGCGAGGGAAATAGTCGAACGCTCTTGTCTCGCGTTACAAACTCACTAATTAATTCCTTCCTTCTGTCCATCCTGTCTACCTGAAACATATGTGATTACAATCGATCCGACGTGTAACGACTATTTGCATAGTATTTACGTAAGGAACGGTTCGCCAAGGGTAAGTGCAAGCTATAAAAGATGTATCTAGCCGAATAAAATATTCAGTTTTGCACGGCACGAAATCCTAACAACACCGATAAAATTATGGGTAGATCGAATCTTTGCTTGTTGGCCATTCTGGCTATTTTAGCAGCCGTCACTGCCGAGGAGATGTACTCGGACATGTTCGATCACATCGATCCTGACCATATCTTGCCGAACGACGAGCTTCGAAATCAATATTACAATTGCTTCATGGACACTGGCCCGTGCGTGACAGAAGATCAGAAATTCTTCAAACGTATGATATTTCATTTCATATAAATTTGGATTTTATAAACGACAGATATGATTTTTATTTAATATTAAAAGTAGAAGTGCTATTAATGCTCTAACTCTAATGATATTATAACGTGGACAAAAATATTATTTTCTTAATCTGTAAACAATATAGAAAAATATATTTTCTAAGATAGAAAAATAGGATATTTATTGTCTAAAAATATAAAACATATAATAAAGGATATTATTAAGTTTAAGACGAGTACATCACCTCCATTTCAGATATTTGATTAATCTTTTCACATATGAAAATATTTTTAAATATATTTTTTATCAAAGCATATACTAAATAGAAAAAATTTGAAATAGACATTAATATTATCGTGTTGTAACATAATAATGTTCATGTTAGTAAAAAGTTACAATTCGCACAATTTTCAAACATCAGCTTGCATCAACCAGAATATTAAAAATTTTATATTTTGCAGAGCATGCCGCTGAAGCGTTTGCAACGAAATGCCGAAAATGTACGGAAACGCAAAAGAAGAATGTGGAAAAGATTGTCGTGTGGTACACCGAGAACCGCCCTGGCGAGTGGAACGCCATGGTAGGAAAGCTTTTGGAGGACGCGAAGAAGTTGAACATTACACCCGTTGCCTGATGTTGCCAAATAAATAGCACATTTCGCGCTGTCATGTATACTTAAAATTGTGAAATAACAAATAACGATCTTGCATCCATGTAGTTTTCCAAGATGTAGCTGTAATTGTAATATACGATACGAGCACGTAGACGAGAGCGAGATTTAGCGGTGTTGCATGTACAATTTTAACTGACAATAAAAGCCGTTTCGTGACGGGTTGAACATGTATACCTCTCTCAACGAGTGCATCGGCAATCTGCGATTGTAAATCATGGCGATATTTACCGCGTATCATGTCGAGTGTCTCCGCGGATTTAGCGCATGGAATTGAGGAAAATAGTGACAACAACATGAGTTTTTTGTCACGCGTCTTTATCCTCATTATCGTCATTGGCATCGGTCTTACGCATGCGTCGGAAATGTATTTCACTGCAGAGCGCGGAGGGGTGACACTTGCTTGGTGTTCCAAGCAATCCCAAGCATCGGAGGAATCATTTCTGGTTAGTCGCGAGATAATGCTCAGGGAGGAGACGTCCGTTCCCAATCGTCGACCCATATTATTCTGACTAAAGTGTTTCGCCGCTCCGAATTCGTCATGAACCGTCGGTTACCAGCGGGACGATCGATACGGGTGGTGGAACGGGGTGGCTACGGCCTGCGAGGGTGACTACATCGTGACGTGTATGTCATATCAAGTTTGACGATTCTCTTTCCTGAAACCAACAAAATAATCCTCACGAGGGTATCATGGTGTCGCCGCGTGATAACTGCAGCCAACAATAATCCATCACTGAATATAACTCCATAAAAAATATTCTGACGATATTTCGTGTCAGTCGGCAATCAATTCAACGATTCCGCCGGTGTCAGAATACACATTTACGCTGGTGCGTGAGGGTTTTACACGCGCGTACTCCAGTACTCGTATATACGCCGGTATTCGTTTAAGTTTATCCTGAAACAGCAACGCCTTTTTTTCAATGCGATAATTTTAACGCTGCAGTGCCAGATCAAAGTTCGGCTGGTGCGAAACGCGCTCTCGTTCCGGACAAAAGAATCAGAACGCGACCGAATTTTTTCTCCATTGAGGCATTCTATTAACCGATTTAATGTTTTCCGTCGCGTAACACAGCGTGCGAGCGTGACATAATGTGATACACGACAAATTCTCTTTTTCTGAATAAAAACAATTCACGCGTCGTGAGTACTAATTTCGTACAGTAAATAAAATAATAACATCGTGCCGCATTTGTGTTGAATCATGATGACTGGAAGAGATACTTAACACGGAAAAATATAGATTTGTGCAAAGATAAATACAAAAAGATGCGAATTTACGAGCGAGCAGGTACCTACAAAACAGGTATTTGTGCCATGGTTTGCTACGGATATTTAAAAAAAAAACACGATTTATGGTATTTTTAACAAGACCCTCCTCCTGTTCCGAAGACTTGATCTACTAAAACTAAATAATACGCTTAAAAAAATAAATGGTTTTACTTAAAGTCAATTAACACGGATTTTTTTTGCTTTGTCACGTGCTCGCATCATTTCCTCTCGCATAAATTGAGGAAACCTTGATAGAACATATCGTGTAATGTGTTATAATAAATTGCATCTGATCACCTACAATCGTACGTATTATATATAATGATCTACTTCAATCATTGCTCTTAAGGCTTTGTATCGCGAAATGAGCTCGTTTAGATGTGACGAACAATTTTATTTGACGTGCGTCATGCAAGACTTGCGTTCGATTTTCAAAAATGTATTTTATACTTTGTCATTGTTCGAACCAATAAGGAAAAAAAATTTTCACATTTTCTAGTAAATAATGTATGTATGAATTTCTCTCGCTCTTTTCTTGTTATTTTGTAAGAGACAATTTATGAATTACGCGATTAAATAATTTAGACGAATGCGAACATTTAGTAAGTAAACTTTCGATTGCTTACGAAACACTCGCGGGGAGTTATCAGGTCGGTCTAACTTTAAAATCATTTCGGAAGCGATAAAGTTGCTAAAGGACATTTTGTGGTTTTTAGAGAAATCCGGTTATAACAATTAAAGACGTTGGATCGTTGGATAAAGTAATTTTGCTCTACTGTATTTGTAATTCATGCATATTTAGCATATCTCTTTTGAAGTCATCTGGTTAAAATCATGATTGTTTTTGGTACGCGATATCAAAAATAAACTTTTCCACCATCCTCTTTCTGGCTACCATCTCTCGTGAATAACGCTCACTCGCAAATATATCATCTGATTTCACAACAATAGCGTATATTTATGAAACCAATTTTGAAATCTCATTGCCTCTAACATATTTTTACGCGCGTAATTTTTATATAAAAGTTTCAAATAGAAATTTTAATATAATAAAATAAAACGCACCTGCCTCAAGGGATAATGAGAATAATGTTCAAATATATCCATAAACGACAACGTATTTGTAACATTTTATCCTGACTAATTTTATCTAGTATAGTGTAATCCAATGAGAAAATCGATAAAGATGAAGAAGAGATTATTGTGGTGCGGTTTCGCTTTCGCCGTCGTGCTTCTCATCCTCATGATCTCGACTGAGAGCAACATCATCCAAAGGATACCGTTTCTCGACGTGACAACAGTCAATGATATCAGATGTTACGATGAAGTTTCGACTACAAAAGGCGTTCATGATTTCGATTTGGAAACAAGTACGAAATTTAAATTACTACCAATCTTTATACACACATTAAGAGTTTGAGAAAGTAAGTCCTTTATAAAAAAATGACATATAATTTTTATATAACACATGACCTTTAAAAAAAAAAATCATAGTTGCAAAAAATATCAAATGTATATCTTTAAATCAAATATGTCAAGTTTATATAGTTTTATCACCTATCAGTTTATCCCATCTGTTTAATTTTGCGTAATTTGACAAGCACAATATTAAATATCAGATTTTATTCCTCTTATATAAATTTATAATCGTTTCTTAGTTTCTTTTCTGCATTTTAATGCCTCAGGTTGCAGAAAACATTCTGCATTAGCGCTGAACGATTCAATGTAATAACATTCTAACCGGCTTTTTTAAAAACTTGAGAGAAGATATTAATATATATTACATTAAAATTTCATAGAAAAAAAACAAATTATTTTATTATTTTTATTAACTAATCTCTTCCAAAAAAATGAGAAAACTGAATGTGGATCTACTTAAAAATCTTTTTCCGAGATATTTTAATAATTTTTTAGTACGAGCCTTTTCGAGATATGTACAATAATTTCATTATCTTTTATCTTTATTGAGCACAATGTAAAAAATTTGTACAATTAATCTTAACGTTCTAATTTGACGTTTAGTTTGTGTACAGTCTGATAACTTGACTTGAGATAGCGAGTACCACAATGGATATTGCGATTGAAAATCGCAAGTTAATATATCTTAAATATATTATGATATATCAATATATCTGTAGTAAAAATCACTTACATCCACCTTATGCTTTAGGTGTCGACAAGCCAACGCCAGGTAGAAACATCTTCTTCCACGAGACTTCCTGTTTCGGTGAGGAAGGCCTCATATTAAACGCTCGACAAGCCTGTGCTGTTGAATCGGCGGCGCGGATGAATCCGTCAATGACCGTATACCTGCTATTCGTGAGCAAATCGGAGTTTTCGAACAGTACGCGCGAGATCGTCAGGCATCTCTTCAATTATCCCAACGTCAGGATCCGTCATATCGATCCGCAGAGATACGTGAAGGACACACCCTTGGATGCGTGGTACACCAGCGGTGTCCTGAGGAAAAGCCACTGGCCGGTCAGTCACATGTCCGACATGCTGCGCTACTTGACCCTTTGGAAGTACGGCGGTATTTACCTTGATCTGGACGTAGTAGTCACTAGCTCGCTGGAGAATCTGACAAATTTTGCCGGCGCCGAGGACTGGGACGACGTCGCCGCTGGCGTCATGGGTTTTGACATGTCGAAGTTGGGTCGACGCGTGGCCGACGCTTGCGTGCGCGATCTCAAAAAGAATTTTCGTGGCGATGTCTGGGGTAACAACGGGCCCGGAGTCATCACGAGGACATTGCAAAAACTTTGCGCGACGGTGTATGTGAGTATTGGATATCGAGAAAAGATTGGGAACTGCAATAACAGGAATTTACGTCTGAAAGATTCAGAACAAAACATTAATATCATTATTTACACATTATTTACAATCACTTTAAATAGTAGAATAACATATATACATTTTATTTTTAAATTTATAAAACTTTGCAAAACGGCGTCAAACGTCCAAGAATTATCTCGAGAAAATTAAAATTAAATTGGAAATTTTTATATTTTTAATATTTAAAAAAGAAACTAAAAATATCTATTTTGATAAATATCAATAACTTGGACAAATGATTTTATTATAAAAATTGTGAATAATTATAACAAACGGCTTTACATATTATCTATAGATAAGTGAACAATTATTTAAGAATGATGAGACTGGATTTAATCATCTGTTGGGCAAATGTGATAGCGATGATAAACTGGTAGAATAAATGTGAATACGTCATTTCATGGCGTTAAGAATTATAGCTGTACCTAATTCTTGCTTAAATAAGCGAGGTCTATTATTACGTGCACAAAGTAAAGAACAAAGTATATTCGTGGCGAGTAAGAGACACACTCCGTTTAATTGAATTTATTTTGTCCAACGGATATGGTCCATTACTCTCTCAACACAGAATTAAATACGCGGATAATCCAAAACGAATCAAATACGTTAAAAAAAATTCATTCTTGCTTGATAATTCTCGTCAATTTACGTGCGAAGAATTAACAAAGAATATGCATTATTATTTTAAGTATTATAAATAAACAACGTGATTCGTTTTTGTATGTGCAGTCTTTTATGTTTTATACGCATAAAATGCATCCAGAATCTCGGAATTCTCGTTACGATACTATATCTAACGCAAACAGCAGATTACAAACACAGACGTTTAACAGATAACGGATAATAGTGTTATAAATAATAATTTATAGTACTATATTCTTTGTTTTATGCTTGAAGTGCGCGATTTTTTATTTGCATGATTTAATCAGGTACATTCGTGGGCGTATCTTATATGTTAATAATTGGTACTAATTGTAAATAGTTGTTGTTACTTCTTTCTTTCTCTCCCTACCTTTTTATTGTACTTTTATTAATTATATAATCATTATTTCATTATTCTATTGATTAATCTAATTTTTTAAAATTAGTATTAAATCTTTTTTTTTATTAATACTAAGCTGTTTTATAAATTAATGTTAGGTTTTGTGTAAAGAGTATAACAGTTTTACTTATAGTTATGTAGTCTTTTCATAAAAAAAAATAGAAAAATAAAATAAAATAAATAAAAATTGTAAGAATAAGGATACTTGAATAAGCTAAAAAAGTATTTTATATTTTGTAGGCGCGTGACATGACGACTAATCGTTGCCACGGCTTCACAGTATATCCGCCTTCGGTTTTTTATCCGATTCATTATAAAAAATGGAAGAAGTATTTTGAGACGAAAGATAGCAACGCGACATTGAAGACATTGAACAAGGCGAAGGCGATTCACGTGTGGAACAAGTTGAGTAAAGCCGAAAAAGTGCGAGTGAAGAGCAACGTACCGTACGCCGTTATCGCACGGAATTATTGTCCCTATGTTTTCAATAACTGCGGCACAATATTTTGAATCCAAGCATAATTACAAATCGTAGGACAAAAAGTGGATCGTTGTTTGACTGACACAATATTGGATTGGAAACTTTCCACGCGCTACATTCGTAGAATGAGTTTATCTAATATAATCAAAAGAACGATGTCATTCGTTATGTCAGATAAAGTGTCAGTTAAAATGCATTTAATGAGATAAAGGCTGATTTAGAAAAGTATTCATTTTTCATCCTTTTTTTTCTATATATATATATATATATATATATATATATATATATATATATATATATATATAATGTCTAATGGAGACGAACGCCATTTTAAATATTAACATGAATTACCGCGGTTACTAAATATTAAAAATAAATCGCTACCCTGTACGATGTAATGCAACTGTAACTCATAATCTCGTATGTTTAAGTTACAATGAAGATGAGGTGATCTCGATGCAAGTCAGATGTTAATGCTTACCATATTGATCGTTTGTACAGTTCGAAGTAATAGATCCTTTTCTCCTGTTATGGAGGCAGAGAAGTCTATTTTTACAGAGAGGCTTATAAAGAGGCTCGTCAAGTATTTTTTCCACTTGAATAAGAGCGAAACAATTTTGTCCATTTCTTGTATGTCATACAAAATTTCTTAAAATAAAATACATAAAATTACTTTACGTTTAATAAATTTTGAAAAATCATCAGGATGTGGTTTATATATTTACTGAATAACATCACGAATGTACATTTACATAACTCAATTTTACATATCCGAGATTAATATCTGTTCTATATTAAATATACAGATTGTTCTAGTCTACTTGGCGTAACAGCATATCAATTTTCAAATTAAAGTTTTTAAAATAAAATCAACTATATAATATAAAAAGAGGCTGTTTAGCAATGCGTAACATTTATGTACCATTGTTGTCCGTATCTGTTGTAATACAATAAAAGAATCGCGGTGCATACCGAACGACAGTTACATACGTATAAAACGGATCTATCAGTACAAACTATTAAAAACAACCAATTGTTACTAGTATTATTACAATCAAAGAGTTCAGCATATAGCAATAATTAATTCCATTTTTTTAAGAATTTGAGAGCCTTAATTAAAATTACCTTTTATAAGCCCAAGGTTAATTCTTCAAGTTCTTAAAAAAGTGGACTAACAATAAGTCATCATTGTGAATTGAATCTTTTGATTGTATTATATTAGAGATATTATAAATATTAATGTTATTGTTATTAATAACAATAATTTGCTGTACATAAACAGGCAGTTTAAATACCAGACTATCGTAACTTCACTGAAATTTATTCTTTTTGCAAATAATTTTGCGAATCGTGAACGATAATGTCGTTAGATCTTGTTTTAGCTTTCCATTGATAAAACCTCAATACAAACGTTACGATAGTTGATATTATGGCTGTGCAATTTTTAGTTTATGACCGAAAATAATGACAACAAAGAATGTATTGTATGAATGTATGTATCGCATTTATCGAATAATAATAATCTGTAGTTTCTTTTATCTGCACAAAGGCAGACATAAATCTGTAATATATGTAAATGAATACATATTCTTTCTTCAGTTTTTTATGTATTTATCTTTATTACGCGTTTGATTTTGGTAGCGATCAAATAAATATTTTTTTGTCTTTATTTAATAATTTTGTATAGCAATAAGTTCCTATTCAACAATAATGTTCTTGATAGAAACGTAGAAAAATTATGATATTAACGTATAAATTCGTTAATAAACTCGTTATAAATCTATTGATTATACCTCTAGATTATGCGTGTATAATATGTCAAACAAGTTCAAGTACTTAGAAGCCAAAAGAGGCCTGAAATTGGAAAATGTAATTTAGTCCTTTGTACTATTTTACATATATTGTAAAGCTATAAAATCACAAGCAAAAGTATAAAATTAATAAGTAAATCACACATTTATCTATCCATTTTTCTATAAATAATTATTTAACAAAAATGCACTATCTGGAAGTGTTCGCGTATATGTTTTTATGGAATACAATGGAATTCTATAAATTGTATAAAGATACTTCTGAGTGCAAAGACTTTAGATTAAATTTTATAAATTTTGTATTTCCAATATATGATACAAAATATAATAGGTATATATGTTTTATAATATTTAAAATGCGATACGTGACTCTATTTCTACTTACAAGAACTTGTAGACTTTCGGGAAAAGTTGAAGATGTATTTTATGTATAAATATATATGTACAATATATATATATATATATAAGTGAGAAATATACAAAGAAATCGTTCACTTGCTTAAAATAGGCAGATTGTAATTGACTTATTTTATTCTTTCAAAGATGTTAGATGTGGTCAAAAGCGGTAAAATTGTCAAGATACACGAGAATATATATAAATTATATGTTGTACGATTATTAATAAAATATATATAAAAATTCTTGTTCTTTATATTTCATATTATGATAACATTTACCAAATTCTTTTTTATTAGTGTTTTTTCTTGTAATAATAAACGAATATTTGAAATATTAAAAAAAAAGTTCTATAAAGATCCCTTCACGTCCGGCTAATTCGCCAATTGGTGGACGCAAACCTCGTGCACTTGCTAAGTGATACGCTTTTGCGAAGATTATTAATACCAATGACTTGCTGCAAGATCTATATATAACACATAGTAAACTATAGATAAAGCTGCGTGCAGCAGTTACGAAGGCCGAACTTCAGTTATACGAATGAGAATAAAATCTGTGCAAAAGTTTTATTTGTCTCTGTGAAGTTTCACTGTCAAATACAAAAAATTATAGTCATATTTCTTGTTAAATGTTCTTCGTGCACTTTCTATATCTATGAATTTACAGTATTTTTTCAATTTTATAGATAATCGTATCAATTGATTTTTGTTTTGAAGTCGTTCTATATGCGTTCTATTTCGCCCTTGAAAAATTAATTACTCTACGTGACTCATCGTCAACGTGACTTGGATAATTGATTCTTCATAGCAGAAACACGGTTAAACGATTTCGCAACTCTTTCTCGAATATATTTTGGTTTCATGCACGGGTAACTAATCGTTGTATCTAATCCATTTCTAACAATTTTAGAGAAAATAATTTCTATTAGTATTAAATAATATTAATTTAATCTACACAAATTACATTGCTAAACGTTTGCAAGTCGATAAATCGACACATTTTCCTTATTTAAATAAAATATATAAAAAGTCCTTGCAATAAAACCATACCTGAATTCACTTCCGTATCGCTCGAGAGCATTAGACATATTTGGTGGATGTTATAGGGACATCAGTAACAGTCGAGTAGCTGAGAGCTATTTGCCGCACGCTCGTCATAGAAGATTATGTAACAATAGTATCATAATACAGTTATTAATTACTCCGACATTCTATACGTTTCGATAAAAAGATATCCGACAAGAAATTGATCTTTAACGTAAACAAACAGAAATATCAGATAGAATTACATGGATTGTGTAAACATTCACAGGTTTGTTGCAAAAAATTATCAAAGTTATCTGCAGTTATGAGGACACAACGGGCGTTTTTCATATTCTGCTCCCTCCTCGGATTAACGATTATTATCTGGATTTTTTGGAGAGAATTATCGATGATACTAATTACCGTCAGCTCGGCCAATCACGTTTACTGCTACTGGAGCGGATCCAGTGGTATCATGGAACTCGGACAAGGAGAATGGGGTTAGTTACAAGATTTTATTTTTTATCTCTCGAGTATCCCAAAGAATAGAGCGAAAATTTAATTCTATTAAAGTATCATATATTTTCTCCTGCGAGATCTTTGAATAAAATTAAAAAAGAATTTTATATTTAATTAAAACTAAGAAAGGCAGATTATTTTATAATTTTACCAAGACAAACTATCGATAATAAAAAGACATATAAAGTAGAAAACTAAAAAATAATTTTTTTTCCAAAATGACGCTTTTAAGAAATATAGACTAAATATTTAAAGAGATTAAATAATTAATCAATTATTCCCTTTTTAGTATTTGAAAAATTTATCATAGAAATCAAGAGTAAAAGTTGATGTTATCGCAAACGATTTAGCGGCTAGACAGATATGCGAGCCACTTACAAGTTGAGCTAAGATACGATTATCAAATATGATTATCAGATATCAAATATATATCTGATATACTCTGAAAATATTTAAAATTTTATCTCTGATAAACTATGTGTATCTCGTTATAGATGATTAATAATATTTCAATATTATCAGCTGCAGTGGTTCGCCTACTTTTCAAGTGGGCTATTTTTAAGTAACACGTTGAAATTTCTATTTTTATCTCGTAAACATGTTTACGAAAAAATATTTATACTTTCGTACGATACATTCTTTACAATCATAAGCTATAGGCAACTCGGTGTCCTTAGTCAAGTTATCGATTTTAATATGCAATCACCTAGTTATACTAATTACAGAATACGAGAACAAAAATATGCTGTTACATACTATTCTACGTATCTTAATCGTATTTGTGTAATTTATTTTCTTTTAATATAAAAACAATAAATAGGTACAGTAACAAAGTTTTGCGATATCACAGTTTTCTCTTTTGCTTTTAAATCTCTGTGATCAATTCTCGAGAACCACATGGTTTTTAATTATTTTCTGTTTAAATGCTTTAGTTTAAGAACTCAATCATTTAAATTTGTTTTTCAAGCGTATATTACCCAATTACCTGCTTTCCTCTAATTTGTAGATAAACAAATGCTGATACCAAGCAGATGCATATTTTTCCACGAGACATCGTGTTCATCACCGAATCTCACGCCTCAACAAGCATGCGCCGTGGAATCGGCAGCCAGAAATAATCGCAATTTGAATGTCTTCCTGCTATTCCTCGCGACAGGGCAGTTTTCCGAGAGGTCTAAGAGAATTGTCGACATTTTACAAACCTATGACAACGTGTACATAAGGCGAATACGTTTGTCGACATACATTATCAATACACCGATAGAGGACTGGTTCTGGGCAAACATCCGTAGATTATGGGAGAACTACGATTGGCTGCGCAACGACTTTCATGATTACTTACGGATGTTAACACTGTGGAGATCTGGCGGTGTGTCATTGAATTTGAACAGCATCGTGCTGACGTAAGTTGAGCGAGTATCTCTTATCTTCAAGGCTTCAAAGTTAATTCAACGACGAAGATGAAATTGATACGTTCCTAATAAGTTTCTCGTTGATATCAATGTATCATAAAATCTGTCAGACTCCAAAATATTGCAAGTAGACAAGCATCGGCGTCTATTGAACTTGCTGCAACATGTTAACAAAAGGCAAACATATTTAGGTAAATAAATATAAGAATTCTCGCATTTAGACCGTTGGACGAGCTAACTACTTTTGTGGGCGTGCAAGACAATCGAGATATGGGCGTCGGTGTGTTTGGCGTCGACACGAGCACAAATTTCGGAAGGAGTTTTGCCGACGCCTGTATGGAAGTCATTAAAGATATAAACGAGGACAGCTATCTGCGATACAATATCACGAGAGTCGTAACCGAAGCCGTATGGAAGCTCTGTTATCAGCGAAACGTAAATAGGGTAAACTTTATTTACTTAGCGAACAAGCAACCTCCTTCAGCGTACGTTTCATGACATATACATCTATGTTTCTATCTAAAATTTAAAAGTTTTATATAAAATAAGTTTTAATTTCGAATTCTATGACATAAATTATACAACTTTTTTATTCTTGTGTTGTTGCTCGCTTCGGTTACGTTAATGGAATAATTTAGATTTAACGAACGATTGGGAGCGAAGAGTCGCAGACAGAAGTCGTTTTACATTGAGCATTGACCGCGTTTGTTACATCAGCTCGAAGCTCGAACAAATCTCTTTCTAATGCTTCGCAGCTCTCGCAGGACAAGGAATGTCGACGGTTCACTATCTACCCACCGGAGAAATTTTATCCTGCGTCTTCCGATATGCAGAAGGTTCGTCCGAACGAAACGAGAACGGCAGAAATGCTGAAGCTGAGGATGCCCATAGGGAAGAACGCCATGACGATTCATTATTCGAATAATCCGATCGATTACAATCGAGACGTTGACGGTGACGGTGACAGTGACGATGATGATGCTGAAGCTGACAACACGGCGGCCTACAAAATGGCGGCCAGGCAACACTGCCCGAAGATATACGAATTTGCTGGAGAAAGCTTTTTAAGCTCGCAATATTGGATAACCAATACGTGATACGTAGCACAAAATACGCGCACGTATCGCAAAATTGGGACGCAAATGTATGTGTGTAATTGAATGAAATTAATATTTATTACGCGAGCGATTTTATATTGATTTTGTATTGAGAGTACATTAAAATAATTACCTTTCTATTTTGTATTTTTGCATAATGACGCCCTGGTAACCTGGTGTACATATTTCCGTTTTTCATATAAGCTTTATTTTGACAAAAAACGGGCTGAAGATATACATATTTCCACGCTATCACTTATCACCGCCACCGCCAATAGCTGCAGTATCGACACTATCGACCAATCGACGATACTTTCACCAGTTTGCCGACGTTGAATTCAGATGGTGCCTTGATCGCCATCAATGACGTTTGATGTTTTGTTTTCTTGCCTGCTCGAATTCCTTTAGCACATTCAGAGGTCAGAGGTTAGGTTAGGCTGACTTCGTTCATGATTTATGTCTTAATTAAATCATTAATATTCATACGCAGGCATATAGCATTCATGCTGAATCATCAGTCTCGATGGAATTTATCGCGGCGCATTTCTCAAAAGAAAAAAAACCTGATTTACCGTTTTAATCGAAGGTTTGCCTTGAAGGCAACGAGGACGTTGAGGTTACGTTGCCGCCGAGTCAGCTGAGTGACAACGAGAACTGACGTCAACAGAAACGTAGAGATGAGAAAAATTGCCGATACGCTGCTTACGCACGATCGCGCGACCCGTGATATTCCGATAATATCCGACTCCTGTTATCAGTTCTCGAGTGAGATCGCGCGATGGCCGATATCGTTCGACGATAATTAATTCTCGCGTCTCTCGCGCCAAAACCCGATCTTTCGATCCGATGCGAAGCGCGATATTCCTTCGCGTTTCGAGAACATTGACGGCGCGAAACTCGATCATTCTTTCGCGTAGCACGCGTATCGGACAATTAAGTACGCTAGACGCCGCGATGGCTCAACGAATCTTCAAAGGCCATAACGATCACTATAATGGCATTACGATCGACTCGGTTGAAGAGGCCTGTGACAATAAGATATTCGCACAGCGTCTCAAAGGTAGAAACCTAGAGACGCATCCTTTTCGCACCCTTTTCTCGTATCTTTTTCTCATATTCATACAGATGCGATTAATTACATTTTATACATAATTATTATATACATATACGCATATTGTCGTATTATAAAAGGGATATAATTAGATGTTGTAAAGAAATTTTGAACAATCTTCTCTTTCTCTTCGAGCTCGCTAAACTTTACTTGCTTTTCGAAGCATACATTTATAATAAAACAAAAACCTTTATATGTAGTTAAGTATTGTTTCTCCGTCGAGAGTTTTTAAATTCAATGTTTGTTAAAATGATATTGAAGGAATGAATTTGATACTACAGTAGCATGTATTTTAAGAACATACTAGTTAGAAGGAATAAACACACATATAACTTATAATATATCTTTATAGATTCTTTAGAGCAATGGACAAGGGACAAAAAACGCACTATATGGTTTCGCGTGCACATCCCGCATACCGAGTGGGTCCCGATATTAACAGGGCACGGATTCATCTTCCATCATGCGAAAGAAGAATATGTCATGTTATATCGTTGGTTGCCCACCGACGAGGAATGTAATGTCCCGAAATATGCGCATACATTTTTAGGCGTTGGTGCATTCGTGTTCAACAAGGATACTGGTGAAATACTTGTCATTAAAGAAAGATATGCTTCTACTAAAGCAAGCTGGAAGCTTCCTGGAGGCTACGTAGAGCCAGGTATCTTAATAGAAGCTATTGTGCCTTGTACATTAGTATTACAATGGTACTTTGCACCATTCTACATGTGTATGTATATTTATGATTGTCAGGAGAGAATATTGAAACGGCAGCCAAGAGAGAAGTTCTGGAAGAGACGGGAATTCAGGCAGACTTCAAATGTTTAATATCTTTTAGACACGGACACGATTATTCGTTTGGATGTTCGGACATATACATGATCGCATATCTAACACCTCAGAATTTTGAAATTGACAAATGCAAACGGGAGATATCTGAATGCAAATGGATGAAGGTAGAAGTTGTACCACGAAATTATTTTCTCATATTGCCAAAAATCAAGAATTATATTTATATTTGTACATGATCTTATAACAAAACCTGCAAGCATCATACTTGTTCGATATAACAGTTAAATGTATTACAATACTACTAATGCGTAGCGCATTTGTACCCTGAAGTATACGGAACATAATTGCTTCAATTTACAAATTTTTATTATTTTTCTAGCTAAGCGAATTCATGCAACATCCAGAAGTACATGCAAATAATAAAACTTTAGCAACAAAAACAATAGATTTTCTTCGACATCAAATGGGTATGGTTGTAAATTATGGAATACATCCCCTCACGAAAAAGCAAATATGTGTGTACAGTGTGGAGAATACAGACATCGGAGATACATCTGTAGAATAAACTGTCTGTTTTTAGAAAAAATGATGTGTATATATAGAATGAAATATTAGAGATTTTAATATCAATAATGCGAAAAAATACGCACAAAAAGTTCTTTTGTTACTACCATTACTATAGAAATGAAATATACAAGATAATAATAGATAATAATATAATTAAATAATAATATGAAGAGCTATTAAATAATAATATAAATTATAGATTCAATTTATTGTCTAACAAATTATATTGATCTAAAGTTATATTAATTTGAAGACTTATTTAATACTATATCACATATATCACAATACGTTAATTAAGTTTTTGTTACATAGTTTTATAGTTATTAATATCCTTTGGTTATTTCACAATTATTGTTAACGTGATGTGCTAACAAACTGTCTTAAGGTAAGTTTTATCTTATTTGCATGATTACATCTTGAGTATTTTCATATAAAATAATATACTTATAAACGTCACAGCGTAATGTTCTATCACCGTTCAATTTATAATAATATTAGAAACGTGTGACTAACTTTAAATATGTCGACATGGCCATGAATTCGGATTTTTATACAAAATTAATGATAAACAATAGAAAAAACTGTAAATATATTTCTGCCAATTATTGTAAACAGTAAGCATAATTTCTGTCAATTAGCATTTTAATCAGATTACCCATGAGGAATTATAGAATTTAGTGTAATGAGCGTTACCACTGTGGCAGTAATCGGTGGCATACACCATTGATAAAAGGACGGATGCGGAGCTGCTGTCATGGAAAGAATGACCCAACTCGTGAAACGTAATACGTTGCTTAATAGAAGCGAGCGATATCCCTTATGATCAGGAGAAATCTGTACGATACCTAATGTACTGCATGCAGCTAATATTGTCCAACTTGTCGTAAGAACAGGATCTTCTGTAGAGAGTCTCATATCGTAGCTGTAATGAAAAAGTCCACTTTTGTTAACTAATTTTTATAAAATGTATGACTTTATAACTAAGAATCTTGTTTTCTTATTGCAGTCATATTAAATTATGACGATGATTGACTTTTTTCGCTTTTATTACAATTTAATGTTATTGTAGTGAAAAAACAGAAACCTTAAATCGAGAATTTTAGATTTTTAAGTAGAATTAGAATTTAATACCTGAAATTTTTCGCCCAAACTAAGACAGATGGAATTGCTGGGAGTGCAGCAAAACTACACAGCAAAAACAGAATAAGATGATTATATATCTCTTGACTGATATTTCTATCACTTTCTTCTTCGCTCTTTGTACTCTTCCAACGTTTAAACCAATTGAAATGTTGGAGTGGGGCCATTAATATGCCCTCTAAATAATCTTCGTACATCCTTGTTAATTTCAAGAAATAAAGAAATACCGAGACGAGCATACCAAGAGCGCCACATGTTGTTGGAATTAGAGATAATACGAGAACAGTTGTAATAAATGGCAACTGATTTAAACCGCTCAATAACCAGTCTGACCATGTTATTGAGAACGCTATTGCACGTGCTAAGAACCTACAAAAATACGATTTTCATGAAAATATTTCAATCGTTACTGATCAAATTGACCAATTTTTCAGTATGCATTTAATACAAGAGAATATTTTTATTTGAATATAAATAAAAAAACCTGTACCTGACAGCTATTCCATGTGCGACAGAACCAAGAAATATGACGGAGCAACATACACCAATGGCAGATACACCAATGATACATAAAGCAATGCAGGTTTCGTAAGTAACGTTGAAGAAAAAGGACAACATTATGGTAATGACTATTGTCGGTAGCGTATCTGAACCGTAATGTATCTTTATAGAGACAAAAAGTAGGAGTAAACTCATAATGGCCATGTAAAGCAATGGCCAACGGTCTCGTATTCTACAAGAAACCTTGTCGACGATTCCTCCAGGTTGAATATTAATCATATAAGTGCATTCTGGTTCTAATGTCACTCTTAAACTTGCCGTGTCATTGGGACGTCCGTAGAGTGTCTGCATTTTCATCGTTTTCGGACCATCGTCTCTGCATCGTAATTAAATGTAGAAAGGGCTTATATGAAGCTCGGTTTATTGCGATAAATGCACTTACGTATTCGTGAAGATTTTCGTTTGAGTCGATCCTACATTCGACGACTCTAGTAACTCGACAATAGCGTGATGCTTAAGACAATTCGGCGATTTCAACTCGATTGTTACCGCGTCTATGATGTTGGAAAGTGTTACGTAATATCTCACACTTCCCTTGACGGTTTCAATCAAATTCGGTCCACGAAAGCCAAAGAGATATTTAGGATGTAAGAATCTATTTCTTGTAGATTCGATTCGCGTGTTATAAAAATAGGAATCGAAGCTAATTTTAAGGTATTTCTCCAAATCATCTGGAGTTATTCTCACAATGGCATGCGTAACGTGCGGATATCTTATCTCTTTTAGGTCTAGATCAACAGTCCTTCTCGGTCGATATGATGGATCGGGTAAAAGTCTTGTCTTATTTGTCAAATTCCAACCCCATTCACTGAAAGAACATATTATTGATCAGTAAATAATAATTTCCTTTTGGTAGGAATATGTAATTCAATGTTACCAAATTTGTTTTTGGCCTTGTTTTTTTAATGCTGAGCACACAAACAGCCAATTTTGGTTTTCTAAATTTATTGCATCAATGGTTAAGAAGTCAGATTTGTGAAATAGTTCCACCACAAGATATATAGTAGATTTTTTAACTCCGTTTTTATTATTCCAGACATACTGTTGAGGTATATTCACCCATTCGGCATCGGCTTCGAACTTAATTTTTTCCGTATAATGATACAGTTTCTTGCCCGAAGTATGCTAAAATTGCAATTTTATGCATTAAAATTCATTAATGTTTTAGGAATTTTAGAATTATTAGGAAGTTTAGGATTATTAAATATTTTTTTGTATCAATAAAGAACAATCGAGCAATCATAAACTCTGACTTTGGCATCAACAATAATCACTTACTTGTAAAAAGTGATAGGACAGAGACTTCATCTTCAAATCAGGATTCGATGTAATTTTAGGTGGCTTTTTTGAACGTTCTACGGAATCAAACAACGAACGCACAATTGTAAATACGAGTTGTTTACACCACAGAATACTCAAATGATCTGTCGATTTCCAAACGACTGGTATACTCGTAGAAAGAACATTTATATCAGCTGTACGATCAAAAGTTTGCGCAGCAGGTACAAGTATATCGCGTGGTCCACCTCCAATCGATACTACCTTCACTCCTGCATCCTTAATTTTGTGCAGATGTCTTTCCAATTCATGATAATAATTGGCAAGGACACTATCCAGAACTAAAGAGGGAGTATGAGGGGAAGCCAAGTTTATTATCATACTTGCAAACGAAGCGTTCATATTTGGTGCTAGCAACAGAGCACCTTTCGCTACAATACCACCCTGAAAGAGATGTCAGTTAATTTCAATCATTCTCTATAACATATATCTGCGTTTCTTACCATAGAATGACCAATCAACACAACATTGTCCATCTTGCCCTTGTACAAAGCTAATATTGCCTTTATGCAATGTGATACGTACACGGTTTGTTCCATAAGCACACCTTGCATCAATAAATTACAATGACAATTAATATTATGTGGGTATCGATATATTAATAAATGTATTTTGTAAAATTATTTTTTCATGTGTACCTCCATACAATGCAGAATAATCCTTACTGAACGAAATAGTAAAAAAGTCAAAGTGGAAGGGATACTTTTGGCTTTTTCTTAAACTTACTGAAGCAATAGATCGTACTAAAATGAAAGGAAAAATGTAAATACGTAAATTTAAATATCTGTCTTACAATGATGAAAGTTCATCATTAAATTAATATTAACATATTAATAAAGTGATGTAAACCTTGTTCATGAGATCCAGCATTGCCTGGTATGAAGAGAACCGGTATACCAGAAAAGTGCATTCTTCTTAATTTTTCCGTTTGAAAACCTTCTCCATAGGCATATAATCCAAATCGCGGATATTCATCTTCTAAATCATCTTTCAAAGATATTCTCTAAAATATAATAAATTATTTCAAAATTAGCAAAAAAGTTATACATATATTCAGTATTCCGTTTCAAATATTTCTTTTATATTTGATAAACAAAAATATATATTCAAACAGAATAGATCACTTTTATTTCACCAGTCAAATAATAAACAACAACGGAAATATTAACTGACTCTACTGGTCGTTATAATCACCAAGACAATACGACCACAATTTGGTTTGATTATTGTCAAGATGTTTTCTTAACCAAATAAAAAAATATATATCTTTCTCTTATGCACTTGTGGAAAAAAGGAAGCAAGTATTTTAAGTTGAAAAGAACAAATACTTAGTGCAATGTGGAACAGGCAGATAAGAACTCAAGACTCGAGGTAGAATCCCTACTCTCACATAGCAGGCTATCTCCAATGAAAACCGGAGTAAAAAAGTGAAATGGTAGCAGTCACATACTGCGACTCGCGTGTCCACGTACCACATACTGCGGATACTCGAACATGTACGTCATCTCGCATGTATTCTCCTCAAAATCGGTGACATATCTCGCAACTCCGAGAACGTAGAGCAGAGTGAGCATGATAAAAAACGGCACCAGCGAACCGTAGATCATTATCCGTTTTACGGACATCATTTTGAGTATCTCACCTCTCTCGAACCTTTAAACAGAAGATATTTATTACTTGATACAATTATCATTTGTCTCAATACCGGCTCGATGCCGACATTTGTATCCTTTGAGACCGTTGGACGGCCTACCTAATAGATAACAATTTAGGTAATGTAACGACACTTTACATAGGATAGGGAATACAGGAGCGTGTATGAATTTTCGCTAGAATACGACAGGATATCTGATGAAAGTAAAAATTATATACCAGGCTAGATCCTTATCATTTTCGTCGGCTTTCATTGAGTCTGTAGGTTATAATTTCTTCCGATATTGAGAAAAACGTAAATTCGAATAAAATTTCAACACATGCGCGGAACTTGTTCGTTTTAGGTGCGCCCACTGCGCCCTCGGTGTTTCCGTGTTGAAAATGAGGCAAGAGGTCCGTTCATTTTCGCGTTCCAAGTTTCTCGAGAGGTGGTCGAGTGCTGGGGACTTTCCTCGTAATCTGGAAACTCAAAGCTGGAGCTGGGAACAGTGGCCGAGATTTTCCCTCCACGAAAAGATTCTTCCGTCCACTTCCTTCTTCTCATTTCCTGCGCGGCTGAGCCATGTGGCTGATGTGCTCTAACCGCCGAGGTACTTTCGTTAATCTTACGTAACCATTTCTTTCTCAATTTATTCACGTTGATAATACGGATTCTCGTCCGATCACCGTGGTTGTTAAATAATGTTGAGTACGACGGTACTGTCGTGCTGACCGCCACGTGGTCGCGATCGAACGGAGAAAAAAAGAGGGATATTACGCGCCAAGTGCACGACTTGCACGAGGCAAATACAGACGGGTACGCAATACGCAATACGCATAGAAAATGAAACGAAAGAATTCGGATTCGCAAGTTGCGCGGAAGCAGAAGCGAAAGCGAGCCGACTCCGAGACGGAGACGACGGAATCGCCCAAGGAGTTCGACCTGAAGGAGCTGTCGAAGAAGCAAATTCTACAATGCATCTCTGCAATTTTTCACTTGACTCAAGAACAGTTAAAAGAGACGAATAGTCTTCTCGCCGAGGAGGCTCGGCCGATATTCATACAAGTGACTAGCGTCAGAGTTCCGAAGATGCCTCGCAGACAGATGAGGGTGTAAGTAAATTGACTGATGCCATAGATATTTATTTTACAATATTAAAACTGTACATGATTATATCTTACAATAACCAATGGATCCTTATGAAATTTTCTGATTATAAACTCCATAATGATGATAACTCATATGTAGCAAAATATTGTTGTATTTTTGTCAAATTACTATTTAAAATTCTTACCTTTTTGTTTGCAGATTGTTGCCATATTCAATAGTGGCTCCAGACGATGAAATAGCTTTGTTCGTTTGCGATTTGGAGAGAGGAAGAAGAAAGGATTATGAGCCAACAGTAGAATACTACAGAGATCTATTGCACAAGCATGGGTGCACCCGCGTGAATGAGATAATACCCATGAATCGTGTGAAGAACGAATTTGATCAATTTGAATTGAAGAAAAAGCTCCTAGGGAGTTATGACCACTTTCTTGTCGACGGTCGCATCGCCGGTCATATGTCTCACTTGTTAGGAAAACACTTTACCAAGAAAAGGAAGTTGCCGACTTCAATCAGAATGGAAAGCAAAGACTTGAAGCACGAGATCGATTATGCATTGAGGAAAACCAGTATGCTGCTTCATTCTCATGGCGATACTCATTTGATGCAAATCGGGAACACATCCATGGACAAGAAAAAAATCCTGAAAAATATACTGGCTGCCTGCGAAAAACTGTCTAAAAACTATCCAGGCGGTTGGACAAACATACGAGCTCTCCGACTAAAAAGCACAACCAGTCTGGCATTGCCTTTTTATATGACGTTAAGTAAGTTGTTGAAATATAGATTATTCAATTTATTAATAACGATATAGACTGTTTCCTTAAACAAGTTTATGAATTTCAGAGAATAAAAACACGGTCAATCCACATGAGATTGTGGTACAGCCAAAGAGACCGAAAGCTTACCGTGATGTGGAGGGAGAGCTTTCAACATTCGTACGTGATACCACGGTCATAGTTAAACCCGAAGGCACAGTTATTCTGAACAAACATAAGCAGAAACAACCAAGTAAGAAAATCACAAAAGAAGAAACTGAGAATTGAAACAACATAATTCTGTTGTTACTTTAAAATTTGAAATCTTGTAAAAAGAAGTAATCACAAAAACTTTTGAAATATGTAATATTATGTATGTTATCTATAGTTAATATTAATTTAATTAACATTAAATATTATCTTCGTAATATCTATCATGTGATTGGGGGAGATTATTGTCCTCCGATATGAAGCATATTAAGTATTGTGCTAATTGTCGGAGGATATCTCTTAGGATATAGTTATTTGACAAATAAAGGCAGTTTGTTTATATTGCTTAACAAATAGTTTCTTTTTTATTAATATACTAGATTGCGTGCAAATATTTGAAATTGTGACAAAGGTTTTCCTACTAATGCAAGTGATCAATCAATACAAAATGGTCTGATCCTTCTTAGATATACTCTGATATCCATTAGCTGGCAACGTTGGCAAACTGTTGGCGACACCGTTAGCATTTTGCATGCTCTTGTACACATTTGTCGTGTCTACGACCACCTCGATTTCTTGGAAGTTCTGGAGTCTCTGAATGTCCTTGTCTCTTCTCAATCTGGTATCGGGCAACTTTCGTAGCTTCTGGATTTGATGCAAATTGAGATCCAACTCCTTGCAGCATAGACACAACAGAGCCTGATATGTCAACTCGCTTCGCGGTAATTCCACCTCTATGAAATCTGGATCCGCTGTATTGGCGACCCGGATTTTCAGTACCAATTCTAAAAATACATTGGAATACAATTTATATACGGGACATCGTGATAAATTAGTTGACTATGTAGCTTCTTAAAAATTTCTTTTTTAAACATCGTATTATTTTAAGTGGCAAATAACTGTCACATTACTAAAGAAATTTATATCAATTTATCGAACCGTCTTGAAATGACGTGACGAGTCTGCTTTTGTCGTATATATTATTTCTAACTTTTGAAGAGTTTGCAGGAGCGCGCAGAAAATCTGGTGCAGGGAATGTAACTGCGCGTAACGACGAATCATACATGAAATCATCGCTTAGAAGATACAAAATCTGTTGGTTGCTGCAGACAGACGCTGGAGTGTCGCCCATATCGGATCGCAGATTTTTATCGGCACCATTTTTCAAGAGCAAGGCAACAATATCCAAGTATCCCTCTTTACACGCCCAGTGTAGAGCGGTCCTTCAGAAGCACGAATGAACGAATACATTATTGGAAGCATCTTGATAAGTAGATCTAACTTTTACATTGGCATTAGAGGGTGACTTCCCACGCAATAGAGCGTGAGTTCTCTGTTCAATAAATATTTCAAGCGAGCATAAATTTTATACATAATTTAAGAAGAAAATGGGAAATAAAAGTAAGTGGAAGGGATGTATTTTTACGAGTCCTATTTCTGTAAAGGTAGGTCAAAGCAAAGCTGGAATGAGTACCATCCGCTGCCATCTCGCGCGTTTACGTCGACGCCTACATTCAAGAGATCGTGCACGCCATCCGCGTCGCCGAGGCAAACCCTTTCCCTCAGACGCTCTTCGAGTATTCTTTCCATTTTGTAACGTTTTTACAAGCACCGCGTTATGGTACGTCACATATTTGTAATGATTTTACACCCGAGCGAGGCAACTCGAAAATGGAGTACCGAATATGCAGCAAGATTCTAACGCGCCGTCTCGAAAAACGAGCTCGATAGGGCTGAGAGCGGTGAGGGCTCCTCTATTCTAGATTACAGAATCGTTGGAATCGTGTTATCACTGTTATCACTATTCAGTCTATTCCGTTCTTCCATCTCCACAAAGTTCACTGTTCACTCCAGTACTCCACTCCGAAGTCCGTCGACACGGCACGTGTGTCACTTTGTGGCACAGCCAACCGCAGACGAGAGTTCTGGATAAAATCGTCTGCATTGGTCGTCAGCGCGAGCGGCGAGGCCAATCGGAGCCCGACCAACACCGTGAAGACGATTGCGACTCTCCGGTGCGCATTCCCTCTCGCTCTCGGATGCGCCATGCGCGGCGGTTGGTAGCCGTAGCTAGATCTTTCATTATCATATATTTTCCCGCACACTGTCGCAAGTCGCAAGTGTTAACATTCATACACCTGCGAGCTGTTTAAGGCAGTGCAGACTCATCGCCGAAAAAATCTCTACCAAAACACCGTTTTATTCTTATCGTGGAGGACTACGCGGGGTTAATTTTGCGATTGCTTGACGTACGCCGTGCGCGACGAGTTCACCATCCTCGGCAATATGATTATAACGTTGAAAAACTTACAACAGCAAACGTTCACGATAGAGATCGACTCGTCGCAAACTGTAAGTAAAATTGGGCGAGATCGAGCGACGGAGTCGACTTTTTGGGACAGTTAACGATTCAAATATTTCTTTCCTTTCACGTTATCAGGTCAAAGATCTCAAGGAGAAGATCGAGACGCAGAAAGGCTTCCCCGCCGAGCATCAAAAGTTGATATACGCTGGTGAGGAACACGGTTAAATAACCTAATTTATCGGGAACGTTACCCGGGGGGGCGCCCGGCGTGTTCGTCCACGCCAGTCCACGCGGCTGGACGAGAATCCGCGTTGTAATCGAACAATAAATACCGCGCGGCCCACACACGTTTAAATATAGCTTCCTCGCGATAGGAATGATCTTGCAGAAACGCTCATAGGTTATGTTTCCAATTCGCACACGTCGAGAGCTGTCGAAAGCTACGATGAATTTTTTTTTTTTGCTTTCGAGATCTTAACGATGTGCAAACGTTTGCAGGGAAAATATTAGCGGACGAGCAGCCCTTAACAGAATATAATATCGATGAGAAGAAATTTATAGTTGTTATGGTAACGAAGCCTAAAGCTGGAGCTACACCTAAAACAAGCGAAGAGCAGCGCGCAGAGGGTGATAAGAAGGAAGAGTCTACTAGGTAACTTGAAGATTGCGACACTTTTGCGCGTAAGGCGCGACGAAAATGTCGCTTGTTGTGAAATATTCATTATATCAATTATGATAAGTAACAGAACCATTTGTCAAATATCGTTAAGAGGACAAACTATTCTTTTTCGAATTATGTGCGGAGTAGAAACCAGGACACCTCATTCTTTATATTTCTGTTATAGCGCGGCAACTACGCAACCTAGTTCAAATCCTAATGTTCAGGATACTACACGAGCAGCCAGTAATGTGCAAGAGCAACCCGCGGCAGCTGCGCCAGCGGCTGGTCAAGCAGAAAGTGCCTTGCTAATGGGAGAGGATTATAATGCTATGGTAAACAACATCATGGATATGGGGTGCGTATGAAGAAGAGTGACGCACTTCGAACTACAATTTGTTAATATTTACGTGATATTTTTATCATTTGAATTAGGTACGAACGCGAACAGGTTGTACAGGCGTTACGTGCAAGTTTTAACAACCCTGATAGAGCTGTCGAGTATCTCCTAACGGGTATACCAGCGCAACTTTTTGAGGATCCACCTGAAGATCCGCCGGAAGCCCAAGAGCAACTTCAGGATCAAAGTCCAGATCCGTTGGCCTTTCTGCGTTTGCAGCCACAATTTCAGCAAATGCGTCAGGTCATTCAGCAGAATCCAGCGCTGCTGAACAGTCTTCTTCAGCAAATCGGTTCCACTAATCCTGCCCTTTTACAGCTTATTTCTCAAAATCAAGAAGCGTTTGTACGCATGCTCAATGAACCTGGTTAGTTTAGACGCGTATGCTCAAAAAATCATGTATTGTGACTGATAATATAATAATAATAATAATAATAATTATTATTATTATTATTATTATTATTATTATTTAATAACATTAATAACTTATATAACTCGTATGGTCTTTTCTCGTACAGTGGAACCTACTACGGGAACGGGGGCGCGAGTTTTGCCAGCATCTGGAGGAGGCGTAGCACCCGCAGCTGCTGCTGCAGCTGCAGCTGCAGCGGGAGGTGCTGTGAATGGTGGGGCTGGCACTGGCGCAGCAGCGGGCGTAGGATCCGGTTTAATACAGATAACACCACAGGACAGAGAAGCTATCGAGAGGTTGAAGGCGTTAGGTTTCCCAGAACATTTAGTCGTACAAGCATATTTCGCCTGTGAAAAGAACGAAAATCTCGCTGCTAACTTCCTACTTTCGCAAAACCTCGACGACTGAATCGCTCATCTGATTTTACGCGGCGTTTCGAATAAAGAACAGGACTGACAGAGGGTGGATGATCGCACCATTATCATTTTTACCTTACAATAATCATCTTTATTTTGTATATAGATATACACAATATCTATGCTATTTTTATTTGTTGTGTAGATAAAAACCCTGGTGTGTTTGGTAAGCGCGTGAATCTTAAGATAAGCGCATACCATAACATTACATATATGTCAACTCTTAAGCATTGTTTCATACTTTTAAAAACATTTCATTTAATATGTAACACATGTTTATGAGAGAAAGAATTGTTGCTTACAGCAGACGGTGTTATAAAATCCATCCTTACAGCCTACAAGTGCTCTAAGATCTTATATTTCTTTAATATATATGGAGCAATATAATTGCATTTTTATATGAGAAAGCCTTACGAGCCTTACTCTGCAGAAAAATATCTTGCAGTAGTTACATATTGAGGGTCGGGCATATATAAATTGAAGATGTGTTCACTCTCGCGTTAAGGTATGTTTTATACATATCTAAATGTTCGCATGTAAGTATAATGAGTGCATTTTGTACATTTCTTGGCTTTCTGATATAAAAATTATAGAATGCATCTGTTTGGGCATGTGTACTTGCGTATATTCGTATTTATGTATGTATGTACAAAGAGATTTTCTACTTTTAAATGATAATATCGCTAAATTAACTTAAATGTTAAAAAGCTCTCTTGCTTGTCACAATTCAGTAAATTGTAACAGGGTGTAAAAAAACTAACTTGTCATATATATATATATTACAATATATATATATTACAATTATATATATATAATTTTATTCTTAATCTTTGGATCTTGATATCTTGAAAATGTCATAATAAGTTTTTACTAGTGGTGCGATGTTTTTTGCCTATAAAATTAATTAGATTGTAATTGAAGTAAAACAGTTGTAATACTATGAATAATATTGAAATTATATTAACGTCTGAATATTAATTATTACGTAGATTATTACGGAATTCTATTAGAGATAGACTATGAGACAAAGTATTACAAACTATTCCAAACGTGACTTGCCTGATTGTATCTTTCCTTGCAGCATAAAGCAATATTAACATTTTTTTTGACACAAAGAATAATTCAAACAATAACTTGTGTGTCACATAACGACATACATACGTATGTACGTATTTATGCATGTTACATAAGTAGGAAATTCTTAATTCTTAAATTTGTACCATACAGTTACTTATTAATATCATTAAAACAATAATAAATATTGAACAATTTTCATCGCTCTTACATATATTTAGTGCAAAAACAATATAAAGAATTATTCGTTGGAGGGTTGTAGTAACAATTACATAAAATTCCAATCTGTTATATTGACTCAAATTTTATATCCCCTTTTTTTTTATAAAAATAGAGAAATTATTAATAGAGAAGAACTGCTGTTAAAACAACACATTCTCTGTTGTGTGCTCAACACACTTGTAATACATAGTATAAATGAATAAATTACGATTTCCACAAATGCAAATTAGTCCATTATATTACTATCAATAAGTAATTTTATAGAAAATTTAAACATATGAATTTTGACTCTGTTCTCCAATGCTCTATAAAGACTGTTATACACGAAGATATCTAAATATAAAAGTGCAAAAGCTACAACACTTTAAAATATATAACTAATGTACATTCCCTTAAAAATGTGATATTAACATAAGCTATTTTATTGGTCAAAATGTTTACATTATGTTTTCGTCATTAAATAACTTCACGTATAATAGCTTTTTGTATGCAAAGTAAATGCCAATGTAAAGTAGTACAAGCGACCAAATTTGCTATTAAAGTATTAACACGCAGTTCACATATATGTAATCATGTTTGCAATATTGCAGTTTATAACATCATAAATTTTGCAAATATGATTATAAATATGTATCATGTTTTGTATATATGTATACAAAACTTCAAAAAAGTTTAAATGTAGAAAATTATACATGTTTAAATATGTACATACTAGAAAAGTTAACGTCTTTTTTTTTTTATTTTATACTATTTACAGGAGTTTTAAGAAGTTGAAGAAATATTTGTCCCTCGTAATGTTACACCTTTCCTCTGAAGATCCTTTTTAGCTTCTTCTATTTGCTAAAAGAGCGACAACGGAATTAGATAACAATATTGCTTATATAATTATATCTTTTTAAATAAAAGAGAAACCAACTTGCTGAAGTTCGATGGCTGCATTTTCACAAGTATTAAAAGTGAATACTCTGTACAAGATGATAGTAACTGCATATAATCCAAAGAGAAATAAGGAAATGACTGGAAGAAAAAGTATAATTTTATGCCATTCCTTGACAAAAGCAGAGTCGCTTGTAATTGTAGCAATCCACATGCCAAAAATCACCGTTGCACACGACAGCCACTCCAGTAGTTTTGTCATCTGTGAAAAAAATTACAATATTTCCCCATTATTTATCATCATTATCGAGATGAAACGAAATGCTTATTGTAGAATAATAATGTGATTCTTTAAAATAAATAAATTATGGAAATAATTAACATATACATAAATTTCATGTTACAATACACACGTTTGACAAAAAATTCAATATCAATTTTACTGGAATTTTTATGTCGTTATCAAATATATGATTATTAAATTGTTAATATGTTTTTATACATACTTTCTTCATCTTAACCTCAAAAATCTAGGAGACATGTACACACGGAAATAATATTGATATATTATTTTCTTCTTCTTTCTTTTGTGGCACCTGCCCTCGAACAAGGGTCAATACGGCCAATATCTTGTAATTTACGAGCAGAAGGGTTGGTGATATATTAACAAAGTCGGATGATGCAATGCAAAGTAGAGAGAGTATATCTTTGTGTGTGTGTGTGTGTGTCGCGATGTTGGGTCTTGGACGTCTTGGTATTGTTGGGAACTCGGGAATAAGAAATAATTAAAAGAGAAAGAGAGAGAATGTGATCTGTGTGAATATAAACTGAACTGTCAACAAACATATATAAAACCCGTATCAGATTATGCATTTGAAATTACGTGTCTCTCAACCAATCGGAATGAAGAAATATCGAAATTGGACAATTCTCATATATATCTCTAACTTTTTTCAATTTTTAAATTAGGTTTGAGTAATCTATTAATCTCTCAAATTATATGCTGAGACAACTCACGAACCTTTTTGTAAAGAAAAAATACAAAAGAGCTTCTTCAGATTTTTTTTTCGTTATTTACAGATATTTATTAAACCATAATTTATCAACTGGTGATATCCATTTTTGGCAACCGAGCATGTTATTCTGGACCATGTATTTCCAAGTCCAAAGATGCTGATTGTTCTCTTCCAACCATTTCTCTTTAACTGCCTGTTTATCCAAAATCTCTTGACTGACGGCTCTGGCTTTGAACGGTAGTTGATTTGCTACTTGGGTCAATACTTTCTTTACCTAGAAAAGAATTTTATATATCAATACATTCCCATTTATACTTTCTATCTAGTAGCACAAATCAATTTCTAGTATTTCATTTCTATTTCTTGTTTAATGTGTGGATATGCATAGTGCAAAATCTAAGATCATGAATTATCATGTAAGATATAATCCAAAGAACGAATCTGAAGATTTTTACGTAAAAATTTGAATTCACGCAAATCGATAAAATATCAGGAGAATAATATAATTGACAAAGTCGCGATTCTTGGGAAATTCTTGAAACTTTAGATAGTATAGTTGCGAAAACGTTAAAGTATCAGGAGAACGTAACTGGCAAGAAAGTTGCACTATAAATTTCCAAAGTTGTACTCTAAAATTCCAAAAATTCCTCAAAGATGTCTTTGATATGTTCTAGGCATGTGCATCTGGATAAATCACTTCGAGAAATGCTAAAGAAGTATATTATCAAGATACCTCAAAATATTCGCAGTGACCACCAATTTCCATAATGACTCGTCCTGCTTTAATGGGAGTGACATAGTGGTCAATAGAACCTTTACCTCCACCCATACGTTGTCCTTGTCCCTAGATCACAAAGTGTAACAACTAATCAATGTAATAATTATTATATTGAGAAAGTAAAGGTTCTTCTAGTGTCCATATTATGCGTTCTATTATCTAACAAACCTTCTTTGTAACTGGTTGCCATGGTGGATCCACACGCCAAATTGCAAACATCCTTTCTTGATCGAGTTTTCTACCAATTGTCAGACGTATCATCTCGAAGTGACCATGTTTTAATCTACCTCCTCCTGTAGCCTACAATTCAAGATAACGATTTATACATATGACAGTTATCTTTGTTACTAAACATAGCACACAGCAGACTTATATGCAGACTTACAATGATACCGTATTGCCTGTACATGAGAAAATTGTGCGTCGGCTCTGGACCCCGCATGTATCTCAGTCGCTTTTGCATTTTGGGAGGACGCATTCCTGGGGGAAACTGTGGGACTTTCTCCATTATTTTGAGTCTTGCTCGCTCCGGGTATTCAATATCTGATGGTATTCAATGTATAATCATATAATTTTTAATTTATATCTTTAATATTATAATTTTTATAATTATGCACATATATATATTTACCGCCAAATTTTACTGGCACAGGAAAGATCTTTAAACCAGCCGTTGGCGTTACAGATACAGATTGCCATGCTGCAAAAAGTCAAATCCAAAGAGAAGCTTTTAATATGTAACTTGTCTTCTCAAAACATATTATATTGAAAATACTTACTGGAAAGTAAAATACGTGCCACGTTCCTGGACGCTTGTATCATTTTTAAGTTAAGATGGATTTTTTAAGTTAACAGTTATACCTGGTTATACGAATTGGTGTGATTCCAAGTAAAAAAAATAGATTGTATTTTAATTATAAAATACACACATGACAAAATTTGCGAAATTTATTGTATAGGTTATGATTGGATATTGGATCAAGAATGAATTTTCCAAGTCCATCTTTTGGTGAGCTGCATAAGTTATATTAGTAAAAAATTTATATTGACAATCGGTAATGCCGATAAAGTCTGCACTTTTCAATTATCTTCCGATCTCATTGACGGTCATAAAAATTTACCAAGAGAAGATAATCCCTTTATTAATTTAACAAATTAACTAATAAACTAAATACATCTCACTTTTATAAACAAACGTATGATCTTAATACGTTCTATATTACGCTGCTAGTCAACGAGAAAATAATAGCGACAAGTGCCGTCGGGTCGGGCACCGTTTAGCGGAAAGATTACTAGCTCTCAAAAGTAACGAACGACAAGAATCTCGAGAAATACGAACGTTTATTTTAACATTGTTATGTGTCCGTTAATGCAAATTATGCTCTCTCAAACGAGATTTGACTATAAAGAGTTTTAAAATGCTATTGCCTACGTTTTACATTTCAGTATGCGAAACTTTCTGCCGGATTTTGCGTTTGCATAAATTATTCAAAAGAACATAATTAGTAACTATATATTAATAATTAGATTAATAGAATACTGTAATCTAAAATAATAATAAAAAAATAGCAAGAATTTAATTATGCATCAGTAGAGACGTTAGAAGACAATAAAAGTTACTAGAAGAATTAATTCGGATAATAAAGTAGGCGAAACTCAGGTTTCGCAGCGCGAAATCTTGGAAATTTACTCCTGATATATCAGGAAAGCATGTGTGCGAGGAGGTTGTCCGAATTGCAGTAGGTATTCCGAGCGCGGGTGTTTTGCCATCTTACATTGATGGCTATAATGCCGCCTCGTAATCACGCTGCTATTGGTCAGAGCGCGGGAGCCTACTGCCCCTCCTATGCACACCTACCAGCGCTCTGATTGGCCGTAGGCTTGGGTATCCTCGTCGCACGCTCGGTGCGCCGTTCCAATATGGCGATGGGTAATAGTGGGGGTAGACGTGCCGCTGCTCGAATACCTCTACTAAAACCTCCTTGCTCAACATGCTTCCCGCGTAACAGGAGCGATTTCTGAGGAATTACAGACGACTCCAAACTCGAGATTCTCGCTTTCTTCATAACCTAAAATTCTTTTCATAATTTTTATGATCTTTCAAGCGCCAAACGAATGCACGATATATTTCTCGTTATTACTTAATAATAATTGAATATTAATATCTATTGTTTGTTAAATTAATAACGTTTTTATTAATTATTTTTTTATATATGTATGTACTATATGTATGAATAACTAAACTATTATACGAATTAATGCAGTGCTCGTGCTCGGCCGGCTCGGCGGAAAATGCGCTGAACGACACTGGATCATATCTCGAGAAATATATTTATTTTAACATTATTATGTATGCTTTAACGCGAGACTTGCTCTCTTAGATGTAATTAGACGCTAAAGAGTTTCAAAATGTTGCTGCATAATGTTAGATAACAGGAAAAAAGGTAGCCGCGAATCCCGACGGGCGGCGTTGGATGACAAAGTCAGAGCTTCTAAATGCCACACGACACACCAAATAAATCTCGAAAAATACGTTTATTCTAACATTGTTATGTGTCCTTTAATGCGAATTAGGCTCTCTTGAATGTGATTAGACGATAAATAATTATAAAATGCTGTTGCATAATGCTAGCCAAAGAGAAAAAGGTAGCCGCGAATGCCGACGGGCGTTGGACGACAAAGTCGGAGCTCCGAAATGCCACACGCGACACCGAATAAATCTCGAGAAATACGTTTATTCTAACATTGTTATGTGTCCCTTAATGCGAATTAGGCTCTCTCGAATAAGATCAAACGATAAAGAGTTATAGAAAGCTGTTGCATAATGCTATAGCTAACGAGAAAAAGGTATAATAGCCGCGAAAGGTATAATAAGTCTCGCGTTAAAGCATACATAATAATGTTAAAATAAATATATTTCTCGAGATATGATCCAGTGTCGTTCAGCGCATTTTCCGCCGAGCCGGCCGAGCACGAGTACTGCATTAATTCGTATAATAGTTTAGTTATTTATACATATAGTACATACATATATAAAAAAGTAATTAATAAAAACGTTATTAATTTAACAAACAATAGATATTAATATTCAATTATTATTAAGTAATAACGAGAAATATATCGTGCATTCGTTTGGCGCTTGAAAGATTATAAAAATTATGAAAAGAATTTTTTGTTATGAAGAAAGCGAGAATCTCGAGTTTGGAGTCGTCTGTAATTCCTCAGAAATCGCTCCTGTTACGCGGGAAGCATGTTGAGCAAGGAGGTTTTAGTAGAGGTATTCGAGCAGCGGCACGTCTACCCCCACTAATACCCATCGCCATTGAAACGGCGCACCGAGCGTGCGACAAGGATACCCAAGCCTACGACCAATCAAAGCGCTGGCAGGTGTGCATAGGAGGGGCAGTAGGCTCCCGCGCTCTGACCAATAGCAGCGTGATTACGAGGAGGCATTAGCCAATGTGGGGTGGCAAAACACCCGCGCTCGGGATACCTACTGCAATTTGGACAACCTCCTTGCACAACATGCTTTCCTGATATATCAGGAGTAAATTTCCGAGATTTCGCGGTGCGAAACCTGAGTTTCGCCTACTTTATTATCCAAATTAATTCTTCTAGTAATTTTTATTGTCTTCTAACGTCTTTACTGATGCATAATTAAATTCTTGCTATTTTTTTATTATTATTTTAGATTACAGTATTCTATTAATATAGTTACTAATTATGTTCTTTTGAATAATTTATGCAAACGCAAAATGCGGCAGAAAGTTTCGCATACTGAAATGTAAAACGTACAGCATTTTAAAACTCTTTATTGTCAAATCTCATTTGAGAGAACATGATTTGCATTAACGGATACATTACATAACAATGTTAAAATGAATTTATTTCTCGAGATATGATCCGGTGTCGTTCAGCGCATTTCGCATTTCAAAACACCCGCGGAATACCTCTGCAACCTCCTCGCTCAACATGCTTTCCTGATATATCAGAAGTAAATTTCCGAGATTTCGCGGTGCAAAACCTGAGTTTCGCCTACTTTATTATCCGAATTAATTCTTCTATTAACTTTTATTGTCTTCTAACGTCTCCACTGATGCATAATTAAATTCTTGCTTTTTTAAAATTATTACTTTAGATTACAGTATTCTATTAATCTAATTATTAATATAGTTATTAATTATGTTCTTTTGAATAATTTATGCAAACGCAAAATGCGGCAGAAAGTTTCGCATACTGTACTGTCTCTCGTTACGCGATGTGTTTTTGACCATAGATTAAAACCAAAGTATTTCTCTGTTATGTCAATTGATATTTTATTTGTTAATTATTAATTAATTATCACAGATGGAATTGCACGTACAATCTTCTTTATCAGACTTCGGCGATTCGCTTTCTCGATTTTCAGCGAAACGCATGTCGTCTCCGATCATTTCGACAGGTTAAATCGATAACCCAATTATAGACATAATATCGCTAATAGAACGACGCGGGGAGGGCCACGAGTGTGTGCTCCAGGAAATCTTTTTCTAAAACTTGAACGTTCGAATTATTACGTAAAATAATGGTAGCTAAAATGCAGCGCAACGTTCCGTAGGATGGTCAGTCTAATATTCATGGAGAGGTCTAAGCGGCTGGATGAATGGCTGTTCCATATTACGATGTACCGTCCATAAATTTCTCGGCGGATCGAACGTGTTTTGAGAAAATCAAAATATAGGCTGTGTATATATAATTCGAATCTGAATATGTACTTATAACTAATTTTTTAGTACTTTTTCTATTTTAGATCCGTCAAAATAAAATATATATATACTATTTTATTTCGTGCAAGAAATTGCGTTTCGCATTAATCAAATCAGAAATAGAAATTATAATCTTGGATATGGGTTATTAATAAAAGCAATAATTTTTTCTACGGAATATAAACTTAGAAAACGCTTCTTTCTGAGATTGCCTGAACTAAAGAACGATATATAATGTACACACATCGAGTGATAATTTATTTTTTATATATATATACGTACTATATCGCTTTATATCAGAATTACAAAATAATTAATTACAAAAGTTAAACGAAAGTTTTAAGTATATATGTTGCGTACTTGTAATTACATACCTTAAATTTATTTAATAATTTAGTTTTCACGTCGACTTTTCTTCTTTCTTTATAAACTCCAGTACGGAAAGAACCAAATTTCGAGTAGATCGCCGACTAAACATCAATTTCGTTATAACCGAACGAGAGTATCCAGGCCAGTTTTAAGGAGAAAGGGCTTAGTGATATGAGAAGCTCGATATGTTACAATTACAATATTTTTATATATCTTTGATGACGGTTTGATGGTAACAACAGGTAAATACTACATATTGTACATTGAGTAGGCGATAGTCGTATCTTATTGTTTTATTAATTATAGCATATCGGCGGCGCCGACATTGATGTCGATAGGGACGACGGCTACGGCCACGATGACGATAACGGCAACGACAATCGACAACGTCAATGACACCTCATGTCTCCGGTACACGCGCGATCGACGCGGCGATGGCAACAGCAGTAGCAACAGCAGCAACAATCTTAATAACAATAACAGCAACAGCAACGATGGCAATAATATATAATGATAGTAGTACATACAAGTAACAATAGTAGTATATAGTATAATAGACATGATGATAATAATATTTTTACTAATGAGAGTAGAGGGTCATTCCAGAGTTCCGTACGCAATAATGCTTTAGAGATATCATTTTTTTTTCTCTCCATATTTTATTTGAATAAACTTGCGGTGAATGACAACCTCGGGAAAAAAATCGATCTTATAAACTATAATATTCCGCTTTTATATAAGTAAAGAAAAAGAAGATAAATCAGTTTTAATATTCTATTTATTTCTGTTTCTTAAAAAAGAAAATAAAAAACATTATTTTAGAAGAACCGATTAAATCTATCAGAATATCTGATAAAACACATTTTCACAAAAAAGATTTATTATATCTCACAGGTTTATTCTAATAAAGTGCCGAAATGTCATCTGGCATCATGGAATGACTCCAATATCTTGTGCTGATACTATATGCTTGCGACAGTATAAACGAGCAAGATGTCCCCGAACTTTCAGACCCAGGAAGATTGACGATTTTTTTGTAAGAAATGTTGACAGAAAGCTAGTGCGAAATTCTCGATTATTATTAAAATGCAGAATTATAGTCTTTTCAACGTGCAATTAAAAAATTGCTTCTTTTAAAATTTTCTCAAATCCAGTTTTTATTTTTGTAAAACAAGAACTAATTCATAATTGTAAGTATTACAGAGAGTATTATAAAAAAGATTTTTTTTATCGTGAAGTGATATAGATTTAAAATGGATTAGAGATAGTTTTTCATGAAAAACTTCCTGCATGTTGTCGCATATAAATAAAATTTTCAGAATTTACTCTTCGTCTCATCGGGGGACAGCTGAAATCATCAACAAACTTCTGCACTATTATATAATCGTTTTCTTTCAAAATCGTTCAGTTCGGAGGACACTCGCGTCGAATATTGTCGTCATCGTAGATGCAGTCACCACCGCCATCGTCAACGTCCTCGAGCGTCGTCGTCGCGAGCGCAGTTATAGTAATTACTAATTATCGCTTTCTTTGCTTTTTTCTTACTTTTCTTCTCAGTTCCGCATTTATCACACTTAAAATTAATGGGGTGTTTGAGGAATGTGCGCGGATGCAGAGTCAGCGATGCATCTATATGTCATACCTCTCCAAATCAGCAGGAGTTCAGGAAAGAGGGAAGATTGGAAGGACCATATGCGACAAGCGCGTTTACTGTCGCTTTTATTACATTGGTCGTAGATAGGAATTGTCGTAGAATTTGCTGAATCGTGGAATAAATGCGGGGATAAAAAAATCTTCAAAGAGATTGTCAGTGATTCCCAAGCGATCGAATACTTAAAAAAAAAATAATAATAAAATCGAATGGTCAAGAAATACTAATATAGACATGTGTTAATTGATCTATTAACTTTCTTTGTCAGGAGGATAAAAAAGGTAAAAAAGAAAGAAAAAAAGTAAAAAGTAAAGAAAATTAAAAAAAAAAAACGAAAAAGTACACAAAGCTTTGGTAGGAACTAGGATAAATATAATGAGAAAACTGGATATGACGAGAAGTTGTTACAACACACAACTATGAAATCCCTCCTGCGACATAACAAAAATCTTACAGGGAATCACTGGATTCCATTAAAAGGGATGTCTAAAGGGATGTCCCGATGCCTAGTTTTGCGAGAAGTATGTTGATATTACGAAGCGCAAGTCTTTTGTCGAAATGACGTGGAACTGGAAGTGCATATGTGCACAAGTATTTTGTCTAATATATATGCATGTGTGTATGTATGTGTATGCGCGCCTTGCGACGATGTATACTAACATACAAGCCACTGACTCCGATCACTCTCAGTAACACTAACAATAAGTAAACGCTATGGCATCATGATAATCACCAAAAGTGTCCTTATATCAAAATCGTTAGATAATAGTCATATATACGAACGATTAGCGCGCGCCTGTTTCGCTTGATACTGGATATGATCGACTCGTACATGTTTTCACCGTGTTCACCGTTGAATTTCGCTTTTTCGTCCACATAAAAAGAAAGAGCAACGAAAAAGAACAAAACAATTAACTAACAATTAAAAAACAATTAACTAGAATTGAAGCTGAAATACCCGTATCTCGCATTCAGCTAGATTTGACTTATTTATCTCATATGTGAAGATCGTACAATTGCATAGAGTTAATCCGAATAACTGTTAATTATTAAGAAGTACTGTTAATTTTATCGCTGGAAAATGTTACGGTATCAGATTTAGTATCGTATTCCTTAACTATAATATATATATATATGTTATTTCCAAAGGCAATATTAAGTGTCAAATGTGAGATACGAATATAAACTTCAGTATACTTTTGAGCTATTTAGATTTCTTAAGCAAAACTCTTGAGTGAGTCGCTATTGAAAGTCACTTCCAATTTTTCGCTTATAGAAGAGTATATATATTATCAAGAGCCGTTCTTAATGAAAACCGATTGCAGAAAACAATATCTATAGATTTCATATTATAAAGTAGATAAATGAGATTTTCGTAATTTTGTAAGGTAGCTGCTTTTTGATCCGATTTAGATTACTTCTGGATACATCTGGATTAAGTTTCAGGAAAAATTCATAAAGAATCGATAGTTTTATCGGATAGAAGAATATGTTTTTGCAATCGGTTCAAAAACTATTCAACCTTAACTGATATGGTGGAATTCTGTATAATGTGATATGAGACTATATATTTATTTCTTTGTTTTATGCGAGTTTAAGCCACTGGTGTGCCGAGTGCCCACATCATATCAACCAGCACGAATTTTATCGTCATTATTAACAAAAACATCTTTTCACTTATTTTGTTTTTTCTATGCGTTTAATTTTCGAATATATGTTAGTATATCTTTTTTGTTCGGTTTTAGGAACATCCAAATGGGTAAATCGTTTTTGCCATATCCGTTAAAGGTCGATTATATGTACATTAAGCTTGACGCATCGACGGTGACCGCGGGGCATTCGTAAGATACGTATTATCATCGGGCGAAAGGCAACGTACATCGCATTGATTAATATTTTATATATTTATCTCTATATATATATATATATGTATTATATATAATAATTATGCTATAAGACTAGATTCTCGGCGGAACGCTCTCACATTATTCCGACTCTTTCTCAATGTTTACGCAGCTATGTAAACATATTCATTTCGCTGTGTTTTACGACAACGAGGCGCCGTCGATCGTTTGTTCGTCGAACGCCGTTCGCCGCCGATGGATTAAATCACTATTGTCCCACGCGATGTGCTGACACACAACTTATAGCGTTACATACATACTTAGACACCATAGTCCTTACACTTTAGATACGTACATAGCTATAAGTTTCCTGGCTGATCCTTGGAGTAGGTCGTTTACACTTAAATTGTCTCAGCCTCGTTTCATTCGCTTTGCGATAACCAATTTTATTATGGAAAACAACTGTAGGTGAACTCGTAACTATTCTAATCAATTGGGAAGAACAAACGATTTTTTTCTTTCTCTTTCTTTCTCTTCGCTGTGACAAGTATACGGAGAGAAAATACATATAGACTAAGTGAACATGTCTCGACTATCCACAGATTATTCTCTTTAAAAAGTATTTTTAGGCTTTATAGTAGCATTCAATAATTACATATTTTATTGAGGTAAAGCGTTCGAATGAAATACGAATGAAATGGATATAACAGAATAAATCACACTACAAAAAATAAAATTTATATTATAAAATATGCTATTGCTTCATGTTTCTATATTTACATATTTTTTATCAGAACATTCACTTCATTATTCATATACCTAAACCAAAGTAATTAATTATTAAGTGTGCAAGAGAATAATCGGTCAATTTTTAATCAATTTGACCATTTCGAAAAATTGTCTCAAAAATAGTTTCTCCATTATCTTTCACTTGCTCAACGTAAACAATAAATTTATGTTTGTTTTTTTACAAGCCAGTTATAAACAATAATATTCACTTAGTTTATACACACTTTCAACAAACGTATCGGCTGTATATTTTCTTTTTGTATCTAGGTAGAAATGCGGATACACGCTAAAGATGTGTTCGCGTAATAATACATATCTTTTTTGAAATAGCACCTAAGTATACATATATAATATGAGACAGTCATTAAAAATTTCGAAACACATTCTTCATATTCCGAATATTGCTAAAACATTGCGACAAGTTAATGATCATAAATAAAATCTAAATTGAATAAATATGTTACAAAACAAAGGAATATTTTCTTCATGCCGTACGATCGACTTCAATATTTCGGATAATATTGTTACGGTAAATATACAATTATACACTTGATATGGCAAGTATATATATATATACACACGTTACAGTATCCTGTAACAGATATAATACCTAGATACAAACGTTTAAAGCAAGAACGCACTTAATTAAGATATCTCGATGCTGTACCCAAATATGTATCGATACGTTATAATTAGGTATCAATGTCAAGATGCTTCATATACTCAGATACCAATCTCGCTTTAACGATGTCGTACACGCGTGTAGACTCATTCACGTGATGAAAATATTTTCGGCAGAATAAAAAGTGCCGAGAGCGCGACGTATTTAAAACGATTGTGGAGTCTCGAGGGACGAAGGGTAATTCAAAAGCGATATCAGAGAGAGTAGCGTTCGAGCATCGTAGAGTGTATAACGTATACGCGTATTTCGTCGTCGACGTTTTCTCTCGTTCGATATGAAGTCGAAGGAATTTCTCGTCGAACGACGCGTGGAACGATTCGCGATTCTCTATTAGCCATACAAATGTAACTTTAAATCTGTAAGTCGATAATTAACACGCGCTCTATCGCATCTATATATATATATATATATTTATATATATGTACACAGTCTTACAAAGCAAAATTTACAAACATTACGACGTACGGTCGACCGAATAAATATGTGTCCTCCAATGCAACTGGATCGGGTCGCAAGTGAACGCTTCGTCGTACTTCGATCGCGCCTTGCATATGGATCGATCCCGACTAACTGATTGACAGTCCGTCGTTTGGCGAACTAAAAGAGCTCACCGTTGACGGCATCGCACGTGAAGCGAGTATTGAATAAAAATTAAACATTGACAGAAATAACGAAGAAGAGACACGCAGTGGTGTAAAAATCAATTTTTTATATCCATGGTAGATTCAAGGGTAAGTACATATATATCTCTTTGCGCTTTCCATTGTTAAATGTAAAAATTGCACGCTTAAGATAAACGTAAGATTTTCGTAAAAATCCTGTGGATTACTCTCCGTGAATTTTGAATTAAAAAATCGGGAAATTTAGAATTGTTCGAAGGAACTTGCTATTAGATATACAGCTAGTTTATGGCACAAACTCGACGCAAAGAATGCAAAAATATGTGTGAAAATTACCAGATGCACGCGCGATCGAAATACAAAGCACCTCGAATTGTCTGACGCTAGTTTTCTTGCGGCCTGACGAGGGGAGGAACCGTGGTAGCGCAGAAAGGGCTCGAGCGAGAGATCAAGATGGCATGGGGGCAAGAGCGAGGATCCTCGACGATCCTGCACGAAATGAAGGAAAGCTCGCAGCGAGAAACGAAACGTCGAAATGCCGCGTGACGCTTTCGTCATCGAGCGAGCGATCTATCTACCCCACCGGCCACCGACAGTCAATTTTTGTAAAGCCTCTTGCGTGTACAAACAGTACTCCGACTATTTATTACGCCAGCAAGTTTTCGCAGTCGCGATACTCGAATACTACACTTCGCATGTGTACTAAAATATAAACACGATAGAGATTAAATCTATTAAACATAATATTATCAGTCCAAGATTTAAAGTCATCAAAGAAAATATTTCGTAAATAAAAATAGCAAAAGTATTAGCATAAGAAAGAAGAAGAGAAAGATACTCAAAGTTGAATCGTTTTGATAACAATAATTTGTAAAAATGGTAAAAAAATATAGTAAAAATATGCATCTTTGCCGCGCCTATAATATAAACTATTGATGTAATACACAATCGCTTCATCTTATTATCGCGCATTACATTTTACGTATCGTTATTTACGTATCGATGCGATAAAATACGAATATATATCAGCAAATTATATCGTACTTGAGGAACTTTTACCCGTTGCGCCCAAAAATTGCTAGCGGTCGTAACAAATTGTCGAGAGACTGTATGAATCGTGTGCGAAGGAATTATCCCTTTCTTAAGTTTTCGTCAATATGAGCGTATGTGTATGTGTTTGCGCGTTACTCATGATGTGCTGCTAGGAAGCTGACTAGATTATAGTCTAAAATACGAAATATCCAGGATCATCGTTCTCGATAATAGCAAAATCTCGTTCCCGCGAGAGCGAATTCTCAAACGGGAGAAGAGACAACTCGACGTACTCGTTATATCTACTAACGAGGATCCCGGTGTTCCGTATCGACGTTGACTACTGCTCGACCTTCGAAAAGGTCGAACGGCCTCACCTAGGCATTCGACTCTTTCAGGTTGTCGAAGTACTGCATGATCTGATTGTAGTCCATACCCAGATTAAGGTCATCGAGCGCTACCGATTCCTCTTGCTCCTGGGAGGAGGATGAGGCGCAGGAGCTAGAGGAGGATGAGGAGGAAGAGGCGGACGGTGATGAAGACGGCGGAGATGTTGTGGTGGATGAGGCCGCGCCGCCAGTAGGAGTAGATGAGTTTACGGTAGAGACGACGGTGGATACTACGGCGGAGGTGGAGAACGACGAGTACATAGGATTACCGACTATGGTCGCCCTCTTGATCTCCCGGGATCTCCCGGCATCCTTCGCGTGCCTATTGCTTTCGTCGTGATTCACCAATTCTATGAATTCCTCGTCCTCACCGTTCTGTTTGTTTGCGTTGTCTACTCTAGTTTTCCCGTGCGACTTGACTATATGATGATTTGACTGCTGCGGTGCTTTGCTACTGTGCCGATGATTATTTCCATGATGGCCACCGCTGCCACCACTGGACGCCCTATGGCGATGCTTCCGCGGCGGTTCCGGCAGCCGCACGCCCACTCCCGTGTTCCTATGTGGCGGTACCGGCGGTTTATAATCTTCGTTATTGCCGTTGCTCACGTTGTTCGTGCCGACCGTCGTCGTGGTCGCCGTAGTTGCCGTTGTCGAGTTTGCGACCGGCACCCCGTGTGGCGGCAAAGGCGGAGGAATATCATCGTTGCTGTAAAAAAAATTCGCGATAAGGTTTACGCACTCGCGAAGCTGCCACTATAGGTAATGTTAATTTGTTGGAAGCTAAAAAGTATTACGCAAAGTTTACATCAAATATCATGCGATTCGTTATTATAAGGAATTTCTTTTTCGATATCACTTTTTTCCTTGCTAGAAGACATATTTATATAACTTGTCTCTGAAGAATAAATCTTCCGCATTAGGAAGGGCAATAACGTTCAATCATAATTACTCGTTCCGCGCGGTCATTATCGGAGCTACCATCGATGCCGCTGTTGACGCCGTCGTAGCCGTAGTAGGCGGTATCACTGCGGATGGCTTGACCGCGGATTTTGCCGCGAAACTATTTCGCGCTACTCTATCCTTTTTAGAATAAGTGGTAGTGTCGATGGCACTGGTACCGCTACTGGACCACTGATTGGCAGACGGTAGCTCGATGTGATTCGGATTGTCGAAGCATGTGCCCAATTCGGCCTCGGGTTCGCCTTCACCGGCCAGCGGATTACTCGTTACGCGCACCTGTAACACAAACCGAGTTTTTTTTTTCAATCAAATTGATCCAACAAAATCCCGCTTGTTTTGTTTTTAAAACAAGTTGCCACTGGGTTATCGAAATGCGTAAAGATATTTACAGCATCAAATCTCGTTGAGAGAAAACTCGAATTGATTTCAATTATCGGATTAATCCTGGATGTACTCGTTGAACCGTTATATCGTTATCGATGTTACGTTTGTTCAAAATTTGATTTGTTATTCTTTAATTCTTTAGTAATCCTCCTTTAGTAATAATTTTATGGCTATTATTATTGAATATTTGACACTCATGCTGGAGTTTGGAAATTTCAAAATTTCACCATAATCAGAAGAAATATTATTCTATATATTTGTTAACAAATTAATGTGTATCACTAATCGCCTGCGCAATAAAAAACGTTTTCTTCTTCCAAAAATCTGATTTTCTGGTCTCATTGATTCACAAAATAGACTAACGTAATTACATCTAATGGTGCAATTAACTATCTAGCCAGTATTTGAGGATATTGAAATTAGTAATGATTATCGATGGCTTCATTCACGGTTTCACTCACGAATCATCGAATTCAAACCGACGTATGTACCTGTTGCGGACCGCAGGCAGCTCGTTCGAGAGTCGCTCTGCCCAGCCATACCCAGTCGTGTGCGTTGGTGGTCGATTCACGTGGCGGTCGTCTGCCAGACGCCAGCTGATTCGCGGCGGCGCGAGCCCTCGCACCCGCGCCAGAAAGCACTGGAACGGCCGCACCGGTCAACGGGGAGTCCGGTGGCTGGGGCTTGAATTTGCTGGCGTACACCACGCAGGAGACGACAAAGACAACGATCGCGAAGCAGAACGCCGCGAGCAGCACGTACATCCCGATCTCGAGCGGGCTCATCCGCGCCCCGACGCCGTGGTGACGCACGCCGACGCCGCCCATACCCCCTGAAGACATGCCATTAGCTATAGCCGTGCGATGCTGCCGTGCCTGCACCAAAGGCTCGTGCTCGTGCTCGTGCCCGTCTTTCTCGTCTTTCAGCGGTAACCCTTTGCACAGAAAAAACAAAGAGAGAGAAAGAGAGAGAGGACAGAGTGAGACGGGGCGTTTGTGCTGAGTTTCAGAGCCGCTGACAATCTTTTTCCCTTAATTGATGCCTTCAGCTAGACAGCGGCTAGACATGCTGTCGGATGTGCAAGGTTCGCGAGGATACTGAATGTGCGTCTATACTTTCAGCGCGGCAATTCGACTATGATGAACGACTTGACATTATACTATGATGTACAATACTGTCCAGATAATTCCAACTGTTGGAATTACTTGGAGATAGGAGGAAGAAAAAGAATCGCGTGAACGCTTCAAGGTTTTCATCTTCTAATTCTCACGCGGATTCTGAATCAAGAAATTTGGAGCCAACTTTTCCTTGATCAAATTTATCATTGTTCGTAAATCGTAAGAGTATTCAGATTACAATAGATATTTCATTGAATAATAAAAGTAACAAAATTTTCCAATGACTCGTAATAAGATCGCGTTACGTCACAAATTATTCTTAGAGCTAGACGCATTTGACATTCAGCGCAAAGGAGGAAGGCTATCAGTTACGGAAGGCTGGACGGAAACCGTGGGGATCACGCATAAATAGGCAGGTGGAACTTTTTACAAGCCAAACGGTGCCGTGAAGAAAGTTTTCCGCTAAGAAATGCGGAACAAAATGCATACTGTGCGCTACGTGACGGTTATAAAGCGTAGAAGAGAACAGAAAAAGTGAAGAGAATGCGAAAGAAGCGAGGCAGAAAGACAGAAAGACAGAAAGCGGCAAAGAGGAACAGGATCTATTTACCGATGAGGATGTCGTGTAGATCGGACGCCATTTCGCCCCGGCCGGTTTTACGTTCTCTGTGATGGTGAGAACCGACGGTGCCCCCGCCGTCGTTCTGAACGAATTCCGGCCGATTGGGCACCTCGCTCGAGGCGAAATCTACCTCGACGTTGGCCGATGCGCTTGCCAACGCGGCGGCCGTCGTCCTCTGAGAGCCCTTGCTTGAACGTCTGCCGGATAATCGGCAAGAGTCGGCCAGCTGTAAACTGACGCGCAGCAAGTCGCCGCGGCCCTCCCCGACCGCGATTACCCGTGGATGATGGGAAGCAACCATCGGTGCGAACGCCACAACTTCCGGGTCCAGACTCTCCACCAGTAAATGATAATCACTCACAGCGATTTCCCTGAGGGGTGTACGGGTACTGTCCGAGAACTCTACGTCAATGTCCAGCAGTCCCTCCTATTGGTACAATAACAGCGTCAAATATACTTGTTTATGCATCATAGTTTTGTTTTAATTACGAAATATACATTATATATCCTCGAGGTAAATATAATATTAATTTCTCCAAAATTTAGTGGGTCAACACAATTTAATATCTTACAATTGTAGTCCTTTAAAGCTCTTTTTTATACTTAAAAAAAGGTCAATATTAATATCATATCTAAAAATAATTAATTTATTATCTTATATCGGTTTTTTTAAATTCAAAATTTCGTAACATTTAAATACCAAATTTTTAAACTCTGCGATTGCTTTTTAACTAACTTCTCTAAATTGGCAAATTGCTCTCTTTCTCAAGATACATTTGAAGGTCCTACACAAGCAACAAAAATATTGCAGTTATCTATATTTACCTGATATTGGGCGGTCAATCTTCTCGTAACCGAGGTTTCGGCGACGTATCCGTTCTCGATCGCGGTATCGGGACTGATACTGAGTTGAAGTCCGGACACCACTCGGACGGACAGACGCGTCACAGACACGCGGTCGTTGGCGACTCTGATCTCTTTCGCGCCGATGACCCTACCGGTGATTGGTGACAGCACCTGCACCTCCGTGCGACCTATCCCGCGTCCCTGGACCAGTCTACCTTGAAGAAGCGTCGCTATTCTAAGATCGGAGACACGCAGCATGCCGGCTACGAGGTCGGTAACTCGCAGCCAGGTGCGCCGGCTGACGAAGTACGAGACCCTGCCCGAGTCGTGATCGGTCGCCAGAAATCGGGCATGCACCTCAACCGGACTCTGCTGGAAGCGCAATCTGCAATTAGCCGGGGACAGATTTCGATCGATAGAGTTGATCGTGTCCCATCCGTGATCGTTCCCATTAGATCGGAACCGCTCCTCGTGTTCGTCCTCCTCGAGAAGTCCGTCTGGATCGTCCACGTCCATAGACGAGTCCTCTATCGACTCCTCCGGATCGACGGCGCTTCTCTTCTTCGCTCGCGCGGTCACCGGCGCTGTTTCCGGTGGCATTATCGACGTCGAGGTAAATTCCGTCTTCTCTTCGACCTGCGTTGCGTTCAGCAAGCTCCGCTTGCTTTTCGTACTTGCCACGTGCTCCTCCGGTATCTTCCAACCCTTTATCTGGTTCAACCGCGTGTCAGCGACATTCACCTCCAGTGGAAACTCGGGCATCCACACGGTGAATCTCGCCAAGCCGGTATACGTGCCATATTTGACGAGTACCGATGCGTTGCTGGAGCCCCGGATCTCCGAACCATCTACGTACACGCTACTGCACGAGGACGATACCTGCGAGTTTAGGTTTAGGTATTCGTGACAACGATCGGGTATTAAATGTAGTTTGATCCTAAACTACAGTAGTTCGTAATGCACGGTTTAAGTGCATGGTATTGGGGCATCGAAGGCGTCATTTAATCCGCCGATTATACGAGGTGTTAGGAGTTTGAAACTCCTGGATATTATTCTCGTGCATTTAGGATTTAAATGACGCATTATAAAATTTAAATATTGCTGTATAGATCGTAACGTATTATAATATATAGGTATGACTGACTCCATTTCCATTTGTAAAGAATGGACTCAGGTCAGCACTAAAAGAAAAATGAATTTATATATGAATATATCCAATTTCACAAATTCGAACAACGATATGTAGAATAATTGTGACAAAATATTCTTGTTCTACATACCTATATACGAATAAAGCATACATAAAATCTCATAAGTTATCGGACACGAGTCCTTAGCAATAGAAATGAAAAAACAGCTATTTCTACACACGGTAGCGGTATATAAGAGATTTCGAGATTTCTTCAATTAAACTCCTAGGAATCTCGGTGAGTGCTGAAGATAAATTAAAAAGCAATTACCTTGAGGACACTCTCGTCCTCAGAATGACAGGACGACTGCAGCGTGACATCGGCGACCGTGCCGGCTTGACTCACGATGAAAACCTTCATCCCCTGCGACACCTGACGCCCCGTCAACACTGCCGTATTCATCACCTCCCAGTTCTGAAGCAAAACATAAAACGTTCCCTCTTGCTTGCCGAAGAGAAACTCATAGCTTAAACTCCTATTCCTATTTTTAATAGTATGTGATGAAAGTTTGCATATATTTTAATATATGCATCTCTGTAACCTTCATTGATAGAGCCATTATCCATTATTCATAACTGTTATCTATTCTGCCTCGAACTTTATTCCCCTAACCGTCGTGACAAGACAAAAGGTGCGGTAAGCGATATTAAAAAATATGAACCGCCGGAAACATAAAATTCATAAAATATAAATTAAACAGAAATATGCAAAACAGAATAGAAAAATATTAAATTTATCTTTCTCCCAAAAACATATATGTACAATACATAAACATCTTAAATAAATAATAAATAAATGCAAAAAAAATACCAACTCTAGGACAGAACTCAATTTTTACAGTAAACACTCAATATATTTTATACACTTCGAAACTGATCATTATAATCATTTTTTAATTATTCTATAAAATTAGGAAAAAATAGAACAATATTATATCTCATTTTAATTTTGTTTGATTTTACTTCTCGCAGAAAAAGCATGCAGAAGTTGTTGACCTTTCACAAAAGGCAGAACATCAAAGCTTGTCTCAACCATAACGAAGAGTCTTCTCGCTGTTTGCCGATGAAACTATCTTTTCTAATAGCACATACTATATATTTTTTCTAAAATAAAAAAAGTTATTATCGTAATAAATTACTTCTCGCGTTTGCGAAATAACCGATTAATTTTAATCTAACGACTTAACATCGTAAAATCGCAAAAAGTTTAAAAGCAACTCATAACGGATTTTCGTGGACTGTAGTTATTTTACAACTGGCGAGAGGACTTGTTCTTGCAGCTTGCCACGATGTTGCTCGTACACGTGGGAGATTAATTCCCACGTTTACACGTTCACGTGGACGCGTCGTCCGCGTCGGTGTACTTTACACTAGTTGAGCGTCGTCAATGGGGGAGCTCCGCAAAGGGGTTGGTTGGGCAGGGTCGGTCGGTCGGTCGGTCGGCCAGACTAGTAAGCTATTTCCAAGTTCGCTTCCGTCCATACAGACTGGCGAGCTTTGGAAGGAACATCAAACGGCTCGGATATTGCAGCGAGGGAATTTAAATCCCTGACGCCACGTTGGGGTGTATGTGCCCCAGCCAACTACTATATCGCTCGCGTGGACGAGCGTCATGCTCTCTTGCAATGATAAAAGCAGCGGGTGGGGTTTACATTCGAACGCGAACTGCGGCTCCTTCCCTTTCTTTCGTTAAATATTTTCTCATCCGTATCAAGACTCGCGAAAATATTTACGAGACCACCACTACGCGGACTACGACGCGCTCGTATTTGTATTTTGTATTTCACCGTGCAGAATGCGTCGTTCGCGAAAGAGACGCGAGAAATCCTTTGAGAGGAATCACCGGTTACATACATCGATCTTTTGATTCAGTTTCCATCGCGTGATGTAAGTATATACATATAGAACGTTAATAGAGAGTACAAAAAGTCTAAGATCGTACTATTTGCGACGATTTTCAATTCTTAGATCCATAACAAAAATTTTTCTTATTATTTTTGATATCTTCGAACAACATAATTCTTCTTTTATACGTATAATTTAAAAAAATTCTAATCCTTTGCAACAACGCTTAATTAAAATTTACTCAAGACATTTTTCTATTATTTGAATTTTTCAAACTTTCATTTGGAAACATCCGAGGATTAAAGTCAATCTGCTTTTATGAAAATTTGTAATTGAATGGCACCTTCTTTCCTAACTTTCTATATTAATCATTCGCGACAATACCGGGCTAATAATAGCCTGAGACGCGATTAACGGCGCGTAATTAATTAAGAGTTTCAGAAATCAGGCTGAAAACTTTTTTATTTCTCGTACATTTCTAGTTTACTTTCTATTCTCCGCGAGAAATGTCAATTTTTCAATTGCGAGATTTTCCAATTTGGGATTCTATTGAATTATCCTTCAGCAAATCTCCCATGAGAGATTTAAAAAAAGCGACAAATATTTCGATCAAATTAAATTGATCAGATTTAGACAATTTAGAACCGTAATTTTTTATATAATTCACAAGTTCGTACCTCTATTTTGAAGAAAAGGAGACACTATAATATATTTCTAGACTTGTGTGTTGTACGTAATTAATATATTCTTTACGAGAGAATGCATGTCGTCTTTATTTTCAGCTACACATTTACTCCGTTTTGTTCTTTTTAATAGTTTAACAGATTGACTCGTTGCGAGTAAGTTTCGAAAGTGTAGTATATGCAGCAATGTACAAAGGTTGATGTATGAATTGAGCACGCAGTTCAACTTCCAGGATCGTAAAATTATATTTTCATAGATGAATAAAGCACGCAGTTACTTAGTTACTTTCCAGATATTTTCGAGATCGGTGAGATTATTTTGCGAGTTTATTAAAAGAACATGGAAAACATTTTCAACGTAGGATGATGTTTCATCGACGGCGAATGGTAGGAGGTTGACGGGGGAGATACAAGAGAGGTGCAAGGATTTTACGTTACTGGGCGTAAAATATGCACAATACACGGGTTATTACGTTGATAAATTTCATCAGAGAAAACAAGCGCGCGTGTCGGAGGTCGCTAATTGATAAATTAGATAATTAATTCGTTTACATATCCTTTTGAAGGCGCCGCGTGCCCGCTCGCTTGCTCGCTCGCTCGCGGGAAGTTGTCGGAAACTCTGTCTGCGCTTCTTGATTATCCTTACTCTAATTGCAGCTCCTTCCACGCGCGAGACTCGAGTGAAGTTTTTAATTAAAAGAGACCTCGTGCGAGACCTCTTTTCTTTGACCTTTGCCCTGCTTTATCCGCCAATATTGCGATTCTAGATTTTAAGATCGACTTCACCGACGACTTTGTCAAATTCGATATAACGCATAGATATAACAAATCCGCAGGATTAAATTAATAACTTATAATATCATCTACTAAGCAGAGAGAATTATTAAATATTAATTACCCTTCAGTTAATTTGAGGATGAGGCTTTAGCAAAAATATCAATGAAAATCAGTCGTCGCAGTTTGTAAAGTATATAAATTTTTTGCACTAAAATAGAATTCACTTGCAAAGTTATCTAAAGAATATGATTTCGCAGACATACCGCCGCTATTATAAAAAGATATATAAACTTGTCATTGACCGTTTTATACACGATTTTGATTCTTCAGCAATTATTGTCCGAAGCGGGATGAAATATTTTTCTTAGTTAATTAATCATCTAAGATTCTATCGGGTGAATGTGCCTGATCATCGACGTAATTTCATATTGACTTTCATACGCAGAGTTGTGTACTATGCACCTGCTGTGTCGTGTTACTGGAAATTGCGAGCATGTCATAGATAGTGTGGACCCGTCAGATCTAATATACATACCAAGAGGCTTGTGTCCTAATTGCGTGAACTTGTTGTGGCTTAAAAAGTGATTTATCAAAACCGCGTTTGACTATCAGACATAACTACAGGCACTTTTATCACCGATTTCAAATTTTTTAAATAAAATTCGATGAGACTTCGCTAGAAAATAAGTTACGGTCTAATTAAGAAAATAGTCGCTAGTATATTTTTCTTACAAAAAGTAAGAAAATTAATGTTTCGCTCTACGTACATTTCACTTTGTAAAGGAACGCGGAAATGCGCCGATACCGCTCGAACGTGTGGCAATCGAAAATTTCATTACGATCCGTTGTTACGGCAGATGCGTCGCTGCCGTTATCAAAATGGGTGTACGTAGCTCTGGCGATCGACTCTGCGGTATCGATGGAATTTTGCCACGGACTAGAAATATCGCCGTTATGGTGAAAGCGCGGGCGCGGAAAAGCCGAAGAGAAAAGCATCAGAGTGCTCGCCGTGGGAGCCAAAGAGGGAAAAGCATTATCCTTTGTCGGTCCTCTTCCTCCCTTTTTCTCTTTCTCTCTTCACGGAGCTTTTCCTTTTTCTCATCGCCTCTCCTTCCTTTTTCTCTCTTGTCTCGGTGCTCGCGAGGATCGTAGATTGGCCGACCGAGTGGAAACAGATTCTCGCGCGGCGGGGTGATCGATATACGTGACCGTATTGATCGTTCTCGTCGTTCGAGTTAGCTCTTTTCCGAGGGATTTTCACCGACAAAGTACGCAGTACGAGGTGCAAGAGACGAAAATCGTCGCGATGAAAATAATCATAACTGAAGAAAGAGCGTTGAAATCTAAAAAATCCTTCAACTACTTTTCCTACGACATCGTTTTAAAAAGTTCTTGATCTTATCACTGCAGTCATAGAATTATGACTTTTTGCAGTATTATAGTCTCTAGTATTATATATTTTTGTAAGTAAACTTCAAATTAGTATTCTATTTAACTGTGTAAGAATGGAATTTTGTAATCCATTTGAACTTCTGGAATTCAGTTTGCAAAAAGGCTTCCTTGTTCAGTAGCACGAAAAGGATTACTAGTCTTGATATTTCTGCTAAGAAAAAATTGACTCGAAACTGATCAAAGAATCGTTAAAAAATAATGTGTAAAAAGTGAGATATCTTGCAGATATATACGTATATACGTAAGTTACGTATCTAATAATGTTCCACGTACGAGGGCGATACTATAATTGTAAGAATTTTTAGTGCCTGGTTATTTCGTCTAAACTTTTGACCGATGTCGGAGATAAATATGGAGAACGAAGATAAAATTCTTGGTGATGCAAAATATTCACATCGGCGCTTCACATTTTATTCTAATTTTTTCGCTCGCGTGTATAAACTTGGAATTAACATTTATACCGCTAGAAGAATCGCGTATTACCTTGGAGATCGGAAGCACCGCCTGTATATCGTCCTTCTGTATCTCCAGCCGTGCCTGCAGTTTCCGTCTCTCAACATGATGATGATGATGATGCTGCAGCTGGCGTTGCTGCATTCGCTGTTGTAACTGATCAGCGCCCGTCAACTGCGAGCTGTTTTCCTCCTCGCCCTCGAGCGCATAACGCACACTCCATACGATCCTACCGCCGTCCCAGTTTCCGCTTATGCCCTCCTCGCTGGCCTCCAGCAGCATCGTCATTATTTCTTCCGCGGATCTAAGAAAAGGAAATAACAATAATCTTTGAAATGCGACATCCACGCAAAAAATTAAAAGACTACTTTCCAAAAAGTAAAACAAAGTTTCTTTGTACAAATATTTCTGATAAAAATTAGATAATTGCGTTAGAAAGAATAACAATGAAATAGGAATTCATAAGTTCACAATAAGACGCTAATGACGATTGTTTGAAAGCTCAAAGTGTCGTGAATACTTCACGGAATTTGTGTATCACACCTAATGAAGGAGATTCGAATGAATGTTCGTTCATGTTCGCTCGTGTGAGTATACCTTCGACAATTAATGTCATTCTTTTCCAAATGGGTTCGCGAGAACGAGTGCAGAAATTAAAAGGAACGAAAACTCGCCTGTTAGTCGGCTATTAAATCGCAAACACAGAAAATTGTACGTCATTACAAGAATTTAACGATCCTCTCGCGCGGGCTTTGTATTTTCCTCGATGTACGCTTTAAAAGCGTTCCTCTAAAACGTCTTTACTTGTTCTCAGCTACACGCGATTCCTCGTCTCATTCATATTTTACGACGAGCAATGGACGACGTCGGATTATTAAAATTACCGTAAAATGAGCAGTTTTCATGAGAATCATGAATTAAAGCGCAATTAAATATTCATAACCATGTAAATGTAATTAGACATACCCATTTATCGAATTTAATTAAACGTAACATTATTTAGTACCAATAATATATCTTTTTGACGTTAAATAAATACATATGTATGATCTCTTGGGCGTAAAATTATACGTATGTATGTATGAAAATTGTAAAAAAAAATATGATATATTCTATTAAAATGTGAAGGTGTGTTTTCATTCCACACAAAATTAGATGCTACACTGAGAAAAAAATCCAGGTCTAAATGATCGGATAATTCATTCAAAAATTAACAAACGGACAATCCGACACTTTCAATCGGAATAATTAAAAAACCGATCAATTATCAATGATATCCGGCCATCATTGATTGGACATTATTCTAATCTTGATCGGCTTTTCATAATTCCGATTAAAAGTATCGGATTATCCGTTTGTTAATTTTTGAACAAATTGTCCGATCATTTATTTCTCTGAGTGTAACAATAAATACAATACCAACTGATCTTGAAAATTGACTTGAATTTTTAGACTAAATAAAAAGTTCTTATTAACAGTTTTTTTTAATTCCTAAGAATATTAACACGATACATTTCATCATTAGTTTTTTTTTTAGTTCAAGTTGAAAAACAATTTTCGCTCCTTCAGCTTTTGGCTAAAATTACCTCGTAAGAAATTGTTGCGCATTGTTCACAGTAGATTTGAAATACGGTGTATGTAATTTGTGTTCTAGAATAATAGGAAGTAGTGCATTTAAATCATTATCAAAGGATATCGTGATAAGTAACATGAAATTACACGAGTCAACTTGAAAGTGTAAATTGCCATCGAGTTTCAAAGATGACGATAAGTTCGGTAAAGAGTTAATAATATCCATCGAGAGTTGAGTTTCTTCGACGCCCCCATCCATAATTTACGGTTTTTTTTTCTTCTTTTTGTTGAACACTCTCTTAGTAAGCGTCTCGTTCGCAGCGTCAGTCGCTCATTACGCCTTCTCGAGATTCTTATCTTATCGAGATGAAGGCAGCGACGTTATTTCAAAGTAATTATTCTGCAGCCTCGAGCCACTTGCCTAGCTATGAGGAGCCGGTATCACACGAGGTATCGGGTCTGATCTCGATGCGAGAACCGTCGCGTTCGCTACCAGCGCGCGCCGCGCGCCGCGTGGAATCTCGATAAGCGGAACCGCCGGCGAAGTTGAGTTCCCTTCACCCTCCACCCCTTTATCGCGGCCGTTGATCCACGTTGCGTGCGTGCCGGGTGGCGTTAACTCTTCGCTCGTGTTCGCGCGATCGATGATCCGCGGCTGAAGCGGGTGCAAATCGTCGATCTCGCGAAAGCGTGCGCGAAGCTGCCGGAGTTCGAAGTCGAATCGAAGTGGAATCAAAGCGGACCATCGACGCCGACGGGTTAACAGCGATAACGAGAATCTTGTCTTGCTTGCGGATTCCCCGCCTCCCCTTCCGCCTTTATTCCACTGTTCCTCCGCCGATTTTAGCACGCATCGCATCGCTACGTCAGCAATTGGCGCGTCTCGCCCGATGACTTTTTTCTTTATCAGTGCTTCGCAACTGCGGTATATAAGGCGATCATTCGACTGCCATCGCGAGTATAAATTGTCCTTCTGAGTTACATGATCGATTATGCGTCGCAACGCGCTAGTTTGTTTAGCGGGTTTGCTCGTGGGGCTTGCAGCTACGCACGTCGTCCAGGGATACCCTGTGCAGGAGGATGTGCAGGATCAGGACGCGTTAACCACGTTAACGACTTTAGTGACAACGACACCGATCGTCAATGTCGTCGATGTCGTCGTTGACGCAAACGAAAAGAAGCCCGACAGTTCAAGTTCATCTAGCGAGGAAAAGGATGCTGATAAACGTACGAGAAGAGACTTGTACCTCGGCGACAAATGGAGGCCCTTGGAGGACGAGGATCAGGAAGAAGAAATAAAGGAACTTGAGCGCGTGAGGCGTGCAAGCAAACGGAAGGTTGAGAAAGACGACGATGACAGCAGCAGTAGCAGCAGTAGTAGCAGTAGCAGCAGCAGCAGCAGCAGTTCTTCCAGTAGCGATGATGATGATGATGATGACAATGACGATGATGACAACGACAATTGTTGTAAGAAGAGTAAGAAACGTGTAAAAGCGAAGAAAAATGACGACGAAAATTGTGATGATGATGATGACGACGACGACGACGATGAGAAGTGTGACTGCGATGACAATGATAATGATCGTAAAAAAAGTAAAAAACGGCGCGTGAAATCAAAGAAGAATAATGAAGAAAATTGTGATGATGATGACGACGACGATGCGGAGGACAAGAGAAAACGAAAAACAAGACACGTTAAAGAAGATACTTCGCAAAGTATATCATCGTCCGAAGAAAGGAAGAATAAACAGAAAGAACGATTTATTCGAGCGGTTCAAGATACATCGGAGAGCAACTCGTTCGAAGAGAAGAACAATCCGAAAGGTCGATTTATCAGAGGGGTCAAGGTTAACACGGAAAGCGGATCGTCATCTGAAGAGAAGAACAAGCCGAAGAACTCGCGATTTATCCGAGCGGCTGAGAATACTTCCGGAAACGACTCGTCCGAGGAGAAGAACAAACCGAAGAATCGATTTATCAGAATGGTCGAAGATACTTTAGACGGGAGTAAATCATCGTCCGAAGAGAAGGACAAACTGAGGAATCGATTTGTCAGAACGCTCGTTGATACTTCGAAAGAGAGTAAATCGTCCTCCGCGGAAAGGAATAAACCGAAGAATCGTCTTGTTCGGTCAACCGAAGATTCCACGAGCGAATTGTCATCTGAAAAAAGGAGTGAGGCCCCTTTCTTTATTCGCGCTTACAAAGTTGAAGATGTCAGTCAACCGCAGCGTATCATAGAGCAAACCGACAAACCGCACAATCGAGTGATTCGGTCCAAGAATGACAAGAAAAAGAAGAAAAAGAAGACTACAAAGACGAAGCGCCATTGCACGCCTAAGGCGACTACTGTAGAAGCAGATACCTTGGATCAAACGACGTTATCAACGGACTATCTTCCTGCAGTGTGACAGCATTAATTTCGATACTATATTTCTTTTACGTTAAAAATACAACACACAAGAAGATTCCATAAGTAATATAATTTAGAATATTGTTACTTGTGTGGTTAGCTAAACTCTTTAAATCACAATAAATATACTCAAATAAACAAATTTGTCTGTTCTTCATTAATCGTCTAAAACTGTTGTAAAAAAATGGACACAATCTTGTACATGATAAAAAAAACTTTAAACTTTATAATTAAAAAAATTAATATTAATAATTTGAATGGTTAAATGTTAGTTTCTGTTAAAATAAAACACTTTGATATAAAAGATGTAAAAATAGAAAAGTCAAGTTTTGAAAGCATTATTGAAAGAAAAAATTAACAGATCTTTACTTTTGCTCGTTCGCCCGAAAATTTTTGTCTTATTCGTTTTGCAACAAGACTTAATTCCCTCGTATTCTCGGTTTAACGAACGGAAACGAGGGATTTAAGTTGCTCATTACATTAACCGCCCTCATGTTCACAATTCCAGTAAGAGTCTTTCTAAACTCGCCGACGTATGCCAGCTTAACAAGGGCAGATTGCGCGACAGGGCTATTCTGAAAGAGTACATGATGTACTTACGTGCTCGGTGCACGCGACGGGTTCTCCTTACGTCGCGCTGTGAACGTAGCTGCCGTATTCTTTACGTTGACATCGCTATCGACGATCCAGTCAGGGCTGCTGGAGGAAGCATCCAGGATCTTCACGCCGGCCTTCACACGCGCTCTGAAACATACCGTAAACGTATCATTCAAGTAATAAAAGAATGAAACAAAACATCGATGTTGATAATGAATAGGAAAAATCTGTGATGTAATTAATCCTTTACTCTTTGCAGAGAGGTAACTCTTTGTTTGTTAATTTGAGAAAAAAAAATTTCAAACGATCTCGTTATTTAATAATTCTGTATGTGTAACCGGCTTGTTGTATAACACAAATGCGTATCGATGCAATAACACCGCGATTCGGATTTCTATATATAAAGATATTATATTATATTCTCGAATCTCACACGATTCGAATTGCGCTTGGAAGATAATTAAGATAATTTTTCAGGAGTTCGTATTCCACTCAAAACATGAAAACATATGCATATCAGCATCAAATACCGCAATATCGAATAACCTGTATTTTAATACCCTTCCGATACCTTACTCTTCAAAAAAAATATTTAATTGAATTTCACCAAAAATGTAAATGTTTTACTTGTCTTATGATTATCATTTTGTAATTCAATAATTTCAAGCGATACGCCAATCTTCCAGTATAGAAGATCAATTTTCAAAACAAAACTGATAAACTTTCAGGAATTTTTATTGACAACCAACGTTCTCAAAATTGATGTAAAAAATGTGTTAAAGATGATTAATAATATTATTAAGTACTGTCAAGAGAAAAGATAAGAAGGATAACACAAAAAATATGTTCAAAGAGGAATGTGTGTATTATCATATAAATATATATAAAATACAAGTCACGTGCAACGTTTCAGAAATGTTTCTCTTCAACGATGACTTATACAAGTACTCCGGTATTTTTATTACTCATATCACGTCGTATCGATCGACCCGCGTACGTTTCTTTCATCCATCGTATTATTAGCTACGTCCCTCTGTCATTAAAAATGAATGAACGTACAGTTCTTTACCGACGAGACCCATTGCCCTCATGTTGCTCTAACAATACGTCAAGTGTACTTACACTATATGTATAGTCGACGAGTTTCCCCCTAGACTTTAAGAGTCACAAAACAACTACAGGTCGCAATTCTTTGAACGCGAGTCAATAACTGATATTTAAATAGTTTCGTGACAAGTTGCATGTCTAAAAAAGCACGTTTATATATATTTCTTTTAATTTCTTTAATAAAATAATACACATTTTTTCAGTATTAATGTGACATATATACGAAAAAAAGATAAATAAGATGTGAATATAAAATCAACTTTTCCACTCTGTAATTGCATTCAATTATCTTCCCACGATCTTGCCAGTTATCCTCGGTAAGATGTCGAACATAGATATCGGATTTTCGTTCGATCGGATCCTCTGATGCAACGAGGACTCTTCACATATGGTACCGTGCTTCGAGCATCGGTTCTCGGTTGTCATCGCAATAATACCACGCTACTTCTCGTCGAGGCAATGTCGCGTGCACTCCGTTCCCGGCGGAGCCGCATCCGCGGCAATCCTGAGAGCCGGATTGAAATTTAAGCGGCACCGTATAGCGTCGCGTCGCCGCGAAACGCAGCTGCAAGAAGGCTGCAAGAGCGTCAATAATGCAGCAAACTTCGCATGCACTTCGCACTTTATCGTATGCGTATGTGACACTTCTCGTTCATCCGGCAATCTTTCTTGCCGTTGCTTCTTATCGAGTGACATCCCGGTTTAGGAGCATTCTCGAAGCTTCCGGAAAATGCCAAAGAAAAAAACAATATAAGAGATCAAAAAGAAATAATAATAACGCTAGAAACATAGCATGAGTAACGAAGTACTTGCAAAGAAATTTTCTTTGATTAATCCAAATGAACTTAAACAAAATTAATGATCTATTCTGAGAATAAAAAGAGTAATGTTTAATACAGAATATCAAGAAATTAAGTGTCAAGTATATCTTATTTCAACAGAATTTATTTTGAAATTTATTGTTAGTCAAAGGTCGGCATTTTTACTAAAAACAAGAAAAAAAATTATCTTTAAATTGGCCAAAGAATTCGTCGAAAGAATTCCGATAAAAAGCACATATGGCGAGTCTGAAACATCTATATAATCTAAAACGGTAACAGAGATCTTCAGGCACGTTTCTTTCGATTTCGAGATATTCGTGTAGATTTCTGAAAAATTTTCAGAGAATCACGGACGATTACGTGGAAACATGCACATCTAAATGGAAAATTCGCGACATTCGCGTTTATCTTTGTCCTCGTATATAGCATCGCGAGAGAGTACGGGGCCATCTTTTCCGTGACTACGCGGGAGACGTTTTCCTCATCATTGCCAAGTCGACACGCTCGTGCGAGGGAGGAAGCTGCGTTCCTTCGAACTAACTCACGTTCTAGTTATGTGACCGGGTCACAGGGTCGGTATCATGTACGCGGTATACAAGGCGAGGGAGGAGAGGAATGCGGCTGAAGAAATGCGTCTGTCTGTCGCCGCAACGCATAGATATTCGCCATGATGCGACGTAACATTATGGTACACTGCGGTCGACGCGGCAAATCAGATATTGTTGTTGTCGCGATACGGTGAAGCTGGAGAACAATTCGAAATTCAAGAGATTATATACGTAGCTGTAAAACAATTAATATATTCATGATTTCGCATTCCTTTTCAGACCTTTTTTTCTTAATATTTGTATTTCAATAATATGATCACTGTTTCCATTTGTCATTTGAAGATTTATAAAGACCATATTTTTCTACCTATGTTATTTTTAATATTTTTCTTTTATTTTATTGTATTCTTTTTTTTATGTAACTCAGTATTTTCGATAAAATCGGAACCTTTGATTATGTGCGAATGTGGATTATTGTATAATAATTATTTCATAGGATGTAAAAACTGATTAATAAAACTATTACCTGAAGTCAAAATTATTTTAAAAAATATAGAAATGAAAGAAAAGATATTCATACTGTCAAATGCCATATTTTACAAGTTGTATAATTTATTGGAAACGTGCACTCTACCATTGCGGCAATGTATCTTCTTAAGTTTCTATTTGCGTCTCCGACTAGGGACTTTCAATCTCGTGGAGGTCGTTCTTAATTCAAGCTGAAACGGGAATTTTCGAGTGCGCGAAAATGCAATGTCGCCCGGCCGTAAGCGGATCCCGCTGTGGAAAGGTGCACCGAGTGGCTAATACGAAACTTCGGTCCAAGCTAGACCGGATATTGCCTCTTCAAGTTCCTTCGGCGTATTTGCCGAAGCCGAGTGAGCGGCCGGCTAATACGTATTTAAAGACGCTGCACCACCAGTGCCTCCCATAATAACTCAATTTGCTTTTTCCCCCGAGAGAGACGCGGACCGATGCCTTTTATCGCGCCTTTACCATCGCTAGAGCGTATTACCTTCCCTTATGCGCATTGCCATAACGTTGGTGGATAAACGCGGAAACGATTACAAAGAACACGATATTTTCCTGAAATCCCGGTATGAAATATTTCTAAGGCAAAATGTCGCTCTAAGAAGTCAGCTGATTTCTTGCAGCAAATATCCAGTGAGAGATACCACGATATCGCGCCAGCCGACAGCAGTTATGGTTAAAAATTCTCGGGCAACGGATGCTCGTCCCTTGACTAATAACAAAGGAACATTCTATTCCATTATTAGCGTAATGATGCATTTATATTTTATGTTGATATATTTTATAGTACATATGACCTCTTTTGAAGTTTTAGATTAATTGGTTGCAAACTGCCAAGTTTAAGATCTTTGCAGATGCGTCGCTTCAAAATTCCACTGGCGTCAAACATTATAGCATATGGCTTGCACTGCGGCGCATACTGTGCCGCATATTGCGGAGCACACCGCGGGCTTTACACACACACATACTGTATTAACTTTGTCTCCACAATCATACTAACAATGCGCGGATGTTCCTCCAAAAAGAACCCCGCAGTTGTTCTCCACCTCGAGTGTCATAATTTAAGCGTACAAAAACAAGCGTAATTACTATCTCCGCATGGTACAGTCCGCCTTCTCACTTCCAGCAATTAATTTACATATCTCCGGTCTTAATCGTTTCGACGGATCCAAAACCTTAATTAAATTAAGCTGAGAGTAAATTAAACTTCAGACAACAGCAGAGAAAAGCGTGTGGTGCGCGTAACAAAAACGTAAGGGAGAAAACGTCAATTTAATCCTTCTTGCGCAACGCCGTAAAGACAAGAGCTGCATGAAAATTTACCAAAGTAGCTAACAGAACAATCTCTCCAGATATAACTCTTAAGTACATATTTTTTATATTATTTGTTCTTCGTAAACATTGTACTTTCTATATAATAAAACTTTTCAAGTTTTGATAGTTTACTTATATTTTGAACTTTAATCAAACTTATATTTATATTTGATAAGAAAAGAATAAGAGATATGATGAAAGAAATGATAAATCTTCTACGGCAAAACCAGAATTGAGCTAAAACGAAGCAAGTTCTCTATCAAATTTATTTTTCTTGCTAATTATATCGCCCTGACAAATGACAACAGAGTAGTAACTACAGGTTAAATGAGAATTAGCGGAACGACGACACGAAAGAGGTGGATATTGGGTCATCGTTAAACAACGCCCAGGACTCGCCGGTCGGGCGAGTTAGGAGCGAGCCAATTACAAGTTCAAATCAAGTTATTTCCGTGAGCCTATCTTGCATTTACATACAAATCGCCGATGTGCGAAGCGACGGACGGAGAACGCTATCGGGAACGATCACGAATGCATGCCATGCGCACACGCTTTCACGCTGACGAATGACCGAATGTCGCTGTAAAATTACCGTTTATTCAATGAGTCTCTCTCTCTCTCTCTCTCTTCATCGTTCGTGTTTTGGCCGATCGATCGACATTGGCAGGAATAGTCGTGTATAGGGATATGTGTATGGAGATATAGAGAGTTAGTAAAGATCAACAACCATATGTACTACAAAAAACAGTTTGAATATCGATCAAGATAAATTTAGCGTAACTCTAATCATGAGTCGCTATCACATGCAGTTTTCCAGTCAGTGTGCAAAATAATCGTAAATATAGACATGAAGAAAAGTTAAGAACATTTTCATTAATATCAAACAAACTGTACGTTTTTCTCGATTCACGCTTCAGCATTTACAATTAAAAGTGTGAGATAACTAAGGACTCTGCATAGCTGTTGCACTGTTGAACGATGCAATATCGCAGGGGTACAGAGGCGAAGACCTATGGTTGGACTAGTGCGGCTTAAGAGGCGGCCGCGTAGGAAATCTACGGTTTAACGTGGCGCTGTAAGAGCTTTAGATTAAGGTTGCGAGACATAAAAAGCGGGATAAAGCCCCCCCTCGACGCGGACAAAGGCTACGATTAGCTCTTAGCAAGCTCTTTAACGCGTGAAGAAATTTTCGCCCAACTCGTCGTATTTCCAGAGAGCTTCTCCCACAGGGTAGTTTCGCGTTTAAAATATTTAAGAGATTTGGACGAACGTTTTTTCCCAAATTTTCGTATCTGGAATTACATTTGTTAAATAAATAGGAAACAAATAAAGATAAAGAGAAAGAAAGGAAGGAGATATATCATATTTAAAATGTTCAATCTTTTAAATGTTACAGTAACATGCATGAAAATATAATTAGGAGTTATTCTAACGCGTAATCTCTAATGTCGCGTATGAATTATTAATTTTCGAGATCGGTTAACTGTTCGCGAAATTATGCAACAATAGTGATAGGATACTATTCTGTAACTAATAATACATGTTTGTTAAACATCACGATATTATTAATTTGATAATAGTTGCCTATCGTTATTATTGACGAGACAAAATTCAGACAAACTGACAAAAGTTAGAAAAATAATCATCAACGCAAAACGTTTGTAAAAGATTTGCATAAAAAGATATTCTAAAATAATGTACGCAATAGAAGGATATCGCAAGCCAAATTTTCTATGTTTACGAGATTATTAGCATTACATAACGTGATTAAATAAAGAATAATAATTTATCTGCGTAAATAACTCAACTTTTGTAAAAATATGACTATCTCATTAATTCTGCAAAATTGCCGACCGTCAAGGCTATGAGGCTACGCAGATTCTGCGTATATAAACAAACGCATTTCTGTTTTAAAATCTCTTTAGTATGCAGAAACTGCGAAGATGATCTCGATAACCTGCGACCTCCGTAATGAGTCCAACTATCGATACCGCTTGTGTTGCGCGTTATTATCGCCCATACTATGACATTTCGAAAACAAGTAACAAAATTCACGTAAATCATATTTTGGAGAATGTTATAACTAATAAAACTTTGATTCGTTGATTATTCTCCAGAGAATGGAATAGATAAAGTTTTTAACACATACGTTTAATTATCGATTTAATCTCTTAAGAATTTATATTCTAAATAAACTGCGTAATACTGGATCTCTTCATTTCGTAATAATATAAAAAAGAACTAATCGTACATACAAATGCTTTCCGGCTATGTCGTATGCAGAAGCTTTCAATTTGTATTCGTTTGCGAGATTTTAATAAGCTTCCCGGTAATAAGGATTAAAGAAAGTTCATTAGTACCCCACTTTTCGTGGTACTGCTAAAAAAATCTAAATTACATTCCTGTATAATTAATAAATAAACTCGCACGGTCTCAAATATCATATTCAAAGAGGGGCGCAGTTCGTATACGACCAAGCAGAAAAGGGTAATAAATAAAAAATGCAATATCACATCTTTTCGCATGAGAAATTGCTGCAGGGCGCTGCGCCTCACCCTGTGTAAAAATAGCGTAGAGAAATTAGCCCGTCATAAGATTTTTATTAAGAAAAAACCGCTTCAATCAGCGATTACGGAATCGATATTCTACGATGTAGTGATATAGTGCGTTAAAATAATCAAAGGTTTTTTAAGTCGACCGATTTGTCGTGATGATATTAATGCAATAATCACAACGGAGATAGCAGTTTTAAATATAATGTCTATTACGTTACAATTAAAGTATAAAAAGACTTTTTTCGTAGTAGCGCTGTAAGTAGTGGTAGAGTTTTCGCTCACTATTTAATTGTTCGTTAATCCATTAATTATTTAAGGACACACTATGTATATGCGACGTTATGACGTCGACACTGGAACGCCCAAGTCTTTATCATAATAGCACACGTAAATGCATATACAATAGCCTTTTAAGCGGTTCATAAATTTTGGAAGGGCTTCGTATAAACTTCCGCCAAATTATCTTGGATATACTTTCACGCATTGTGCCATAACTCGAGTTGTCTAAAATATTACCGAGCATTAAAATTTATAAATTTTAAATAAAAAAGTATTTATTCCCATCTCAAAAAATAATAAAGAATTTCATGTGAATTGATTGTATGTCGTAACGCGTGGATTAAAATTCTTTACAAGATATCTGAATCATCTGAATCATGAGAAATGCTAATCTGTTTTCGCGATATTTGCGGTACTCTGTGCATAATGGCGGTGGTTCGATTAATTATGTAAGCCTTACCACGTACAGCTTTATGAAACTGATGCGTGCTTTTTATTACAATGGATATGGATCTTGCGCGACTCATATATAGTCCGTTATAGTTCACTCTTATGTACCCTGTACGTGTCGTTATATATCACGGAACTCCTATGCTATGCGACTTATAGTGTTGGTTCAAGTGTTTCGCGATTATCCGACGGAAAAAGTTCCATCCCCACGACACCGGTTCGCATTCCCAACAGCGTGTTACAGAGCCAACGATGCGTTTCTCACGCGGATTGGCTGCCGTTGGTCCGTGCTCGAGTGTACCCCGCGTGTTAGTCGCAGTCGCGGAACTTCCGAGTGCTTACTAACAACAGACGAGCTTGTAACTTCGCTCGCCAGCTTACTTGACAATTCATCCAATTAGAGGATTCCAACCCCTCCCGACGGAACGTTTCCGACCCATTTTCCGGCCGCGCGAGAGTGGTCCCCTCGAGCTGGGATTTAAAAGCACTTTCCGCGAGACACGCGCGGCTAAAAAAAAGTAGATGCAAAGTGAATCTCAATGCGGAAATTGCGACTCTCGCTGTTTGTCCGAAAGTGGTTAAACGAGATATCATAAGCGTGTTTGTACTTGCCGATGCCGCGATCCCGGCGTGAATCACCGTTTATTTGTGGATTTCCAAAGCGTGTTTATCCAGTATCATCAATCTCATAATTAATATATTAGTGAAACTGTACCTTCAATCAATGTTTTTTAAACTATATATGTACATGTATAAACAACGGGAGCCAACAAAAGATGCCGCAGTTTGACGACCAGCCATTTTAATTTATCTTTCCTTCTTATACTTCTCATCTTTAATTTGTCTTCAATTTATAAGTTATCACAAATAATCATCTTGACAAGTACCGCTCTTTCTAAATAGTTAAAGTTTACTCGTTGTCGTATCTAAAAAATTCTAAAAAACTCGCTAAGTTGCTTACCTTAAATAAACCGCGACGATCAACGGCGGTCGCTCCTGCCGCGGGTCTGTCACTTTAACGGGATGTAGGAAGGCCGGGATGTGCAACCTGGACCTCGGATAGAGCGGTCCGTGTGGCACCAGCAACGTTAGCGAGTCATCCGCTCTGAGTTCCTTGTAATCCGCTTTGTTAGGCGCGAGCGGCACTTGACCCAAAGGAGTGACTGGCTGTATTTGCACTCTGGGTCTGCAGAATCCTGACCCACCGGTAGCGTCAACCGAACCGCCACCGTTCCCGCCACTACCAAGTCCTCCCTCCTCCGTACGCGGTTCCAACACGGAGTAAGCAACCTGGATCAATCGCGGCAGACTTTTGACGACCTTGACACGGCCGGAAGCATCGGGCGGCGGTAACGGTGCCCACCAATCGGCCGGTATGGTGATCTGCGCGAGACATACGCCGTTCTCGCCGTCAGGACTGCAGGCGGCCGTAAGCGCGGAAGATGACGAAGATGAGGAGGAGGAGGAGGAGGAAGAGGAGGAAGAGTAACCGTGTCCATTGCTGCTCCTGCTCGCGGCATTACCCCGCGATGGACTGGCCAGGCTGGCGTGCAGCACTACACAGACTCGCTGATGCCGCGCCATCAGCAACTGACGTCTACCACCGGCCTCGCTGCCGGCGTGGAAGAGCACCCTGAGCACGGGCGAGTCGCGCGGCACGCTGTTGGCCACCAGATGAGCTGACATGTCCAGATGGCGAGCGCCGAGTTCCTGGGCGTCCAGAATCGTCGCCGCCGTGAGATTGCGTCGCGTTTCTGGTCCCGGCAATGCGTCCAACGGATCGGGGACTATGTAACGCGCCGGTACAGTCTGTTTGGTGCTAAAAGGACCGTATGTGGCTCGCACTGATACCGGCTCGCTCGTCTGGAAGACGGTGAACTTGTCGATTGAGAGAACAGAGCCAGGCGGCGGCGACGGTACCGTACTCCCCGCATTATTATTGTTATTGTTGTTACTATTCGATGCACTCGTAGATAGCGCCGGGATAGCGCTATCCGACGTGCCGCGGGCCGGATAATATTGCCGCGGTATGTGCTTCAAGAAGAATCCACCGTCCTTATTCTCGAAGTGAACCTCCACTGATGCCGCCACGTCTGGAAAGATAAAAAGAAACGACATGGTTAAACGCGAGTCTCGAGCCCGCTCGTTTTAGAATTATCTGGTCTACAATCAGTTGTTGACATATTAACACCTCGATACTGACAATCCGAATGTTTAACTTTACCTGACATAGAACACGATTTTCTTCAGGCATTGTAAAATATAATAAATATAATTTTTTATATTTTATAGATATATAAATGATGATCTTTGTGTATTTATAATAATAAATACACGTTATGTATTGATGTAAAGCATATTTATACTATGTAGTATAACATCCATAATTCAAAGTCATCTAGATTATATAGTCACCTAATTTTTATATTTCTCAAATGTCTTTAAGAGTGTCTAAATAATCTTTGGACATTCGTCATCCTTTACTTATTTCATACTCTTTCACTGCTCGCCATTTTTCAAATTCCATAGATATTCCATATATATTCCATATATTGCTCTTAAATATTGCCGTCGTCTCACGTTGCGCCTTGGCCTTCACGACGGCAACGGCAACGGCGACGACGACCGACGGCGTGCGATTTCCCCGACAATAAATCACGGCGTTCAACGCGAAGTCGACAATTTTTCCTATCGCGTCGATGGTACACGACGCGATGCGACGAAGAATGGAGTCGCCGGGTTGGCCATTGGAGAGCTGGCGCGCGCTCACGCGCATCCAAAAGTTGGCGCAGGTGAGCGGAGAAGTTGTAAATCGGTGGTAGGAGGGTGCTGGCCTGGCGGCGCGAGGGACGGCGCGGCTGCGCTCCATTCGGACATAAATTTCCGAGCAAATCCCGGAGTAAGCGCCAGCTGCCCGCACGGCCTCGCGTAAAATGGAGGAAAGCCTCGGAAAAGCAAGAAGAGGAAGCGAGGAGAGAAGCGAGCCGCTCCCTCTCCCACTTCCGATTCGACCCTCGTCGCTTATCTCCCGTCTCACAGCGCCCTATAGACCAACCCTCTCGTTTCTTCCGTGCTAGCGTTAGCTTCTATTTCAGCTTCTGTTTTTTTTTCTTTTTCAGATCCGATAACAGGCGATTACGTTAAAATGATTTAGTAGGGTTTCAACGGAACTTATTGCTACATTGTGATGCGAATGAAGCACAACGGCGATGGATAATATATTATAGTGTAGGTGGTAATCAGAGAAATGCTATTTGTGTTAATTTTAATTGCGGTGACTATGTGATTTACGCGCACGCGTAGTTTGTTCAATATCGATAATTTATGTGACGAAACGTTGATTTATTATCAGAAATATCAATTAACGAGACAAAGTTATTGTTTGTTACTAGACGTTTAAACGTGAATCTGTACAAGACACACTTTACGTCTCAGACATCGTTATACTGATGTATCCAACCGTGAAAATGAAACGCCTTCACAATTTGCGGTTGATTGGTGCATTTAATGACCCTCGTAATTTCCACTTTTGCGGATCATCCACCCTACAATCGACCCGCATTCTTGTGCGCGTTTTCCAGATTAACGCATCGACGAAAATTAACGCGCGTTTAAGATGGGACAAAAAAAAAGGAAAGACAGAGTGGGAATAAAGCGACCGTAAGAGCGGTTTTATTGGCACTTATTTAACTACGTTGACAGGCATAGTCGATTGCGAATTTATACGATTCTACACGCGTATGACGTTTCCTCCAGTGGTCGGCGATTCCGCAAAATAGACTTCTATCGGTCTGCGAATGAGGTGCTGGAATCGAGTGATCGAATATGACGGCCGGCCATCACCATCCGGTGGTCGTTTTGGAAATACGTGGGTACGTCGAACCACTGATACATCTTCGGTTGGCTTTCGTCCAGCTCGTACTCCAAACAGCGTCTAGGAATGCTGCCAAGAGATCGTTAGCACATCGTTCTTAAAAGTTTCGAATGCTCGCAATAATATGCAGCTTTTTTGAATCATATGTATTCTACGGTCGCGTATACGTATAGAATTCTCTTACGTTTTCAATAATATACGTCGTATCGGAAATATGTACGCGGTGTATTGGAAAAGAAAATATAAATACATTGAATAGATATTACGCAGATCCAACTTGAAGCGAAAAATGTATTTATTTACACGGATATAATTCCCGATGCATATCGGAATATGATCAGAAAGCAATGAAACTGAACACGATTCGTACATGCGTATTAAAATAAAATCGCGATAAGATCGATGAATCTCTCGTGAATGCCTGGCCCATTTGAAAATCGAGCACCGACTCGCTATTGCCAAGACTCTAATACGCTTACGACTCACAGTGAATGCCGTTTGCAGCCAACGATGGGATAGTCTTCGCGGAAGCACTTCGTGTCTAACACACTGAAGTAGAGGAAGCCGACCTTCGCGCTAACGAGTTCCTCCGAGCTGTGGAGACAGTCGTAGAACCTCTCGTCGCAGGAGCAGTGTAGCCTGATTTTGCACATTTCACGACGCTTTATCAGATTACTCGGTACAAAAAGCGACCTCGCTTCATTTCAATTTAAGATTACTTATACGATCGTTGTGAGAAATACGAAATGGTGACGTTTGTAAGAAAGTGCTTTAAGAATAAGAATAAGATCGCGACGGATAATCGAGGAATTTATACCAAGAGTGAACTAAGGGAAAAAAGTCTACTTTAAACACGAAGGCACATGTCTAAAGTACAGCTTAAAAATTACAAGCTTAGTCCACTCTTGTTCTAAATCCTCTGTTTTATTTTGCATCCTGGAACGCTAACAGGAATCAGCGATTACTAAGGCTAGTGATTTTTTTCGACAATTTTTTGGATAATATTTTTTTGGCGCATATTTGCCCTACAAGTATTTAATATTTTCCATTACGATTAGTAGACGATCAATATTGCAGTGTTTTAATTTTTCTCACACATGAATTATTGGATATTTTGATATATTTTTCATAAAATTATATTCTGGTGAACATTCCAGTTAACGCAAACATCGGATATATTTGCAACAGTTTCAAATTACTGACCTAGTAATAATATATAAAACGTTTTCAATATGTTATAAGGCAAGCTTTTAAAATCGTTTTCTTCCGTCCTACTGCATATCGTAAAAAAATTACCTACGTAATTAATATACCAAGTTTGTAATAATGCGCGACGTCGTATATCAACGTCAAACGTCAGCCGCAACTATAGTAAGACACGCACGAAACTTGGTAACTGTTCCAGTTGCGTGAAATCGCACAACAGACTCGCTGCTGCGGACTAGTTCATTGACTTTCTTCTACAATTGCTATACTGAATCTTTTCGCATGACAAAGTGATATCAGATACGATGCGCATGGATGAAAAATGCTCGTGTATTTCATATAAAAGAAAAATGAAATATTAATTTTTTTTTTCGTTTTCCAGACACTTCGTATTCAATAACGTAAAACTTCGTTTATCTATACTGCATTTAGGTGTTCAATTCTTTTCCATTAGTTATCGATATTTGTAACATGACACAAGTGCATGTGTTATACAAAAAATAACTATAATAGATTGCGTGTGTGCTAAAAAAAGATTATACGTATATATTTTCCTCTACATTGATACAGTCCAACGCTCACGAGTTAACAATATTTTTTTTCCATTATGCCACGAATTACATCAAGCATCTTTAATAAAGTTAACATGTTTTTATAAAAATAATAGCAGACACGATACAAAAATATCTAATGTACCAAATATAGATACTAAAGATTCAAAGATATAAAAGCTCGATAACTTTATAACTCTCACACATTTCGTAAAGATATTATAAGAATTCTCAACAAAATTCAATTAATATTTCAGTTTTTACTTATCAGCTCATCAAAAAGGGGTTGACATAAGAAATATTGTTCTTAATTAATTTTCACCTGGTATAAAAAGCAGAATTGGTCAGGCCGTGTTTGGTCTGCATCGGTTCGATTATATCTTTGCAATTATCGTGTTCGCGACAACATGCGTCAGTCATCGCAAATACTCCCAAATCATTCGGACCATCCGCTATATTACCACTGCCGCACCATTTTGTCCCTGATGAAAATTCAAAGGAACGAAGAACGAATGAGTTCTCTAAAAAATTCTCTCCACGTCATTAAACACAAAAAGAATAGTTATTTTACGATAATAATTATAAGACTCCTAAACCATCCATTATGTTGTATTATTGTGCAAAAAATTATACAAATCTTTTTTGCACTACACTACTACTTGTGAAAATAAATGAAATTTTTATCATTTGCATGAGACAAAATAAACTGTTAAAATATTACTATAAAAATTTAATCTTTTTTATATCCTATATTCTTCAGCAAAAATAGATTTTATAACAGACCAATTTAATTTTGCAATATTTTCCATGAATCGAAAAAAGAGGGTTATCAATAGAGTTCTTAAATTCTATCAAATATATGAACGGTAGGAATTATTTTATCTTAACCGTATATTATACGGATGGTTACTTACAATATTGCAATTTAATGATAAAGAAAATTTAAGTAATAATCATACTTTCCTTCTTTATAAAAAGAATTGTACACACGTACGTTATAATATGATCGTATTGATAAAAATATGTCACTTGAATGAATCCCACCTGGAAATATAAAGGCCGGCTGAAACGTAGTTTCGCGAAGATCATTGCTGTCGGTCCCGCTGTTGTTTGGAAATGCGATATGCCATCCGCGGATATTTCGGGATATTAATAAAAGCACGGAAAGCAACACAATTGGACTCATCGCGACGGAATCCTACTGTCGTTTTAACGAAGGTAGAAAAAAGACTCCCTTTTATACAGTATAACGAGAATCTTCGTCCGTGCGCTCCATTTCGTTTTTAAGCCATCTAATCGCTCGAGTTACGCCCGGCGTACGAAAGAGGCGACTATATATTGCGTTGTGCGTTTGCATTTCCTGCGATGGAATTAATCTGCTTCGAGATAACAAAGCCAGGTTCTAAAAGGGAGAATTATCAAAGGTCTTCCTCGACACGCCCAAAAAAACACGGCGCCGAAGCAAACGGCGAAGTTTGCGCGATAAACTAATACGGTTAAAGTTAAATCTAATTTTCATGAAGGATAGAAATAAATTAACGGTCGAGTGTATTAAAAAGAAAGAAGCACTACAATACGTCTTTAAACTGAATAAAATTACTTAAATATCATCAACAGTTGTTTTCTTGACAAAGGTATGAAGACTTTGCTAACTATTAGTAAGACTTTGTTACTATTTTGTAAGTTATCTGTTTTTAGTAACCAAACGTTGACAATATTCAAATGAAAAAATTGGAGTACGCGATCTAATTAAGCGACGAGTATTATTATTCACCGTTAATGAAATCAACCAGTGAATAATCGCGTACGAATTTCAGTGAAAATTGCGTTTTACGCAACCAAGTCATACAAGAAAGCAAACAAAAATTTATTTTTACGGTAGGTGAGAACGTTTTTTTCCACGACACATGGGTGCGATAAAGGTTTTCGAAATAGCATTTCTATGGACAAACTTCTCCAAAGAGAAACGCGAATTCAAGTGTAGATTTAAATGGACCGCGCGGGATACTCTCATTTCGGAAACAAACGAAAACTCGCCTTCGACTGGATTTTTTCCCCCGTGGTCGAAGTGGCGAGAGTGGCAGTCTCCATTTGCTCCACTCTTAAAGTGAATGCAACACATTCAATGGCATGTGCTTGTCGTACACTGTTTGTTTCGATAGCGTGATCGTGTGATAGCGCTTGATATCAAAGTAAATCCTATAGGGCTAGAAGAGACTCGCGGGCGCGAGTTAGAGTGAGCGGGTTATGAACCCCGGAGCTGACCAGCATACGTCAATATTGTGCAACCGTGATACCAATAATAACTCGACCAATAATCGATTTGCCGAGTTGTTGTTGCCGATACGGTAGCCGATACGGTAGGCGAATTGACAAAATGCACGGTGGAACAGGCGGTTTTGGAAAATAACAGACACGTGCCCTCAAAGAATATCGATCACTTCCGCTGCTCCGAAAGAAGAAATAAATTTTATACGTGTACTTCTGTCTCGTCACCGGGGAATCTATTACTTTTCTTCTATTATTTATTCTATTATTTATTTTCTATTAATACTTTTCTCGTACGTGTAACAAAAAACACGAATAGGCAGAAAATTATATAAACGATGCAACGATTCATAATTTAATACGTTGCGCGCGTATTCTACAAACTGTATCGTGGCTTACATTCGTCCTTTTATGATAACAGTAATCGTTACCAAGATAAATGTTACTCAATACATTATATATGACGTTTCAGTTGCAATCGCCCATGATTATAAATCAAAGATAATTATACAATACCGACGTTGGATGATTATATGACAAAATGAAATGTAATGTGGAATGCATCTGAGAGCTAATTTGTATATATTAATTACAATTTACAAATCTCATGTGAAAAGTGGAACTTGCTTCTTCAATATAATAAAATCACAATTGAGATTGTGATTATATAAATTAAAACAATTTCGTGATTACACGTATAACGCGATCATTTTTTATTTTATCTAAAAAATTATACGAATAATGTTTCCCAACATTGAGAAGATCTTGTTCTCTTATAATTCTTCATAACACAAATAATATTATGTGAAAGCTTACGCACATGTGCATACATAAAAAAATCTTATAATTAAAAATTACTTCGATTCGATTGGTTCGATCGCGAAAACGCCATATTGTGATGTACGGAGGAATACTTTACGATAGTTACGTGCAATCGCACTCCAAAATATCATCGAGATTCGGACAGAGAAAGTGGCGGATATTACGCGGCCCGACCAGACCCTCCTGACGACGCGCGCAGTCTGCCAGCCACAGTCCAACAGCTGTTACACGCTCGGGCGACACCGGCGGACCGATTCCAGATACCCGGAAGATTGTTTCCAGACGACCCGCCTCCACCTCCGCCCGCATCCTCTTCAGGAACTCTTTCAGCGGGTCGGGCGGTGGCGTCTGGTCGCTCTCGGATTCGTCGAGGCATCGGCAGATCTCCGACGAGTTTTCAAGACCGATCCAAGTAGTCGTAGTCTCGGAGTCGATCGCTTCCGCTTCCCCTATGACACCCTCCTCACTCTCCAAGTTAAACTCGAATGCATCATCAGTTGTCTCCCGCACATCGACGTTGCGTTCCGAAAAGCTCTTGCTAGTAATATCGCCATTATGCTCGATGTGATCGATGATCGAAGGAATGACAGGATGCTCGAACTTCGCCTCAACCGTTGACTAAACAAATGTTCAACCGTTTGTCACCGGCGATTGGAATTAATAAACGACGTAATAGTTAAATCATATAAATTTCGCGTATAACTATTTAATAAGTAAATAATTTAACAAAAAGAAAACAAGTTTTAGACGTGACGTATGAGAGATCTTTAAGTGTTCAAAAATATTTAAGCGTTCTTTTTTTACACGATTATCACTATACAAAGAGTAAATTGAGATTAAAATCTACTTTTCACAGATCAACGAGAATATGGCGGGATACTCTGTATATTTTACGATGTAATCGCCCGGTCGCAAAATTCAAAGTGACTGATCGTTTTTCCTGCGTTTTTCCAGCGTGTCCGGCGACCGGCGACGTACCTCGCTCATCCCTCCTCGGAAAACGTGACCATCAATCGATTCGATCTCAATTTCGGTTTTATCGCTGGCGACAGACTGTCTCGCCAACACTATGTCGATGTCGGAGTGCTCCGGGTCATCCCCATAATCCTTCAAGATCTCGAGGCTTTTCGAAGGTCGCTTTTCGCGAGGCGCTTTCCCGCAAACATCCTCGTCAGTGCTTCTCGCCTCCTCCTGATACGTGCTTGATTGAATACGCGTTGATCGACCGTATAAAGCCGAAACGTCCCGGTGTAGACGGAAAGAAATTATCTGTCCCGATTTTACGTAATCTCGACAAAGTTAATGATGGTCTTTGAAAGCGTTGTAAATTATTATCAGGAGAGTACGAATACTAAAAAGATTACTATCTTATCAAATATATATTCCAACAAATGTGTTTAATATTTACGATTTAATTTAAAGCGTGTATCTTACACAACTATAGGATTATAATCTTCTTATATATTATCGCGACGCTACGTAAAGTCCACGATCGCGATGCATTAATTCAGAAGTCACTTTCCATGCAAGTCACTTCCGTACAAAGTTGCGCGGAGTTGTTAATATTTTCCGTAATCTTCATGTGAACTGGTTAATTTTGCTCTTGCTCCGAAAAGCGAGTCCGAAACGCAAATGCGTATATGAAATATGCAGCGCTGTTTGTAATGAGAAGTAGTTAGCAGTACAGAGTGGATATTGTATGGCGAAAGCAGCTTACTCCGCGCATACGCAGGCTTATTGGCAAAATTTTACTCCGAAAATTTATTAAATTTTACTCATCACGCGCACGTTATTACATGCCTGTAATTTCCCAACTGTAACTTCCATATCACGATTCCGACACATGTATATAGCTATCTATTTATTTTAACATAATACTAAATGTATGTATCAATTTAATATTTATGCGTCAAAATAGAGAATTATTAGCATGTCATATTAATGCCTTAATTAATCAGTTATTTAAATATTGCTAAATTATATTATAATTAATAAAGGTAAATTTGTGTCGTAACGATTAAAACGTCGCAAGTTTCCTTTTAAACGTATACTGAATAAATGGAAATGCACGCCTTGCGATTATTAAATCATTATAAAATATGCAGACGTATATGCAACCGTCCGCGTTGTTCTCTTTAGAGAAAGACTGTTATAACTTTGTTATAATTATAACGCTTTGTGGCGGTTGGTTAAAGTGCACGTGATATATGCTTAATCCAAATAACTGTACCATGAATTATGTATATAAATAAATGTCAAATCTGCTCAAAATCGTGCTAATATGAATCAAGTCTATTTATTTCAACGATAAATATATGTGAGCTGTTTATTTCTGAAAAAATATTTTTGTACTATTTGTATGCAATATAGGTATATCAAATGTTACACGATTCGAATCAACCCGGATTATTATGCAATCTATCTTTGAGACAAATGTTGTTTGTCTTCGATAATTTTGCATTCTAAAGATTAATTTCAAATTTCATGAAAAACAATGCTATAGGCTCACTTTCTTCAAATTTTCAAGCTTCTGAGACACATTTCCTCACAAAATTGACTCTTATCTCTATTCGTATTCCTTACCAAGATTACCTACGAACTCTCCGATAGAAATATTAGACGGAGAAAATAGGATATTCCAGAACTTTCTCATTAAGGGTCCCTGAAGCGATTTTTTTTTTACGATCCAATAAGATAAAACAAAGAGTTACCCCGTTACTGAACGAGAGCCGCGTCAGGCCGGATATTTTATTCAACCGGCAGAGAAATGCCACGACTGGCCGATACCTTTTCCGTCGCTGCGAACTCACAGCTGCAAGCTCTCGTCGTCAAATCGATCGTGCCAGACGACGGCTCCGAGACGGACGTTGTCGCGTCGTGCGGGGAATCGGTGCGCTCGGCTTTGCGACGGTGAGGCTCGCCGCCGCAATCGAGATCCGCCAGATATCCGTAGAGATCCAAGAAAATCCTCAAGGGTATCATAGCCGAGCCGCCTTCCGGCTCGTGCGTCAGTAATTCGCACACGTATATCATCGTCTCAAAAAGATTCTAAAGCGGGCGTAACGTAAATTATAACCACGCCCGCGCCGACCGAACGCAACTAACGATATTAACAACATTACAATAATTAGTACCAAGCTGGATTTTCTTAACGTAAACGTAAGATATTGCCGTATAAAAGAAAGCATTTCATGATTTTTGTTAAAATGTAAAAATCTGAAAAGCTATGTATATTGTTAACGTTATACTCGTGTTTATTGACATACACGCGCGTGTATGTGTTGTGAAAGTAAAATATCCGGACAAATATTTTATCTGACGTTTGTTCATTATTTTGTTTTTGTCGAAAATTTATTGTATATTTCTCGCGAAAAAGATTAAAAAATATCGATTGTAATGCGTATGTAGCAAAAGGCATTACTGTATCTTTTAATCAATCGTGATTCCGAATTGTTTTATTTGCGAATGTCCAATACAGTTAATGGCTCTTCTATTATTACCGCTGTGTTAAAAGTTCAAAAGTTGGCAGCTGTCGCTCATATAGATTGCTATCCAGTTAATATCGCTATATCACACTTTTAGTTTGTTCTAATTGTAACTTTCACAGTGCAAATTTTCACAGCGACACATAAAAGAGAGAATAGTCCGTTTTTTCCATTTTGTATTAAATACCTCCTGTCATTTCACCTACTATAATAATTAACTTATGTCTTGTTTATAGGCTTACAATAAATAAAAATTAATATCTTTTTTAAACTTAATAATGAATTAAAGTCAGTTATAGGTTTTTTATGTTCAACAAATTCTCACGAATATAAAAATGCGGAAATCGTTCCGCATACATATATTATGCTAGTATAACGTAACGATGATACATGTTAATGGATTGATAAAAAATAATTCTGAAAATGGGATATTTTCACGAAAAGCAAAAATCCGAGATAAAAATTCGTCATGTTTCCCGATTCCGATATCAGACACACTCGAAAATGCTATAAAGAGATATTGTTCCACTAGTAGCGCTTATAACTCACATTTCCTAAAAATCCACAGGCGACCGCGAGGAATCGATAAAAGTCACAGTATTCTTTATCCTGCAATAAACCGGCAACCATAAAAAGCTGATAAAGACCCGTCTCGGGTAAATCCAATCCTCGCCAGTCCTGCAGGAGGGCTTTCAGGCAGATCTTGTTCACGTGACCGAATCTGTTGAGCAGGGTCCTCAGGTAACCGGGCGTGATGCCCGAGGGGTGTATAAAGGGTGGATATTCCAGTCTATCCTGCAGGGACAATATCGCGGAGGTCGAGATTGTTTACGGTCAGTTAACAATCGGCCGTGGTTCGGTCATCAATAATGCCTGTCGCACGTACGTATATATACATAATGCGCATAACGCGAACCCGTTACGAATCGGTTTCACTGGCATTAGACGCGCCTGTCGAGTCGTCGAGTGTGTCGCGCGGCATTTCCGTCCCGAAACGCATCTCGCTTCCCAGGAGCGCGAATTACGCTGATATTTGTCTTCAGCGCTCTCTCCCTCATTCGGTTCCTATTCTGAGAGCGACGTACGTACGTCGGAAATATCGCTCTATAAGCAAGTATCGCGTGTCAGCTACGCGGTAACGCGATATCCCATAGATAAACGGGGAATTCCAGTTAACAATGATAACGATGACGCGTGCGCGCGCGTTGTTGTGAATAATAGTTGCAAATTAGATTGCGCGCGCTGTAAATTAATCGGTAAAATGCACGAATGTCATAAAGGAGAGAGAAACAGAGACAAGGGAGGAGGGAAGAGGGAAGAGGTATAGTACACTGCACTGGATGTTTCATGAGGGGATATATGCAACTTTAGCAGTATAATTTGACAAAATTGAACGCAATTTCGCGTTTGCGAACATTCGAGCCATGGTATAATTGAGGAGTTATTTAACATCAAAAAGCTTCAGCAAAAGCAAGCTTTTGAGCAAAAGATAGAATAACGTCCATTAAAACTAATTTGAGGTAAACTTCTCACACATTAACAGAATAATATATGCGATGTTTTAATTAACAAGAAAAAGTTAACAAAGTTTAGAAATTTCACGGAACATTTAATATATCATATACCTATAGACAAAAATAAGTTGTGCCCGAATAAAATTAAAAACAACAACAAAATCGATATGACGCTATAAAGAACTTGATTGGCCATCGAATTAATTTCGTTAACCTATGCATTTTGCCAACAATTATATTCATTAATTTGCGTTGTATTGAAGAGTTTGCATTGTCGATAACGTACGAATAATGATAAATGATATTAATAATGAGAATAATATAATATTGCGGTGTTAATATGATTACGGTACAAATGATTTATGCGCAAAATATCGAATGTTTAAGAATTAATGTAGCTCAATTTTTATATTTAATTATTTTTAAACATATTTCGGCGCAGATTTTAACTTTTAATTATCGATCAATTGCGTTCGAGAGAAAGATCGCGCGGCCCACCGCACCGGTTCGTAACTTCTCTTTAATGCTGTTATCCTACAACTAGAATTGCGCAAACTTATAATTACAGACATCCGAAAGAACGCGAATGGACGAACTCAGGAGATGAACGTGCCTTACTTTGACCTGCTTCGCGAATAATATAATAATAATGAATATTCGCAAGAGCGATGTAATAGATCGATTGGCGCGCATGGAATTTTCATTAATTTTGATCTTGTACAAAATATTTTTAGAAATATTTTCTAATAAGTTTTTCCGGCGCTGCTCGAGTTTGAAGAAATGGGAAAGGAGAAGCGAAAGATTGAAAAAAACGAAATAAATATTAAAGATGGATTAATAATGACAAATAAATTATATTGCGCAGGATAATTCTAGTAATCAAAAAGTTATTACTTTCTCTTCCCTCCTTCCCTATATTAAATATTTACACACATAGTCCCATGTCCCATCGATGTTTCTTCAAGGAAAACTTGTTTGAACGAGAAGTAGACTTACGATTACAAAAATGTTCTCTCTCCGAGATGGAGTAGCGCGTATAAGTTCAATTTTGATATTTCTCGAAAGTTTAAAATCCTTATGTTGATTTTTTTCCAAGCAAAGTTTTCCTCATAACATGAAATTGCGCATGTTTCATGATGAATAATGGATCCGAGGAAAGGTAATACGAGTAGAAAAGGAGATCGCAAAGCTCGACTGACGCGAGAACGACGTGTTTGCACAAAAAGGAATGTACCTTCGCCGGAGGCACCTCGCCGTTCGCCAGAGCGCGGAAATACGTGGCGGTCCATCGCAGAAGATCGTGCGGCTGCGTGCGAATTGCCGCTTTCGTGTAGAGTTTCAGAATATGCGGGAACGTCGGTGGTATGTTTATCTGTTGGCCGCAGTAAATCCGCTTGGTCTGCGAATCTGACATTGTGTGCGCGCTCGCGGAGGGAAAGAAGGCCAAGACAAGCGGAAGAGAGACAAGAGACGAACGGAACGAGATTCGACGTGAAACGATTCGATTGATTTGCACGAACCGCCCGTCGCTTGTTGCCTGCCGCCGTTGCCGCGCCGTCGCGCCGTCATATTCTATTTTCTTTGAAGAACTGTCGATGGGTATACAGGAAACAGCGATACGAACAAGGAGCTCTACATAGTTTCACGAATTGTGGCGAGGATTGTCGTTCTCGAGTTGTGATAGATAGATAGTAAAATGGAATATATTTCAGAATGCATAATACGAAAACGATGATTTTGGAAAAGAGAGAGAGAGAGGGGGGGAGGGGAAATTCTTTAATCTTTTATTCTTTTCAAAGAACTTATCTTCTATTTTGTTGTAGAAAAATTAATTGTGTAATATACATTTTTATACATTATTTGACACAGGAAATTAATATAGACTATGACACTACAATTAGTTATATAATTGTTTCTTTTTGTTATTAAAAATTTTTAGTCTGTCGTGCCACGCATGTAACGTTGCTTTAGCTTTAGCAGCTATTCTTCGGGAGAAAACCTTTAGATTAAACAATGAAACAAAGATTTATCTGAACATGTATAATTTGAAAGAGATAAGTTATCTAATAAGCTATCTATCTTTACATAAATTTTGTATCGTAATCCAAAGCCTCCCTATAATTCGCGGAAAATTCCGCTAAAGTCCTCCACAGGGAATTTAACACACGCTTCCAGCGAACTTAAACTGCAATAACCACGATCGATGAAACATTGAAAACGTACTTCATTTTACGAGGGGACACGTCGGACCTTTTAAAATTTAACTAGTCGATCGATTATTTGATTCCCATGTGCAGCTTTTATATCTACTCGTTCAATTTCGGCCAATCTACCACAATTAAGACGTATCTATCAACCTATTTTTTAAACTTCGTAATAAACTTTATAATAAAATATTGTGAGCAGCGAGTCTATCCATCTGGGTAAGTGGTCGTTTTTTCGATCTTATTTTAAATATACTTAATCTAATGTAACCGTAGTTCTGCAAATTGAAGAGTGTTGATATACGTCACGTACAGAAATTTAAATTAACAAATCCGCGAATGATACTTAATGTCAATTAAAAAATATGAAATTCCGAGAAAATTGCGATACGCAAGTTTGCAAATTCGAAATTTTTTAAATTCGAATGTTCGATTTAATTTCATAAAATTTAGAGGTAGTTTTTAAGATACGTGCACAATCATCCATGGCCGCGACCTCAATGAACATACATTGTATATGTGCACCGTCAATATTTTTACAAACGCGATGAAAGCTCGATGAATTATCTGGAACAATAAGACCAATACGCCGACCACCTCCGACACTCTCAATGGAATACAAATGGTACTGGGCAAACAACAGAGATCGACAGCCCTCTGGAAATCGAATGCTTGCCACCACCGGTGTCCTCCACCACCACGTCAGAATCAATGATCGATCCGACCCCATTCCTCCCTTTACATTATTACGACCCTCATTCTATTACCCGTACGTCGGCACATATACATTTCTCGATGTACGGCCTCTATCGCTTTTGTCGCGATGCATAAATGAAACATTCCTATTCAGCGCACTTGCACTGCTCAGGCTTCCCCGCGTTCTGCGTTGCCTTTTAACATGTGTAGAGAGTATGTTCCCTATGAGATAACTTGATTTTGACTTTTCTTCAGCTCATATTCTATCGACTCGATTAGTGATTCGGTATACTAATTGACGAACATTGAACGAATTAAGGATTAAGAATAGAGGTAAGTAGTAGCACAGAATTGAATTCTTGCCTAATTCGATATCAACTGAATACTTTAATAAAGAGAGGATATATAATTTCGAGAATATTAATGTGAGAAATATGAAATAAGTTGGAAAAATAAATTAGAAGGTTACAATAAACTTGGATTATTCCTAGGAAAAATCAAGGTAAAATTTCTTTAAGAATAGAGCATCAGTGAATTAATATTGCATACCAATGCGATTAATTATCTCGAGAGAGAGATACTCGTATATATAAATTTGCTACAGTATTAAATTATATCTTATCTTGAAACAGTTTCTATCTGCATTCCTGTTGTTATCGATAAATTAATGAATAGCTGTAATAAATTATTAGCAAGATCGGATAAAGTTCTCGTTAAAGAAAAGTTCAAGTGTCCGAGAGAGATCGTTGATAATTATTAGCATAGGTACTTTTAAGAAATAATATTAAAACTCTATCAGAAATTAAAAAGTCATAATCAATAGCAGACTGTAATCAGAGTTTTGTTACGAAAAAATTGCAAGCAAATTTTCTGAGTAACAGTTTGCCGTTTCCCTTTTTGAATCCGCTCTTTATCTCCCTTTTTCATTCTCTCTCTCTCTTTCTCTCTCTCTCTCTCTCTCTCTCTCTCTTTCTCTAGATGCCCGTATTTCCCTCCGGCGAACATCTCGGAGGGTAATCGCTGAAATAGTTTTCAATCGATCGATCGCCAGCCGCGGGTGCGCCGCGGAAAAAGAGCGCGCGCGCGCGCGCCGTCCGCCTACCGCAATTCGCGACCGTTATACGCGGCGCGGCATATCATCCCCCTCTGTTTCGTCGCGAGCTTTAGCTCCGGGAATATCGGGAGCCTTGGGTTCAAATAGCGAGCGGAAGCAATTTCGTCGTCCTTCGGGAATGGCCTTGGCATGACCGCCGCCGCCGAGAACCGGGACGTCGCTCGGCGTCCCGCCGCATCAATCGTCCATTGAATGAAACTCGGTTGTGGGCTGCGGGCTGCGGGCATGAGGAGCGTAATAAGCGTCGTGAAACCCATAAAATCGAAGCCACTGCTGGTATATCGTCCTTTGACGTACATCGCCGTGAATTAAAAAAATGCAGCCGCTGGACGGTTATTAATCAAAAGAGATGAATCGTTCGAACGTAACGTCCGCTTTCTATTTTTTTCTTTTACAGCGAGACGTTTCGCGTCGAGCGGAGACTTAGCGGTTGGAACGGACGTCGGTGAACAACGAAATCGTGCGCTAATGGCGACGACGAGGGAAATTTATGTGCGTGAGAGGATTGCGAGCGATGCTGGCTGAATTATTAGGATGGTTTTGGGCGAACGTTTTAACCGTACCATCCTTCTGCTGGGCGTTAAGCGGAAAATGAATGTCCCGCCCGCGTGCGTGTGAATATTGAAATTTTATCTCAAAGAATCTACGTATACTATATTCGCGTATTCGCACATCCAGATGGGGAAAATATTTTCACCGAGATTTTCACGTAATAGGATTTTTTAGAATTAATTTCACGCAAAGAATGAAAAGCAAAGACATCAAAACGTAAAACATTTCAATGTTATTCGGGTGTCTTTTTGATTCTTTTAATTCTATAAAATGTCTTTGAAATATTAACCTTTGTTGTGCACACCTCTTCAAAATTACGTATTGTGCACAAGGGGTCTATTAGACCCCAGTCACTTTTAAACGTTTATTACAGACGTACAATTCGTTATTTTGACTCAAACAAAATTGCTGGCGATTGTTCAAAGCTTCCAAAATAAGGTCTAATAGGTTTCATTAATATTTTGCAACATAAAAAAATTATAAATGATATGTTAACTAAAAAAACCGAAAAATGGACTTTTCACTTAAAAATGCATAAAAAATTCAATTTTTAATATTTTTTAATAATTTTTGTGGGATTACTTTCTTGAAATACTACACTTTCAAGGAAAAATATTAGTTTATAGCGGAGTTGAAAAAAGTATATTTATATTGCTATGAAATCACGCGTTTTTCAACTTCTCACCACTGCCAAGAGCAGACTAAAGCCGGGCGGGCAAAACTATGTATAAGATCTTGAAGTGTTATCCCTAAACTACAGGTAGATCGGCAGCACAGGTCCCGATCCGCATTGTACGTATTAGAAAAACGCGTTTGAAAATACGCTGGGATCTAAAAGACCCAGTGTGCACAACAAAGGTTAAACTCAAATGCATGACTTGAAGACGTCATAATATCTTGTAGGAGAAATTACGGAGACGTTGGATAACTCTGGCGATGTATCGTCATTACATATGAACTAAATGACAATGACTTTTGACTCCTTTGGTTTCGCGAACAATGCTATAAAGACGACGGGAGCTGACTTGTTCGTTCTTCGACCCGCTTTCGTGAGTTTCCGTGCAAGTAATTGCGGGACAAGTCGGTCGGCCGCGGCCGACGCGGAGCGGCAACCGTGTTCGTATATAGGTACTTCCGGCGCCTAGCTGCAAGTATTATGGCGCTTGTGGCAGCGCTCCTCGGTGCATCTGATACCGACAATGAATAGGCGGCAGGCGTAATGCATGCCGCTGTAACAGTTGCACGAAGCGAAACGACGCGGCGCGACTTTAATAACTAATATCGGAAGGAAAATGCAGAAACAAAAACGAGGTTAAATTTATAAAATTGCCGCGCCAGAGCTGATTTTCCTATAGAAAGTATTATACTCACGAATTATATCTCTTTCTTTATTATCCCAGAGATACGGTCAATTTTTAATAAAATATTGCATTATTTCTTCTAAATTTGGAGAATATAAATATTCGAAATATCTCTCGAAGATTTACATAACTTGTATAAATTGTAATGTTCTACGTTGAGTTTCTGCTTGATGTGATTGAGTAATAAAATCTTATTTTTTACTTAAATTTACACCCACACACCCACCCACATACACACAAACACACGCGCGCGCGCGCGCTCACAAACTTGATTTCAAATAATTTTAATTCAAATATTAATTACTAAGATTATTAATAATTTAATGTTGAAAGTTTTCACAAAAAAAAAATTGATTTGTCAAACACAAATTATTATTAAAATTAAAATTAATATGTTGCAATATTACTTAATTTGCACATCTGCAAATTAGTTTCGCGCCAAGTATAATACACGCGCAGCGCGAGACCGCCGTGACTCTTTTACACG